GCCAAGTAAGTACAGAACAAAAGAATGTACGTATATGGTAAGTAGGAAAGTCCATGCTGGCGTATGGTAGACGCACAGCCACTATCACTGCCACTCCCGGTCCGGCACAGCCGTAGACACAGAAGTTCAACACGGTGAGCTCTGAATAAACTTGGATCGTGTGAGGGCGGCCGTCGAGCGAGGCTGCCTCGAAGTACACATAGGAGAACGGGAAGGACTGCAATACCCATTCGGATGGCTGGTAAAAGAAGCTGAGATATAGTGGGATGTATGATTCAGTGCAGGATGCCTTACTTCAATTGGCGACAGGTAGGTGATGGTCACGTTAATGGGGCCTGCTTGCAGGACGAAAATCGTACGTGTTGGTGTGATTCGAACGGCGGAGAGGTTTGCAGAAAAGGCCTCTATAGTCGTCTCCGTTTGCCCCGTCCACAGGTACGTTTTTCCATCCACCCTGACGGTTCCTTGAAGATCCATAATCGTCTGTGAACCGTGAGACAAATCGATACGCTGTAAAGAAAAATGGATAGTACCGCGTGTTGTCCCCAGAAAAGAGGCCAGGAATCCGACGGGGGTGCGGAAACGTTTGATGTAGCCGACCAAATACTCATGTACGGAGAGCGAATAGCCAAAGGAACACTAGCTGGAAAGAACGTTTGTGGCGGAGATTGAGCCAAAATCCCCGCTGCAAATACGGACACGAGCCAGGAGAGACGAAGCATAAGCCAAGGGAATAACATCGAGGAGGGTGAATGTTGAACGTAGGGAGAATTGCAAGACGAAGAGAGTGACAAACACTCTTAAGCGGGCGTGGTTTTGTGCATGTTATGTTGCGGCATGCGGCGAGTTGAAAGCACGTGTTGCAAGGCCGATGCGATGGGTTCATTTTGGCCGGCGACCGTACGTAGGCGGAGAGCAATGACTATTTTGGTAGTCGAAGCACCTCGGTTGCGTGTGGCATGCAACTCTGTGATATCTTCCCAACGTTCTCCATCTTCGAGCGGATGTCACTAGAAGCGTCAGCAGCGACGTTGTGTTGCCGTGGGACCCTTTGGTCTCCTACATGAATCCTGATTCTAGGCCCTGACAAGGTATAGTGAGAGGACCGCTGCGTCGGATCAAGTATGCGGAGGTTCTCAACACGAAGCCCATGGCCTCTGATATACATCTAGGCTGTAAGATGTATGCTGGACGGCCCACGGGAATCAGGATCTAACGCAACCCGAAGCGGAACATAACTTTCAGAAGGCGATGATCATGCTCTGATACGCTCGACTTGTTCGCATCCGTAGAGAGCTAGAGACGATCTCGGTCAAAAAAGCTTATGAGAGAAAGATAAAGTCCCAGTACGCAGCTCACGATTTTGTATCCAGGTTACGAGAGTTCCAGCCTGGGGATACGTAGTTCCGACGGGTTCGGGGCCATGGCGTGCACGAGCAGTATTCAACAGGAGTCGAGACGGTGTCCCAGTGAAGACATCGGCGCGTGTCATGCCAGTGCATAGCAACCAGGTTTCCCAAGTCACAATAGAATCAGCGAGGTGATAGGATGAGAATGTACGCAGGTAGGAACGGCAGTGCAGGATAGCAGGAGTCAAGACAAGAATTTCTTGAAGGAGCTTAAGATCTACTACCCGATGTCGTTGCCATGCGTTGCCATGCGCTTGTTAGCGCCCACGTCTGTCCTTGCCTCTCGCGTCCACTCTTTCCTGCGATTGCTCCTGCTAGGATGTTATATACTTCGTATGCTTTCTTATTACTGTGAAGTGTACTTACGTGGATTTCTGGGCTTATGTTAGAGTGCTGCCCGAGGTCTTTCACGCTCAGCTGAGCATCGCCGCCGTCTCGCGAGTAGCGAGAGGCTAGAACTGTCCTGGTCTATGGCGAACTCGGAACGGCTTCCGAAACCCCACCGCATGTATCATCAAATATATTGCCCTCCAGGCTCTACTCCATGGATGGGGCTGGACGCCGCAGCGCAAATCCAGTCGCCAGGAACGCGGTGAAGAGCCGCCGACGGCGTTCCCAGACGGGCATACACCGCGCCTCTCAGACAACACCGTGGCTGTGATCATTCCGGTTCGTTCGACTGACCTAGTTGCTGTCTAGTTTGCAATAGCCTGCTAGGGACACCCAGTTTGCAGGATGCCCATCTCTGATGGGGCCCTTGGCACGGTCTGTGGCCGCCTGCGTAGTGGTCAGCTGCTCGGTTCAACTGTCAAAGGGTCCCACTGCCGACAACGTATTTAAACTGCTCATCGTTGCGACACTCGGCACCAGCCCTCAGCTTGTACTCAACACCCAGACCACCCAACAAACCTCACGAAGTACTATCATGCTCGCTCTTGCTGTCATCGTCTCTACCGCCCTCGCGCTCGCGTTCGGCGCCCCCGTCGACGTCATCGCACCAGGCGTACCCACCCACTTTGTCTCTACTCAGAGTGAGCCTTTCCGCGAAGGTCTTTCATACATGTTATTGACGCATGCCAGATCCCTCGCTCGTATTCGCTCCGGCGTCAGCTAGCGCTACCGCTGATCTCCAGGCATCCAACCCGGGCGACGGATCCGCGAGCGACATCACCGCCCTCATCCCCGTGAAGGGGTCAGGTGTCCCCACCCAGATTGCCCTCGGCGACTTCTGCGTCACAGCGAACGGCGTTGTGCCAGGAACTGCGACACAGACGCTGCACATGGCGCCCTGCGACGACAGCGACCCGACACAGCTCTGGGTCATCGACTCGACGGTGTCAAACGCGGACGGGAATTGCATCACCCTCGGACGGGCGGCATTGAATGTTCCGGTACGCCCTCTGTACCACGTTCCTGCGCGTCGTCGGGAAACACTGATGTTGTGAATGATACAGGTGACGCTTGGGGTGTGCTCGGATGTGCTCAACTCGCGCCAGACGTGGAACGCAGTACCCGCAGCTCTCTGAGCACAGCTGTGGCGATGGACGTCCGTCCATGGTACAAAATCATGTCTTGCGACCGGACGACGATGGACTATGGACGGACTATATCAAACGCTGACTGACTTGTATCGGACACTCTGGAATCTTATGATGATCGTAATGATGGGCCCTATGAGGCTTGTGAACTCGGGGGCATTCTTTTATATGCACTGACCACCAGTTGACCGGAAAGTACGTCGTTGATGAATCAATTAATCCTCCGACAACTGCAGAGGTCGAAAGGCCACGTTGCTCGCGATGAGTCACGCCCGGATTTGCCGGCACCCTGGCCTGCCCTGTCCTGCATCGTAACATCGGAATCTGTTACATTTGTTGGGCAGGCAGTGGGGCGAGCGGTGATCTGTACGCCCACAGACTACCGTTGCGTGGTGACGTTTTAATCTCTTTATGAAACTCTTTTGTTCCCTAAAACGTCCGGGTCGGGCTTTCCCCGCCATCTGTTCCAGTCGCGGTTTGATTTCAGCGCCCAACACCACTTACACAAGTACCACACCCTCCGAATTCGCGCGCGCCCATTTCCCATGGCCCACTGCAGCACACAAGCACGGTTGCTGCGGCGACGGCAGTACAAAACGCTGCTCAGCACCGCCTGGTACTTGCCTTCCTGGGTCGGCCCCGAATACCAGAATGTGGCGCACTCAGACGACGCATGCGTGTATAAAGCCCTACCTCGTGGTTCTCGGGTTCTGCATTATACTCACTCCTGCGACTCCTACGCGACTTCAGAATGGCCGAGCCGGGCTCCACTCACATTCTACAGGTGATCCATGAGATCAAAGACTCCGTCGAAAGACCTCACCGTCGTCGATGGCTGGAAAACATCGGATACGAAGACGGCAGCCGCGCCAGGACGCGCCGCTACGTAGACGGAGCTGTCAAGATCATGGACCTCTTGCGACCTGAAGTCTCATCCGGAGACATCAGGTCGTACGAACATCTGTACGACGAGTACGTGCCGTTCCGCACCACACCACTTCGCAAGATGCTCACAGCCCCTTCTTTAGGTTCTGCGAGCTACCAGACACATGGATCGGCGCACGCCTGAATGCGGCTAAGAGATTATGGGAATACGTGGGGGTACGTATCGAATAGTATCTCGCCGCCTAGACCGTCCAACTGACCCTTCTCGTTGGTGCAGTCTTTAGATGAACGGACGTCTCACGAAAGAGTAACTTCGGTACCTTACGAACCATACCACGAGGATACTCCACACTCCTCTCGTCGCACCTTTGGAGACTCCCCCAACCAAAGAGTCCGCTTCCGACGCCCAGAGGCCGCCCACCATCCAGAGATGCACTACATACCTCCTCCATATCACCTACCTACCAGGCATCGCCCAGCTGCGCCCCATATCCCAACCGCGACCCATCACCGATCGGCACCCAACTGGCAGTATCCGACTACGTGGTTTCGTCATCCAGCCACCACTCCCCAAGTTGTTGCCCCTGCAAAACCACCAGCTCCGCGTCCCATGAACATTTTCAATGGGTCTTCGTGGTGGTCGGGCAACAACTACGGGATCAACTGGCGTCCTACCTGGACCCCGCTGACGGAGTACAGTCGCGCCGCGGTTACCTTGCCGTATAACTACAGTACGTTTCTCTTCTACGGCGCTCCCGGATGACTCCGACTGATATGAATCCTCAGATGGTTGGGCGCAATACTTGCACAACAACCCGTACACTCGCGTGTGGGCCTGAGAGTACCACTTTCCCAATGACTCGGGCCCCTGCCCTCTGACGATGTGTTTTCATACGACTCCTACGACCATAGATCCCTCTGTACGATGTGTATTTTACTGTCCTATTATGATGTAGCGCAAGCCCGCTTAACGACTCTTTCTGAATGATAATGTACATTGTTCAAGCTCCTCGTCTTCTCAGCTCGAGCGAATCCGATCAATGAGCCGCAGTCTGCGTGTGGGAGCGCACAGGCCAGCTTAAATGTAACCCTCTATCCGTAGCACTTCAGGCCAGTCGAAGATGAATTGACGGTCAATCGATTATGCACGTCATAGAAAGCAGAACATAGCATAAGTATTGTCAATCTGAGGAGTTGAACGCACCGGGACACGGCTCAGATAAAAACTGTGCGTCACACGAAGACGATGGAGTAAGTAGAGATGGCAATGTAGAGTGATGAGGATAACTGATCGAAAGAAAGCTAGGACACGAACAAGGACAAGAAAGGGACTGATGATACGAAAAATATTCTACACAGGACGAGACGAAGGAGGCGAAGAGACGAGGGAACTGTCCTAGTACGAGTACCGTTGTGGCGCGATGCTACGAAATGCACGAGAAATGCCAGCAGAAAAACCGATGGCGATCTTCAATCGTCCAAGTCGTAGGCGTTGAGGTCGAGGACCGGGGCATTCCGCACTTCGACGTGAATGCCCACGGATTCCAGCTGTTCGGCGAAGCATCTCCGGAAGGCGAGTGTCCCATCCTGGAGGAAGTTGTTGCAGTACCTGGTCTCGTCTTTTATGGGTTTATGGACGAACGCAACCGAGCGGAGCGTCCTAGGCAAATGTTGCCGGATAATATCGGTAATGGTCCTCCACAACGGTGTTTGGAGCGCGCGCTCGTCTTCCAAGCACATCGCGAAGGTGATCTTCTGCAGAGGGCATCGTCTCGCGCTGCGGAGCACCTCGGGCACCCATGAGTTCTCGTGGCCTCCCCCGCGCGATCCATTGGTCTGCAGGGTGAGCGACCACACTTTCAGGTTGTGTGCGAATAGGGTCTCCACATTCTGCACCGGGTTTCCTGCAAAGCGTGTCAGTTTTGCGACCAGGGGCAACGGCTGAGATAAAGGGGGGCGTACCTTGATACGAGAACAACGGCCAGAAGTCGAAGACCTCGAGACGGTCGCCTATGAAGGCCATGTAATTGGAGAGGTATGCGATATGCCTTTCATATATGCGGCTCACGACGAGCTCCGAAGGGCGGCATCCGTGGCGCCCGAGCCAGCGAAACAGCGGTCCCACCGTGTCAGAGTGCATGGAATACAGTTCAACCTTCGAGAGTGGCAGCGGCCACAGTTGGTAGATGGCCGTGTTCAGCGGCAAGGCGTTCGTGTCCGGGTCGGGTTTCCAGGAGACATAGTCGAGCCGCAAGGATGACAACCCGTGTAGCGCGAACACGACGTGCTCCAAGTCGGCGCTGGAGGAGAAGACGGGCGCCTGGAGGTCGAGGGTGGTGATCTGCGTGAAAGACCGAAGAGCGGCGGTGAGATTTGAGCAGATGACGACGGGGCCCCAGTTCTGGAGAGTGATAGACCTCAGGTTCGGGAGGCGGCCTGTCAGCGCAATGATCAAGTTTTTCATCCAGGGGTCCTTTGTGCCCCTGTTGCTGTTTTGCGCACGGAGCCACAGCCCCTCGACCAGGTTGCCCGGGCGCACCTCAGGCGACTGCTGCAGGTAAGCCAAGAATGCCTGCGCGCTGCGCGGGCCCTTGATAATGGGGTGGGTGCACAGGTGCCGCCGGGAGGTCGCTGCCCATTCCTGGCACCCAATTGCGCACTTTACGGGGTCTCGCCGGCCTGAGCCAGAGTGCGACTGCTGTGGGATCGAATACATCGACATAGCCTTGGCAACGTCGACGGAAATCTCGATTAGTAGAAGTCATGGTTGAGCGGCAAGGAACTCACTACGGATGAGGTAGGAACGGGGAAAGAGGGTTCAATGTTTTACGGTGGCGTCGGGGCGTGCAATAGAGCAGGATTTGCAGGCTGTCGGAGTGATGCTTGCTGGAGAACCTCGAGTGGTTCGCATACTCTTATATACGCTTCGCGTCCTCGTACATGTCCAAGTAAATTTCTCGGCAGTCGTCACGACTGCCAGACGTTTGACAGGTCAGCAAAGCGTCGGTCGCGCCTGCGGTAGGGCGGATAGGGCGGATGGGTGCGCTCGGCCCTCGCGGACACATCCTTGCCGCTAGCATGGCACCACAGCAAAGCGCGGTCGTGCCTGTGGCGCCCGCACTCCTAGCGGTCGCAGGTACCTGAAAGCGGAGGGGAGTGGCGAGCATGGTCCTCGTAGAACGGACAACACCGGCTAAACCGGGGGCGACCGTCGATAATCGCGCAATTTGAAGTTTACGTGCGTGGGGGCTCCGGATAAGGTCTTGGTGTCTATGGCCAGCTTCCCAGTGAGACTCCACCGCTGACCGCACGAGCGGTGGCCTGACTGGAAGGAACAATGAACAAAGCACCCTACAGGGGTTAACATCAAGGAAGGTTGGACGTATTGGCGGAACCGCAGCCTCACCCGGACATAGCGCAGCGGACGACGGCAGACCCATCGCCTCGTGCTTGATTTCGCACCAAGCGTGGAAGCCTTAGCGTCCAAATATTGGAGGTGGATGTTTCAAACAGTGCAATGCTGTGGTAAACTCGGGACCCAAGTAGCGGGGCCAAAGCGTCGAAGCCGCGTCGACACCTGGAGTTGGTCCCTCCGGTCAGTATGACGCCACAAGGGACACGTGCTTACTCACCCCGCAATAACCCTTCCCGATGGCGCCGGCCTTAGTCTTGACAGGTCTATATGCAAAGAAGCCATGAACAAGCAGATCAGGGCAAACGAGGACGAGGGGGCAACCAAAGTTCAGCAGACAGTGACACGGACATAGTAGAGGTGTTCGCGCGCGATCGCATGGCCTTCCAAAACAACAGAATAAGCGACTATAAAGAGGGACTACATATATTACAACCACAATGTGCGATAGCAGGGGAGATGTGGTATAAGATCAAAACAAACAGTACTAGCTAAGCGACAACCAAAATACTAGCAGCGAAGTCCAGCCGGCACCAAGCCCAGCTTTTACTTCTTCAGCGAGCCGATGACCGCCTCGGGCGCGTACCGAGGGATGACCTGAGTAAAACACGGCGTTAGTGGATGTACGTAGATTGTAGCGCCGCGGACTGGAAATGTACCTTGGGGTCGTGGAGCATGTTGAACTCCTCGGTCGCGTCACGGCCGGCGTAGAGAAGGATCGCCTTCTCGCCTCCCGGGTGGTCGGGCATGAACGCGGTCACGTCGAGCACCTTGCCGTCGATGATCACCCAGCAGTCGTCCTTCTTGTTGTGCTTCTGCACCTCCTCAACGCTGAAGGACTTCTCCCCTGACGCTGCTGGCGCAGCCTCAGCCTTCTTTTCCTCCTTCGCAGGAGCGGGCGCGGGCGCAAACTACCAATCGTTTTCAATACACGGTCAATCTGTCTTGCAACACGAATGCACACCTTTGAACTTGAGCTCGACTCAGCACCGAGGTGGCCGGCAACAGCGCCGAGACGGCCTGCTGCCTTCTCCGCGAGGGGACCGATCCTTTGGAGGAGGTACGACGCCGCGGAGTCACCGGAGACACGGCCGAAAACGACACAGCCGAGCAATGATGAGCCACCGAGACGGTTGGCGCCGTGGACACCACCTGCAACCTCGCCGGCGGCGAACAGACCAGGGATGGGCTTGCCGGTCGTGTCGACAACGCGCGACTCAGCGTCGATCTCAAGACCACCCATGGTGTAGTGAAGCACAGGGGTCATGATCGCGACGTTGAAGTAGTCGTCGAACTTCCACTCGCCACCCGAGAAGAACTGCACAGGGGTCAGTCTCATTAAGTACGTTAAAGATCAGATGGGTACTAACCTTCTTGCCGAAGGGGTCCTTCTTCGCGCGCACGACCTTGTTGTAGTCGTCGAAGGTCTTCTTCAGGACCTCGGGCTTGAGGCCCATCTCCTTCGCGAGCGCCTCTCCGCTCTCGAAGCGCTTCATGAGCCCACGTCCGACGTAGTGCTTGCAGTGCCACTCGATCTCCTTCGAGGCATCGCCGTTGAGCACAAGACGGATGGGGAACTACATTCGAGCACGGCTGTCAGCAGGCGCTCATGAAAGTGTCAGATTTGAGCTCACCTTGCCGTTCTCCCACATCTTGCCAGTGACGTAGTCACGGTGCTGGAGCTCATCGACGAAACGCGCGCCGGTGTTGTCGAGGAGAAGACCGCCGACACCACGCAGGGCCTCCGCAGCCAAGAACTTGACCTTCGCCTCGGGCTCGTTGGGGTCGACAAGACCGGTCGGGTGCACCTGGACCTTCTCGAGGTCGATCGCGCTCGCACCGATCGCAAGGGCCATCTTCTGGCCATCACCCGTGCAGTGCTCGCCGTTGGTGGTGGGCAGGTTCCAGTACTCAGGGCGGTACTTCTTCAGGAGCGAGTCCGCGGTGAAGTCCGCGGCGTAACCGCCGGTAGCGAGAATGACGGGGCCGTATGCGGTCTCCGTCTTGCCGTTGTGGACGTACTCGGCGCCGATAACGGCGCCGGCCTGGTCCTTGATGAGCTGCGTGACGCGCGCCTTCTTCTTGATCTGGACGCGGTCGGGCGTGCTCTCGGCGAGGTCCTCCAGGCGCTCCATCTGCGCGTAGGTCATGACCATGCCGGGGAACTGGGCGTCTCCACGATGTGTCCGGGGCTGCGAGTGACCGCCGAGACGGGCGACTTTGGAGAGATCGAGCTGGAACTTGTCCTGCAACCAGTTGACGGCATCTCCGGAGCGACCGGTGAGGACGCGGATGAGGTCGTCGCGCGCAAGTTCGCGTGCCTGCAGAGCGGAAGTGGTCAGATTCTGTAGCTGCGCGCCCAAGTGGTGTCACACACCGATTTCTTGGTGTCTTCGAAGAAGGTCTTAGCATTGTCGGGGATGCCGAGGTCCTGCTGGCTTTGTGTGCCGGCACCGTTGATACCCGATGTCGCCTTCGTGGAGTTGCCACCCATGAATCTGAGTGCGGAAGGAGTTGTGAGCGACCAGTCGCATTACGAGCGTAGCGAAGAGATAGGAGTGAACACTACAGGGGACCGCAAATTTCGCGCCCAGCTCCAGAGTATGCCTTGCGGTATCTCCTCTGGTACCTCCTGTGTACTATGTACCCTCCGCCAGTCGCCTACACGGCCATGGACCATCCTCGAAACGACCTCGTATCTCTACGTCATCAGGAAGGCTACTCACGGTTGCTTGTCCAGGAGCAAGACATTGGCCCCGCGCTCAAGGAGCGTGTGGGCGGCCGAGAGACCAGCGAGGCCACCACCGACGACGATTACTTGGGCCATGGAGGATATGTGGGTAGGAGGGAGGAAGGGGCAGGGATGAGACGGACCGCCAGGGGACGAACATAGCTCTTATACGGCGTATTCCCTCCCGGTCACCTGAATCACGCGAGGCGGATCCATGTGAATTCGCGCCCGCCCCCGCCGGTCAGACGACGTTTTCGGCGGCGAGTGCGCCCAATGGGGCACCGACGGCCCGGAGCGCCCGCGCCTCCCCCGCACTCGCAACCCCGCAACGGTCGGCCGTCCGGCGACTGCCCGCTCAGGACGTCCCGGCGCAGCGTCCAATACAAATTGGCGGAATCATAATCACGCTCTTGCCACAACGCCGATGTTTCGTCCGCCGTGCCGAGTCGAATCCCATGTCTAGAATACACGATCGTTTCTATGCCGCATCCCCGCCCCCGCGTCTCACTTCCCCAATACCCCACAGACCCGGTCCACCATGTCGCTCATGCTCAGGTCGAGTCCGTCCAGCAGGATGAGGCCGGCGACTTTGCCGTTGGGCTGGCCGCGCTCGACGTCCCCGTTCTCCACGATTCCCTCGTGTGCCTCGACGTAGGCCGGCCACACGATCTGTTCCCAGTAATTGGGCGGGTCGCGCCATAGGCTGCCCTCTGGGTCGGATTGAACTCCGGGAAGGAACGTCAAGACGTTGCGCAATTCAGCCGGCGGCGAAAGGGCGGTTATAAGAGGTGGGTCGATCGGGGGACGGAAGAGGTGGAAGAGCGTTAGGATGCTGTTCAACCCCGCGGCGGAGCAAAGTGTTCTTACCTGCCGTGTGGTACCCATGTCGGTCGTGTCTCCGTTGTTTCAGGACGCTCTCGGGCACTCGGAGGAATACACGGTAGTCGAGCTTCTCTACGACTTCCTGCGAGTGACAGTTAGCCGCCGCGAGTGTGGAGACGATGGTTCTGCGCCTACCGGATGCCAGTACAGCAGGAAACCGTCGACCATCACCCACTTGACTTTTTCTCCCTTGTCTCTATGTTCCTGGTCTACTTGCTCGAAGTGCGCCTTCCACATCTGGTATACGACGTCATCTATGGGTACATCCCTCTGTTCGTTCAAGTGGTCGTGTGATATATGCTCTGGTGGGATCTCCCCGGTGCGTTTGACCTGCATCGCGAAGTCAGACCTGTCAACCTCATACGATGATTGACGGCGTACCTCTTCCAGAGCCTTGACCATCCGGGGCCAGTCTATGGCGCCCTCGGCACGGTCCCAATCTTGCACACCGTAGACTGGGTGCAGGGGAATCAACTCTTGAGGCTACGAGCATCTATGAGGCCACGTCTCGAACAAGGACGGCGGTAGAACACGAACGGGCGCGAAATCCTGTACAACTGTATCAATATGTATCGCGCATTCAGAGGTGCGATTGACTTACATCCTGGTGGATGATGACACTGTTAGGCAAGATACGGCGGAGGTGCTTGGCCAGCGTCGTCTTACCAGAGCATGTTGCACCGCTACAAACCGATGAGTTCGCCGTATACCAGGTAACCGGCAGCACCTACCCGATCCCAAGGAGGATAATGCGTGTCTTCATTGTATCCGGGGGTCCAGACGGGAGGACGGTCCGTGTATGCGCCGAGCTGATGGACAATCTGTTGGTGAGGATATTGTGTGGACGTTCTGGGGTTCCACTCACCAGTTGTGAGGCCTGTTTTGCGGTCTTATTGCACCTCAGACGAGCCGTCGAGACTTACAGCTACCAAGCAAGTGAATGAAGGAGAGCAAGAGGTCGTGCGCACTGCGATATCAATAATCACAGAGAGTCACCGGATTGCGGAGCCGCTACTCCGGATGATAAGATAAGATGAGAGCAGCGGCGATCAATATTGGTGGGCGTCTACGCGTCGCCTTTGTGGCGCCCGCCGCGCGAGTGGCTTTGCACTTTGAACCACCACAGACCGTTTATTCCAGCCCGTTCCAACCTTCATATCACACGTTTATCAAACGCGTAATCTAATAGAGGAGAAGAAGTAACACACTAGTACTGGCAATCCAACATGTCCTCAGACTCGGACACAATCTCCCATTTCACACCCCTGGACGAACTCATCCAGGTCATATACCAAGGCTCATCCCGTTTCGTCATTATCTCCTCCGTGGACGACGCGAACTGGACAGTCCACGTTGGACTCACGGGAGACGACGGAAGATGGTGGCAGGGCCGCTGGACGGAGAAGGACGTCCGCGAAGTCATCGTACGCCCTCCCGCGCTCCGCTCCCGTTCTCAAGCGTTCTAAATCCGCCTCCGCAGGGCTCGAAGCTGTCCGGGTTCCTCGTCGACTCCTTCGTGGAAAAGCTCGCGGACACATTCACTAAAGGCGAACTGTCCATCGGAGGCCGGAGCTCCGACAGGACCGCGCCGCTCCAGGTAGGCACTCAGCCTGGCGCGGCATCTTGCCTAGAGCGTACTGAGGCCGACTGGAGTGCTCGTAGCTCGTCTTCGGTACCCAGGCGAAGACACCCATCAGTATAGCCTTGAACGAATTGCCTCTGCGGGATGCAGTGGTATATGCTACGAAGGTCTTCGCGGAGGTACGGGTATACCAATGTCGCTAATGGGTTCACAGCCTAAACGGTACCGGTCATTCCTGCAGATCGCATTGCAGGCGCAGTCTCGAGGATGCCGCCTTTACCCGTCGACCATTGATTTACCGAGTCTTGCACCCGCCACATCCAGTCGGTCCCCATCCATTCCGTGCAATGGAATCTCTCTCACTCTTCTGGATCGTAGCTTCCGGTTTATCCAAAACACGCAACAGGCGCTCCCCTGAGGTTGCCCCTGCGACCGAGACGAGGCACCATACATCTCACAACGCCAAGGGTAAGGAAAAGGCTTCGGAAGTGACGCCAGCTCCGGACAATAGGTACAAGCGCAAGGCCGATGAAGCCGAGGAAGAAATACAGGCGCTGAAGGCCGAGCTCGAGAAGACGAAACGACAGCAGAATGCCTTGATGACCGACCCTGCGAAGCTTTACTCCAGTGCGTCGGCCTTTGTCGTATATGGGCGGACCCTGCTGATGCCCACCCCCACGGCAGAGAACAAGCCCGCTCCAGCGGCCAGCAAAGTGAGGGGTGTCTCATTGGCCAATCCCACCAAGAAGGCACGCAAGTACAAACCTCTAGAGTTTGAGAGTGACGACGATGCGTAGGACATTTCTGAGGGTTTCTGCATTCACTTGGTTAAGATCTGCTGTCGCTTTCGATTCACGCTGTCCATGTATCATAGCCGTATTCACAAGAATTTATCCACTAGTCACTGCCCGTCGCACGAAGGCCTAGGCCTGCATGGACCTTTGCGGTCGGGCTCCAGCTCCTGCAATCGCCGGAGACAGGAGCGTACAGTGTTGACCTGGATACGTCCAACCGGTCGAACCTCAACGAATGCTCCTATTTCCGTGGTCCGTCCGAGCCTGGCTCATTCCACTCGAGAGCGCACAGGGCGCTCCGAACGGATACCATATGTATGGCTACACCTTGGCTGGGACTGTTCTCGATCGCAGACTAGGATCCGTGTCGAGCCCCTCTGGAACATCTAGTGCTGTGCTCTCCTATGGCGTCGCAGGGCATATAATAACCGCTCATGGAGGGCGCATTTCACTCAACATACCCACCAAACTCCACACATCACTACGCTCGTCTCGAGTCTAAAGAGAACTATCCTCAGACTCCTCGTCTCTACCAGACACATGTCGGTAGCAGCATCATCCAACCGCTGGCTCTCGGACTGCCTCTGCGAGCTCATGGCGTCCCCGCACGTCGCCATGCCGCACCACGGCGGCATGCACCTCGGTCCAGGACCAGTGGACCTCTTTACAACCCGGTTCAACGAGTACTTCGGCCGCGAAGCGTGCGGCACGCTCTGCGGACGCCCCGTCGACCGCGAGGGCCTGAAGACCGGGTTGTTAGCCTTACAGAAACGATGGAACCCAGAGGCGGTCAGGGTCGGGAACGACCCCCAGCTGAACGGCATACCTCTGGGACACAACATTGTGAGCTCAATCGTGCCGTTCTGCGATAGCGTGCACTCTTGACGGAACGGTGGTGGAAACAGCTCGCCACTGAGGTCGAGTGGACACCAGAAGGCTCTGCGGTGCCTGAGGTCGTCCTCGCCGAGGCTTCGTGCGTACCTTGCCATCGATTGCTTGTGTTTGACCAGGGTTCTGACTGGGGATCTGACCTTGCAGAGTTGGCGAAGAGGGCGGCCACGAGCAGATCCGGTTCCTGAAGATGGAGGGCAACTCTGCTCTCTTCCGAGTTTGATCGCATCGTCGCGCAATAGCGCTGCGGGCCCTGCCATCGCTCCCGGATCGACCTTGGCTGCGAATGCCATGTAATTGTATCGTGCACCGAACGATGGACATTTCCCGGTGCGGGTTGGATTGTATCATATTTTCCAGGACACGATGTCCTCCACTCATCTCTAATGTACCCTACGATGTATTATTAGTCCATTATGCACGCTGAAGCATAGTTTGACTCACCATTCTGCTCGCCGTGGTTCGAGGTCAAGTTGATCGAGGCGGTCGATGACCTCGTTGCATCATTTCCCCGCAAAGGCACGAATTGATGGCTACATAGACGCCGCGCGAGAAATTCTGCATCCCGCCTTCCTGAACCTCTATAACCTAAGCTCCGGCCATGGCCTCCCTCTTGTCTCGGCCACGACCTCTCGACGACCTCTCACGTCCTACGAAGAAGAGAAAACTTGCTTGACGGATTCTAGGCTTGCGGTGATCTGCGCTGGCCAGGATGTCAGGCTCTCTCAGCGACCACGACCACACGGGTGCCCCCTTGGAGCGCCACGACTCGGGCAACATAACGAAGAAGGTGACTACGAGCTCGGTGGATCTACACGAAGATGTCGAGCACGGAGAAGGGCCTATCGGGGCGTTACCCATCCCGCCAGTGGACAAGCGGAGGGTGGGACTACACCGAGCTCTCTCGGCGCGGCAGGTCTCCATGATCGCTATTGCCGGGACGATTGGTACGGGGCTGTTCTTGGGGACTGGACGGTCGCTCGCACAGGGAGGACCCGCGAGCATGCTCATATGCTACAGTCTGGTCGGTTTCATCGTTTACATCACCTTGCTCCTCTTGGGAGAGATGGCCACACAGTACCCGGTCGCAGGTGAGTTGACCTCCAATGTCCAGGACGTCGCTGCATATTGACGTTGTGAAAGGATCCTTCAACGCGTACGCGGTGCGGTTCTTCTCCCCATCGTACGGATTCGCGCTTTCCTGGAACTACTGGTTCAACGATGCAGTCTCGGTCGCGTCGGACTTGACTGCCGCACAACTCGTCCTCCAATACTGGACGACCTGGCACACTTGGGTTGTCAGTCTGATCTTCTGGGTCTTCCTGGTCGCCGTCAACGCAGTTCACGTTCGCGCCTATGGAGAGCTCGGTAGGTGTCTGTACTGTTATGCTCGATGTCCACCCCTCAACTCTGTTCCCGTGTGCAGAATATTGGCTCGCATCTCTCAAAGTCATTACCGTGATCGTTTTCATCGTTCTCGGTATCGTAGTCAACGCGGGGGGAAACCAAGCGCATGAGTACATCGGTGGCAAGAACTGGCACATTCCTGGTGCCCCGTTTGTGGGCGGGTTCGGTGGTTTCGCGCGGGTGTTCGTAACGGCGAGCTTCGCATGTGAGTCAGGCCATAATTGCTTTCACATACCCCTACTGACTTGATCCTCAGATGGAGGAACTGAGTCTCTGGGTATTACCGCCGGCGAGACCAAGAATCCCTCCCGAAACATGCCGCGGGTAGTCAAATTTGTATTTTGGCGGTAAGTTTCTGTCCAATGCATTCTTGCCACTTGCTGCGACTGACCTTTGCAATGTCAGAATTTTGTTGTTCTATATCTTGAGCATCCTGCTCATGGGCTTGAACGGTACGCCGCTGCGCTACTCAGAGACCGCCCGCTAACCAGGTATTCCTAGTTCCATATACTTACCCCGGCCTATCGAACAAGGAGACGACTACGTCGCCGTTCACCATCGTCTTCGCAATGGCTGGATCTAGTAACTCGCCCCCTGTTGATGCCGCCGTAACAAGCTCTAACCACTTTTGTAGCTGTTGCTGGGTCATTCATGAACACGGTTATCTTGACCTCTGTCCTGTCTGCGGGCAACCACGCGCTCTTCGCCGGAACGCGTGTACTCTACGGCCTTGCTACGACCACACCTCCACAAGCCCCGGCAATCTTCGCACGGACGACGCGGGCCGGCGTTCCCCTGCTCGCCCTCCTTGCTACAAGTAGCATCAGCATCATCTGCTTTGGCTCGAGCTTCATCGGCAGCGGAGAGTTGTGGGGCTGGCTGCAGAACATTGTCGGTGTGTCCAACCAGATCGCGTGGGTATCCATCGGACTCGCTAGCTGGAAGTTCCGACGCGCTTGGGTCCGCCAAGGCCGTCCCTTGAGCGAGATGAAATTCAGAGCGGGGTGGACGTGGCCGTGGGGGCCGTATTTCGTCGTAAGTCCCGCATATTTCGTCGCGCATGAGTCAGGCCTGGTTGTTGATCAATAACCAAAAGGTCGTCACTGTTACTGCATTGATTATCAGTGAGTACTTGCTCGCGTTCTTTTCTAGATTGTATCTGACCGGTGCCCAGTCCAAGGATGGTCTTCTGTGTTTCCGCACTTCTCCGCGGTCGACTTCGTCTCGTTCTACATCGAGATCCCCGTCATGATCTTCATGTATTTCGCCTGGATCATCATCAAGCGGCCCGCGCCATCATCCGCGCGCCCCATAACGCCGCAAGAGTCGACGTCGGTCGAGCCTCCCCAGAAGCCTGGCATCCTGTTTCGAGTATGGCGCCGAATAGCGTACTCCGACGCCGTAGACATACGCACCGTAGACCTACGCAGGGACGAGCACGAAGAGGAACCCGAAGACGTCGCGGACGATTTGGAGAGGGAAGCACACCTGAAGGGACGCTGGGGTCCGTTCTGGAAAGTATACTACGCCATTGTATAGTTTCTCGTAACTGCTGTACTACGTCACTGCTTGACCTACAACTTCGAATAAGCCTGGATTGCGGGGGCTCACGCGCGGGGATGGCGTAAGTCATCGGCTCCGCCGATCAACGCGGCCGCCCCCCTGTAAAGACGTTCGCCGACTGAGTCGGTCTTTCCGAGTGAGCACACACGTCGTCTTCCGTTCTGCGATCTGTTTCTGGGTCAGCTGATGTCTGCGCTTCAGGATGGGCGTGTCGGGTCTGAACGCCCGTCGCTGCTTCATTAATTGCGATGTTCTCATGCCGGATGTCGTTCGGGACCCGGGTGCATTTCCGGCTCAGAGTCCGCAGCGTTCTTAGTGAGCGTGTTCTTAGTCCGAGAGTATCGGGGCTCGGAAAGGAACGACAGGACTGGAACATAGAGTCCTGGGTGCGTATATAACAAGCATTCCGTTCCAACCGAGCAGTTACCACACTGACCGCTGACACATCATAACCCTGAAGTCTACCAGATATGTGCGTTCCCACAACGCAGAAGACCCTCTTCCTCCCAGCAGTTCAGGGCGCCTTGACAGTCCAGCTGAACGACGTCCCCAAACCCGGCCCAGACGACCTTTTGATCAAGATCGAGGCAGCGGCCCTCAATCCCGTCGACTGGAAGATAGCTGAGACTGGTCTCTTCCTGGACAAATACCCCGCCGTCCTCGGTATAGACGGCGCCGGGACCGTTGTTGCCGTTGGCACGAACGTCACCGACTTCAAGATCGGGGACCGAGTGTACGTAGCAGATTGTCGTGGGGCACCTAGTGTATGAGTTTGCTGACGGACGCTTCCTTCGCAGCGCCGCGCAAGGTAGTCTGACTCCGCCGACAGGCACTTATCAGCAGTACTTCACGGCCCTTGCGTCTGTTACCATTAAGGTCTCATATACACTATTCCGCAGCGTAAATTTTGTTACTGATATCATTGACTCTCAAAGCTCCCGGATAGCGTCTCCTTCGACGAGGGCGCCACGATCTCCATCTGTGCGGCCACTGCCGGGATCGGCCTGTACAAGAAGGACAATAGCGGCGACAGCGCCGGGCTCACTGCTCCTTGGGAGGAGGGCGGGCAGAGCGTATACGCCGGCAAGCCCGCCGTCGTCCTCGGCGGGTCTTCGTCCGTTGGTCAATACGGTGAGCCTTTTCCCACAGCGTTGCACGCTGAGACCCGCTGACCGCATGATGAACTCGCAGCCCTGCAGTTCTTGAAGCTCTCTGGATTCTCGCCCATCATCACGACTGCGTCCCCGCGCAACGCCGACCTTGTGAAGGGCCTCGGCGCGACCCACGTTCTCGACCGCTCGCTCCCCGCAGAGACACTCCAGGCCGAGATCGTCAAGCTCGCAGGCGGCCCTGTTGAGGTCGTCTATGACGCCATTTCGACGAAGGAGAACCAGGACCTGGCGTATGATGTCGTTGGCCCGCACGGATCCCTCGTACTCGTCTTACATGAGGTGATCGACGCGGCGAAGAAGGCGGGCGACAAGAAGCCCACGATTGTATTCGCAAGGGGCGGGCTCGCGTACCCCCAGAATATCCACTTCAGCGTCGGGTTTGTGAAGGAGCTGTCCAAGCTTCTGGAGGCTGGTTCGTTCGAGGTGCGTCTGCGCCCTCTTTTTGGAGGCCCATCTGTTGACTGTGACGCGCTCGCCTAGCCAAATGTCTTCGAAGTGTTGCCCGGTGGCCTCAATGCGGTCGCCGGGGGGCTGGAGAGGCTGAAGGCGGGCACAGTAAGCGCGAGGAAGCTGGTTGTACACCCGCAGGAGACGGTGTAAGGCTACAACGGCTTGTGCGAGCATAACCTAGTATGAGACAAGTTCTCGCACGCGACGTACTGAAACGATCTGGCACAAGGTGCTCAGTGTTTATCAGAGAAACACCCGCACGGCATGTAGTGAAACCAATTGGAAGCGAGTGCTCGGTGTTTTTTTTTTTTTTTCGCTTTGGCTGAGTCGAGGTGCGTCGTCTCACATTTGGGCCTTCAGTATGGACTTCCTGCCTTCCATCCGTTCTGATCCGCACTCTTGTGCCACGTGCCATCTCTGTGCTCTTCTTCTGGGGTCAGCCATGGCGCGGACACGGTCTAGTGCGCATTCAGGTGGAACAAAGCAAACATTGGTTGGAGGAGTATCGTCTCATCCGAGTCGGATGCACTTGAGCTCACCAACTGCGTCGTCCTGCTTGGACCACCACTCCACCGTATGGTCCCGCTTGGGCCTCGCACATAATGCTCGATACAATTCTGCAGGACCCGATCCCTCCGAACGCACACCAGGCAGGCGATTTCCTAGGCATGTCAAAGCGGGCATTCAGCTCTGCATATATATGTCGGTGAGGTTGCTCACACCTACCGCAACTATCAACTCTACTTCTACCTGAACCACTCAGTGTTCGGTGATATCCCTTCGTCCTTGCAATCGACAGCTTTAAAAAGGCATGTTATTGTTTCGTGCGTATTTTTTCCACCGATACAGGATCCTTTGGCGAACTGTTCTGACGCCCTCTTATATAGGAACACTTACATCCTTCCAATTCCCCGTCGCATGCGACGGGGATGATGAGGTTGCCGGCCAGCAAGTCAATGGGCAGCAATTTACCATGTCAGCAACCGAAGTCAACACACTCGTACCAGTCCGGGACGACGTCAAGGTTCTCTGCGCAAAGATTCAGTCCCAAGACTCAACGCTCAAGCTCCAAGGTGTACTTAACGAACGTCTGCCCAACCTCGAGCAACTCCACCTCGAGAGAGTGCCAGCCGATGGTGATGACGCGGTCCATGCGCCCCGCAGTGAGCCACCATACACCCTGCGCGCTGCCAACCTCCCGAAGCTGCAGATTTTGGCCGCCGTTGACACGATCGTCAGCCTCGAAATGCCTTTGTGCCGAAACCTGCGCATGCTCCACCTCGAATTTGACGACCAGAAGAAAGTGGACCGCGTTCCGTTGGCCTGTTTCCTCGACATCATGCGCAACTGCACGTCTCTCCAAAGTCTTTACGAATACTGCTACGTGGACGCCCGGACGCCGAGGGGCACCCCGCCTCCCCCCGTTCTTTCCTTGATGGGTCACACGCGCCTCAAAGTTCTTCAGATCCTTGAGGACTCTGACACTTTATCCAGGATTCTTTCTAGCCTGATCATCCCTGCCTCTGTCAACCTCACAGCCGCCGCGGTCGTCGGAGAGAAGGGGGTCTTGCGCGATATATTCCCCCGCGATAGGACCCAGTTGCAGATCCTACAACGGGCGACGAAGGTCGAGGCGCGCCACACGCTACGGGACTGCTGCCTCGCTGCGCACATGCCAGGGAAGGATAGCGGGTGTCTCACCTTGGAGCTCTCCACCACCCCCGAGGGCATGCGCCGCAGAGAGAGGGACCTGCTCGATGGCACGTTCATGCATACTATGATTCAGTCCCTGGACGTCTTCCAAGACTGTCCTGCGCGGACGCTCTGTCTCGGCGGTAACCTCGCGCAGGTGCGTCCGGAGTCGTGGATCGCCGCGTTCGATCGCTTCCCCGACATCGAAGAACTCCAGATTGAGGATATTCAGGACCAGCCAGGGAAGACCCTCCTCACCCTTTTCGACGCGCTGGCCGTGTCCTCGAACGTCCACCGGGGGGTGGTCCTTCCGCGTCTGCAGACCATCAAACTCGAGGGCGCGATCAACCAACTTGGGCTGCTGGACGCAGTCCGCAGCTGCTTCACGCGGCGTGCACAGCTGGGAGCGCGACCGCTTCACAGGATGGAACTCATCCCGTCCCGAGACTCCCACAGAGGATGGACCGCGGATGAGGTGGCTCGCTTTCAACGGGAGCGGCATACTCTCGCCAAGATCGTCGAGTTGAAGATCTAACAAAGGGGTTAATCAGCGAGTCTTCAGCCGTATGATATATAGAAGTCATGGGCTGGCTATGGGTGATGGGATACTTGTGGTTGTCGGATACAATGACGAGTCGCACGAGGCAGATATCATATCATACCTGATATGTTTGGGAAGCCATTGAATGCATGCCTTTAATCATCGCTTTGACACGGAAGAGGTCTGTGATACAAACATGTGAAACATTAAGTGAAGAGGGGGAAGATACATGTACAATTTACTAGACGATTTGAACAGCAAACTTAAGCTTAAAAAGCCTGCTCGGCTAACACCTCGGACACCTTGACCGTGAGCGCGTCCGGCGACCTCATCTCTGCCGAAAAGTACGCCTTCAGGCCCTTGGCGCCCTTCGTTCGGACGATCTCCGAAAGTTGCATGTACGCATCTGAGCAGTCGCGCTTCCTGACCCTACACACGAAGGTCCGCTTCTTGTCGTACACCAGGAGGTCGCCAGCGTGCGGGTCGGTTGACCTCGAGTCTGTGGGGACCTGCACCTTGACGATCATCTGTTTCGTCTGGCCGCGGGGGATTCGCGGGACCTGGGCAGAGCGCGAGTTGCGCTCTGGGCGTTTTTCGAACGGCTGGCAGAGTATTTCGCGCGCCAGGTCGGGAACGGAGACCAGAGGGCCGAGGTCCTGGTAGTACGGAGTGACAACGACGGTGTTCTCCGGGCTGAATGGCACGCACGTGTGCTTGTGCGTCTTCCAGTCCTCCTCTGACAGCGGAGTGAGCATGGTGACGAGGCGGGCGGGAACACACATAACCTACTTTGGCATTCCCTAGAGCAGTACCAAGTTGCGTGGCACTTGCCACAGAACTTGAGCGGCCCACCGGACTTCGCGCACGTCGCGCATGTCTTGTCGTCCAGTGGCTGGGCGGAGCCTGCCCGTCTCCGCTTCCACTTCTGCACGACCGCGGTGACCTTCGGGCCGCACTTGATGAAGAAGCCGTCGGGCGTATGCCCGCCTTCCTCCGGAATGTCCAACCGCGCACCGAACTCCATCAACACCTCGATGGCGTCGATGGCTTCGTTTTGAAACGCGCCTATGATAGGGACGCTGCCGAATCGATCTTGGGCGTCGGGGTTCGCGCCGTGTTCGAGCAGGATCCGCGCCATGTCTGCGCGAGGCCTGGCCATACAGGCGTGGTGCAGCGGGGTGTAGCCGATGACATCGGGGATGTTTGGTGGTGCCCCGCATTTGAGGAGGTATTTCAGCGTACCGATGTGGTCCGGCGTGCCGGACGATTGGTAGAAGAACCGCTGTGCGCCGAAGAGAGGGAACGCAGCATATCCATGCTCGTATCCGGTCTCGCGTCCTGTTAAATCGGGCGCCGTACCAGACTCAACCGCCTGATATCATTATGAGTAAGCTATATGCGCGGAATATTTGTGAGAATCCACTTACTTTCATGACTTCTTCCAGGTTTCCCCGGTAGCAATCGTTCGCAAATCGGTTGAGGAGCGCAGGATTGAACTGAATTGAATCTGCGTTTGGTACGAACCAAGAGGGTCAGCATTGAGAGCTCAGCTGACTATTATGTAGTGAGTTTTTGTTTACTTTTCTGGTAAAGCACGCGGAGTCTCTGCTCTTCAAACATCGACAGAATACCCGGCTTGTCGAGGAGCTCTCGCATATCGCTGCTTACGACAAAACCGCCAGTACCTATTAACGCCATTTTATAGTATTAGATCTGTTGAGTATGTCCTTTACACGCATATATAGAGTTAGCATAAGAAAAAGCACCCCGTGTACGGACAACTTACCTCCGGAGGATTTAAGGGGCAGGCAAGTTCGGGAACAGAGAATCCAGTGGTTATGCTTGTTTGTTGATCCTAACTGCTGGATGAGAAGCAACAGCAAGATTATGAAGCGATGGAAATAGTGTTCATGGTGGTATGAAAGAGAGAACGGAGTGTTAGGGGTTGAACCTAAGTTAAACTTTGGTCAGGGGGGTGTATGGGCGCTTGTGCTATGGCGTTTGCCGAGGCGTTCAGTAGCGCGTCGTCGGAGTCGTCGGCGCTTCGTCACTTTCTTCCCCCTCCACTCTCGGCAGGCTGCACGCTATCGTCGCAAGATCGTGTCAGTCTTCCTGGGAAGCTTTTGCGCTCAGGAATTATTCCCAAAAAATTGGGCTTTGTCTCTGGACACACTGTGAGTTCCACATACTCAGGCCCGGGCTGGACGAACGAACCGCATCAAGTTGCGCATAAGCATCCGCGGCTGCGGCGGTCGCACTTACTTACTCCTTCGACGCGTGCAGGGTTCTTACTGCGTCCGTTTCCGGCACCTTACGTCCCACTTCATTAGTCTCAGGCGACAGCAAATTTGCCGCGCAGTATGCAATACTAACGACGCGGCGGAGGGAAATTGTGACCCGCCTAGCTCAAGACATCGCAACTTGCCAAGTCCAAACACGGCCACGCATCCTGGGTGCAGCGCAATGGGGCTACAGCTCTCTATCGCACGGGCGCATGGACGGTGGTTATCTTTTATTTGTAGGTAGGAGACTTGCACAGTGCAGCGGCGCGTTTGTGTGTTGTCATGCTGTCGCGGCGCTGGTCTATCCTTTCCGCAGCACCATTCACGTCCAGGGCATGCTCGTATAACGAAATAGCCAGTGTAAGAACCGTGATATGACGTGTTTTCAGGTTGTTGAGTGTTACTTTTTGCTTTGAAGTCGACTCTACCTGAATACTCCGTAGCTATGCCGCCGCTTGGGCCTCCAACACGCGCCGGCATTCCAACCCATCGCAGCATTGTCCACGACTATCAAGGCGCGTCAGAGAGGAGGTTCCATAAACATATGAGGGGAAGTGTGAGCTCTATCTCTGCCTCCGCTCCCCCTGCTTCCCACCTTCTGAACCACTGGTAGAGTCAGCGCTCAGCTTTAGCCTCCCGTCGTCTCGATCACCCTTACAGACACAAGATAAGATACCGAAGTGCGTATTCAGCTTTCTCAAGGAAGTCCGAGTGTTCTGACTGTTGCATCCATCTGTGTAGTGTCCCATCTCATGGACTTCCCTGTCAAATGCAACGGAAATCATCAAGTGGTCTGGCAGGGACTCGACGGCCGAGCATGTAGTATCATGCATGCAGGCGACGTTTCATCCCTACGGCCGTTTTCACGCGAGATGAAGGCCCTGAACGCAGACATGGTGGCCGAAGACGTAGTAGCCCGTGACCGGCTCAAACATCTCTTGAATGAACCCCTGCCACACCTCGAACAACTCCGAATCGAGACCATCCCCGCCGGCTCTGAGGATAACTTCTTCCGCATCTACCAGCCGTTCACGTACTCCTTGCGTGCTGCCAATCTCCCCCGGCTGCACTCCCTGATAGCTGTCGGCACGCGGGTCGACCTCGACCGGCCTCTCTGTGGCAACATACGACACCTCCACATGCAACTTTCCAACAACACGTACCAAAAACCTAGCCTCCCCTTGAACAACTTCCTCCAACTCGTGCGCAACTGTTCGCGGCTTGAGACCCTCTGCGTCGATCACTATATCGATGTTTCGACGCCAGCAGGGACCCCGAGTCCTCCTCCGGTGCTGTCTCTAACGGGCCACACCCAGTTAAAGGCGATTTCGTTTCGTGACCAGCCACATATCGTGTCCAGGATCATCTCTTTCCTGGTCATCCCCGCGCATATCACGACTCACATCTCGACGTTCGTCACTGGAAACAAGCCCACTGCTGCCCTGCGTGCAATGATTCCGGACGACCCGGCCAAGTTACTGTTGCTGGGACGTGCCAACAAGGTCGAGGTGCGCCACACCGCCCAATACCCCGCGCTTCGGGCAGGCATGTTGGGTGACGCCCACGGCCACTTCGAGATGGAACTCCTTCCCGCTCACAATCCCAGAGACCTCGGAGTCGTGGGAGGCTTCCCTGACGGCGTGGTCCTACACGCCATGATGCAGTCCCTGGGCATCTTCAACACCTGCCCCGCGCGGCTGCTCCGTGTCCAGGGGAACCTCCAGCACGTCACCCTCGAGTCGTGGCTCGCCGCGTTCGACCGCTTCCCCGACCTCGAACAGCTCGAGATCGAGGACACCCAGGACTTCTCGATGGACGCCATAGACGTCGCCCTCCGCGCCCTGAGCTCGCGCTCGCGCACGCGCTCCGGGGGCGCCCCCTGCCCGCAGCTGAAGCGTCTCCGAGTCCAGGGCAAGATCCGTAACCAGTATGGGAGGCTGCCTCCGGTCATCATCCTCTTTCTGGAACGCATAAACCTGCGCGCGCCGCGGCTGCACCGGCTGGAACTCGACCTGTACGCTGACAGGGCTTGGGAAGCGGGTGTGGCGGTGAACTTGCAGCGGCTGTTTGTTCCCTTGGCTGTTCAAGTCGAGTTGCACATCCGCGAGCCAAGTAACCGACAGTAGAGGCTGTGGATCCTGGACGCTGGTATCCTGAGTGGGACGCAGGTGCCGATTGTTGAAAAGGGAAGGGTCGGCGCGAGTTCATATCTTATGCTACACTGATCTACGCAGAACGAGAAGAGTGCTTCGGATGTGTTCTATAGCAGAATGGTTGCAATTACCTCCGATATATATGTGTCTAATGACTACGTCGATCTCATAGCGAGGTTATAGTTCTCTACGTTCGGGTGAGGGCAAATTCCGACGGCCTCACATACTCGGAACGCCACCCCATGGCCCAGCAGCATGCCGTTTGGCCTCCGGCCCGCCACACACCCAGTGAGCTTCGAATCCTTGCAAACCTACCGTCTGCAGTTCCCCGAAGAGCGAGATATATCCGAACGTGTCGGTTTCGTAAAAGGCCTCTTGCAGGCAGGCGTTTTCCCGACGATTCGTCGAAGAGCTGAGTCCCAAGATTGGAGATCTAACCCGCGAAGATCAACCTACTCGGAGGCTACCCCTGAGCAAAACACACGATGCGGCCAAGGTCTAGACATTATCGCACCTTGGTTATGATCGACGGTGATTGCGGGCTGCTGCCAGTGGTAGGCGTCCTGCTTTGAGCCCTGGACACGACTGTGCCACACGATGGGCGCTGATAGCACCCAGCGGACAACCAGTGGCACAGTGCGCAGGTGTATTCCGAAAACGAGGAGAGTCCGCGAGTACTGTACGCGTGATGTACGTGTAGCAGATGCGCGGAGACACGAGTTTGATCGATGAATTCGGCACGTTCCCGGACCTCCTGGGACGTGAGATAATAAGACGATAATGAATCGCCCGTCGACATACGTACGCGCATCCAGAACACGGAGAGGTAGCGGACTCGAGGACGTTGTCAACGTTGTTGCTCCGGCCAAGCGACGGTGGACGGTGGACGATGGTTACCGCCCCAAATGGACGGAGAGCTAAATGGATTGACGTCACTAGCAGTAATGCGATCTAAGTCCCGATGCGGGCGGCTACCTAGATTCCTGCTTTCCACTGCAGAGCTTCATGAGCATGTAGGCATTTAGGGAGCGCACAATGCAAGTCTGTGTCGCACATAAAGGCACATCGATGATCAGAGCCTCTGGAAGAGGTCAAGTGAACGACGTTCGCGCACGAGTCGCCCTCGAGGCATAACGCGGGGGAGCGAAAAGGACGATCGGCTCGATAAGATTAGATGGAGGGAGATCCCAGCGGCAAGATGAACCGGGTCCGGCGGAAGCCTCCGCACTATGTACCACTGACAATTCCTTCCCAGCATATACGTGGGGAGTATACTTGAGGAGGGCGCAACACCATAGTCAAAGGAGAAATGGCTACTGCCTACCTGGGAGAATACAGCGATGCAGGAATTGCGAAATAGGACGAATTGAGGCGCGGTCCATATCCCGATCGCATCTCAGGATCTAGTCCCCGATAGACGCCTGTACCCCGGACAAAGGGCTCTGTGTGATCGCGAGGAGCTTTGAGCGCAATGAAACGTCGCGCGAGAGGCAGCGACATGCGTTTGAGTGCTCGAGTGGCAGAGCCGAGGTTGAGGAGATGAGAGCGCGACAAAGGAAGGGGGTGTGGCACGGCGCGCGGGACGGAGGAGGCGAGGAAGGCAGCCGGAATAGGCAGGGCATGCATGGGACTGTGGCAGGCGAGTCCGCCTTTGTGTCACTGTCAGCCCATCTCGCTTTGCCCTCCGAGCCCTATATCTACCCTCCGCCCTCTCCCTCTTCCCTTCTCCATCCCCGCCCTCCCCCCGCCCTCTCCCGCCCCATCCCGCCCGACGCGTCCGCGACGACGCCTAGTGCACACCCCTGCGACTACACCCCTACCCGCGCCCGACTCTGATCCGTGCGTCCTGTGCATCCCGATTGCCGCCAACTCCTTCACCGCTTCGCGCACCCGGCCCTGCACCCGCGCAACACACCCCTCACTACCCGGAGACACGCGATGTTGTTGAGCGACACGCCAGATCTCGAGCTCGCCCTCGACCCCGCCGACGGCAGGTACGCGCTCACACTCACACGCACCTCGCCTTCCTACCCCATCTCCTGCGGCCGCGGTGAGCCCTACCGCGCACCCCGCTGTTCATCCACCCCCATCCTTGCCTTGATATCCTCACAATCTTCGTCACCACCAATCATGGAGGGCCGCAGCTACCTCAAGTATCCCATCCCCGACATGCACGAGGTCCAGCCCGGCGTGCTCGCCACCGGGCAGTGGACCATGCACCATCCCTTTGTCGACGCATACCTCACCGCCCTCGCACGTCTTGCCCCCAGGCAGCGTCCTCAACAAGGGCCGAGGGCATCTGTTCCCAATACCGCAACGACCTCACCCATCCTGCCTTCGTATGACCTAGACGCCCGCGGCTCACCCTTGTCCCTCGCCACACTCACTTCTACACCCCAAAGCGAGGTCGAGAGGATCCGATGGCGGGCACAACATGGTGGGATTGCGTCGGCACTCACTGTCGCGCAGGTCATCACCGTTCAGTACGAGCTTTTCCCGGGGCCCGGGTCGGCGTGGTACGCAGCGCAGGTCCCACGTCTCACCGAGGAACAGAAACGCGCCGTCTTCGCACTCGCGGCGCTGCGAGTGCTCAACCATCCCACGCATCCTGCGCACTGGGCCCTGTGGGCGAAGAATGTGCTGCATCGCACCGCGGGTGTTGTGCACAAAGTCTTCCGTGCGTATTCACACGCCCTACTCTAGTTGCTTATATGCGTCCGTGGATCGACATTGCTCACGCATTCATACAGAACTGCGGCCGTGTCCCATCGTGTCCCACGTCGGGTGGATCGGCCTCCCCGAAAGCGTATGGGCTCTACAGGGCCTCCACTCGGCGTTCGTTCCTCCGCCGCCACAGCCCGAGAAACCCAAGGGGGGCGGGATGACCCTACGCAAGCGCAAGGCCGCTGGTGCCTCATCCGCTAACTCACCGCCAAACGAGGAGGTGGCGACTCGCGTGAGCCCGCGCAAACGTCAGCGGACGACGCGCGCCCAAGCCGCGGCCGCGCCCCCGGCCTCGAACTCGATGCTCTTGGACATGACACTCCCCGAATCGGCTTCGGACGGCGCAGGCGCCGCCTCGAAGGCTGCGAAGCAGGTGTTGATCGATGTCGCTGGTGCAACTCCGGTGTTACAGCCGCTTGAGCTTGCGCTGCCCGATACCGCCACGGCGCTATCAGCATCCCCTCAGGACACATCTGCCTCAACGTCGGTGTCGAGCTCAAGATCTGCCGCTTCGATGTCACCAGGTGCCACGCGTCGGTCGAACCGCGCGCGGCGCAAACCTGCGCAGGGCCCGGTTACTCTGTCAACGCCCTCGGCGTCAACCCCGCTGTCGGCGCTGTCCACCCCATCTACGTCCCCAGCGCCCCTTGAACAATCGGAGCTCGAGAACCCGGCGCGCGTTCAGCCCAGCCAGGATCAGCGCGCACGGGCGGGCTCGTGCGGCAGCAGTACCGCTGTTAGCGAAGCTAGCGAAGCCGGCGAAGCGAGCGAGGGCACCGTGGTCGATCTCGAGGCCGAGCTCGTTTCGGCGGGCCGTGACGCCAAGAGCAAGAGGAAGGCCATCGAGCTTGACGACGCGGAGGCGGGGGCGGAGCCCGTCGAGAACTCTCAGGACGCCCTACCGACTGCTCCACTTGCACACAAAGGCGGCCGGAAGAGCCGCGCGAAGGCCTCTGCCCGCCCGAGGAAGCGCGTCAAGATCGACGAGAGCTCTCAGGAGCTGCCGGCGCCCATGTGCCTCGCTCCGGACGCGAACGGCGGCGCGACTTTGCCGCCGCCGGGCGCCGCGGACACCCTCGTCTCGCTGAAGAAGAAGGCTGCAGGCGGTGGCGCCTCGAGGAGGAAGACCGCCCCGCGCAAGGCGTGAGCGGTTGCGACACACGCACGCACACACCCTGTATCATTATTTATTCCCTATTCATTCTTATTCCCCACCCTTATTCCCCACACGCTTCGGTATTTTACCCCGGTTGCTTTCATGTTCACCGTGTTCGCGATACCTCTAGAGTGCGAACCATTCCTCTTTAGCCTCTCGCCTTTTTACTCCGGTATCTCGTCCGATCGCGTTCTGCATTCCAGCTATCCCGCCCGCTCTCCGTCGCTGTCTCGCACGTCCTTCCCACACCCGGCGCGACGGCCATGTCCACCCATCTCACGTCCTCCCCGCGCAGGCCGTCATCTCCCGCGCGGTTCCCGCGCCTGTCGCACCGCCGGCGTTCAGGTCGGTCTCCATAGACTTTCGCACCCCTCCTACCGCCGATGTCCCCTGCCACGCCTATCCTGTTCTCCCACCATCCGGACGCGTCTCCATCTGTTTGACCAATGTACCATACCCCCGCAGACCCAGACCCGCATTCCCATTATCCACGCCCGCCGACCCGCACGCAGGACTCTACACACGCTACCTCGCTGCGCACGCATCTCGGCTCTGTTTTCCCCGCCCTCTCTCCCAGCTCTCGCGCCCTCTCGCATCTGTCTCGCGTTTTCTGTATCGTGTACTGTATTCCGCACGCGGACTCTTCCCTGTACTCCCCCGCCCGGTCTCTGTAGTCCCTGTGTCTGGTCTGTTTTCCTCGGAATGGATGTGTCCTCGCGTTCGACTCGTGCATCTACGGCCAGACAACGGAAACCTGAGCTGAAGCTTCGGTGCAATATCGGACAGTGCACTGCGGTAAGTAGCAGAAGACGCGCACGGGCCGCGGCCGAGCGTCCCATGTGCGCGACGCGTTTATCACGTGGTCGTGCCAGATGTAATGCGCGCTACCCTCCTCGCGCGCTCGAAGGGGCAAACCTTCGCTTCGTCTCTCACCGCGCTCTAACTCCCGTCTGCTCTTCCCTGAAGCCTGTGCAAGAACCTCCGCTTCCATTGGAGCGCGTACAAGCTCACTTTTAGGAAGTCTTAAACGTGCAGTAAGAGAAACCAAATAGTACGTACATCAGACTCACTGGAACATACCCCAAATCGGCAGATAGTTCATGATCTTAGTGACAAAATACGCAAAGAGCCCCGCACACAGCATCTCCCCAGCCCACTTCACCAGCCCTCTCCAACGCCGCCTGCATCCATGCTGCACGAGGATGTCTGAGAAGGCAGCGACATCCGTCCCGTTCAGCGGCACCGTCTTCCCCTCCTTGTCCTGGAAGCCCATGGTCAAAGTGACTGCCGGAGTCCGTGTCAGCAGCCGAGAAACGGAAAAACACTGCGGTGCGTACAGTTGTCCCCAACGAGGGTGAAGCGCGCTTGGAGGAAGGTGTAGTTCAGCGCGCGGTCGATGCCGATGGGCACCGCGGTGCCGCAGCGGCGCCGCACGTCCATGAGCGGACAGGGTTCTGCCGCCACGCCATGGATGCATGACTCCGGCTGTTGGACCTCCAGTGGCTCGTCCTCCGCTTCCTGGTTTCTTAGTGCGAGCTCCGCCAGGGGATTCGCGATCGCTGGCGATGTCGATGTCTCCTCCGAGTGCGGGGACATCTGCTGCGCCGTCGGAGGGTGGACGAGGTGTTCCAGGTGTGGTGTCAGGGTCAGATGCAGTAGTTGTGAGGTGGAGTTCGAGCCTTCTGCGTGCTGCGAGGGTTCGATTTTGGCGGTGACAGCGGCGCTAAACGCCAGGACGAGGACGAGGAGACACAGCATGCGGATTGTGTGTGCAATCAGAGAGCGTATAGGGTCACAGAGAGGCTGGCGGGAGTACGTTATACGGGGATACTGGGGACAGATAGATGTAAGGGCGACGTCGCGTACGGAACGTGCCATCGAACTTAGTACATATAAGCTTGCTGCAGCGACCGCTACGCCGCGGCCGCGAACTATCATCGATTCATCCGCGGCACCGTTGGAAGGCACTGCCACGACTACGCGCGCGAGGACAGCTTGACATGCAATGTGATGAAGACTAGCACTCAAGTACTCAAAAGCGGCCTTTGGATAGCCGTAGATCGCAGCGGGATGCGTTGCTGTCGAAGCTTGCGCCCAAATAAGAAGAGCCTACCTCCATATCATCTGCATACCAGCACCCGACAGTTGAGGCAATGTTGAAGACATCATCTTTGCCTCTGCAAAGTCATCGAATCTCCAAGTTGAGTGTTATGATGGAGATGCCTGTACTGCCAACGCCAGTGGACACAGCTTGGCTTCAGCGGCTACAAGATGTCGTCCTGGTTCGTCATGTGTAGTATCCCGTGAGAGCGGCGAATGACTCACAGATACACCCGCGGCACCGATGCGCCTGTAGGTGTGTGTCGAGACTGCTCCATGATATGCAGACAACCACATGCGGTGAAGCACAAGATGCGGATGGGCACACGACCTCCGACCGCCTCGATATTTGGTTCGTTCGCCCCCCATCGCAAGGCAGCAAAGCTAAAAATGCTACCAAGAGAACTGACGGCATGAATCCTAGCAACATACACTGATAGTAGCACAGGTACAATACATACAAGGTAAATAGGAAGTCATTAGTACAATATAGATGTCGGGAGAGTCTGATGATCGTTCACATCCCTTCAATAGTATCGCCCGCCGTACCCACCGGATGTGATGTTGTGGACGGCCCTACGAATTCCTCCTCCAAACCCTCCCACACCATATCCGCCGGTGCCATATCCGCCGGCGCCATACCCACCGTACCCACCACCGTACCCTCCACCGTATCCGCCGCCGTACCCTCCGCTGTATCCATCATAGCCGCCATATCCATATCCACCACCCGGACGGATAACATCAACACTCCGCGCGCGTCGATGGTGATGTCCGTGGTGGTGCCCATGCCTGTGCCCATGCCCGTGGCTATGGCCATGCCGATGCGAGTGCCGGCTATGCGGCCGTTCGACGTCGACGACGATCGTCTGGCCCGCGGGTGCCATGGCGCCCGCGCCGTACGAGCCGGGCAGCGAAGCAGCAACGCCGTAGGGCGAGGCCATACCGGAGCTCATCATCGGGGACGCGCCTAGCATGGGTGACGCGCCGCCGAGAGACATGCCGGCGCCGAGACTCGCGGGGGTGCCAGGGAGGGGGAGGCCACCCCCTGCCATGTAAGGGGACGCTCGTTGGGGCATTCCCCCGTAGATGGAGCCCAAGAGCTATCGAGGAAACGTTAGCTTTGGATGAACTGCGGTACGCTGACAGTCGAATGATCACATACGCGATCTGCAAGCATGGAGGCTGTGGCTGCGGCGGCCTCGCACGCAGCCCTCAAGCCATACGTGTCTGTCGGACGTCCTGTATACTGCCATAGTCGAGTTGCTATATGGCTCGAACGTCAGTGGGGATCACTCGTCTGTAGAGCTATCAAACGTACCTTCGGCGATGGCCATCCCGATCAGGCCTTCGCGTTGTTGCGCGCGATCCGCGCTGAGAGGTTCGTACAGGTAATTGTTGTGCTTCCAGGTGCGGTACATTTCGTACGCTGCCGCCGCACCGATATCGGTTGGGAGTAATTGAGTAAGTGGAACCTGATAGAGATGATCGTGAGCGACAAACGGTGAAGCTGTAGTAGAGTCTAGCATACCATGCCACTATAGACGGAGTCGCGCCATCGGCGTGCATGTCCGTGGCTGATGCCCATTGCTGAGAATTGAGACGCACGGCCCATCACAGAGTGATAGAGAGTCCTAGAAAGGGATGAAAGTATAAGCGAAACAAATCACATGGCTGAGGCCTGTTGACGTACGGGTCGGGATTGTACGCATGCGCGTTGTAGAAGTCCAAGCCGCGCCCTGTATCAAAGACTGAGTACGCGGACGTGAAAGCAACGCGGCGAAGCTACATACATGATGGTTGTGGCTGGAAGGACGGTGCCCAAGGGCTGCCAAACTGGAACTAGGAGATCGTCAGCAACTCGAGGCTTATACAAAGCGTGACACACGAACCTGTGAGGTGCCCCAGCCGGGCACGGATGATTGGTAGTAGTTGTAGGCCATGGTGGGAGTTGCTAACAGAAGTAGGTGCGCTCAAAAGGGAGGGCCGACGGTACATATATGGCTCGAAGCCGCGAGCCGGAGAAATGATGCACTCGCGCCGGACTGACTCTAGTGGTGTCGATGCTGTGGCCCGTTCAGTCGGGTGGTCGAACTTCGAAGGAGTCCCGCAGTGCACCGCAAGTGACATCATCGGCCTATCATCTGAGCTCCCAAGAATTTTCGACGTGTCCTGCCGGTAGATCCGTGGTCAGGCTTTGTCGTCGAGAACGTAGAACCCCTTGGCATGTACCCATCGGCGACACGGCGGCGTCGGGGCTGCGGTCATATTGAAGCTTGGGCGCTCCGTTCGACGGAGGTGGTTCTCGGAGGACTGCGCAAAACGCCATGTGCAGTTTAAGGTCCGGGGTGCTGAAGGCGAGTCCTATGGATCCTGTACACCATGCGGTGTCGCATTGCATAGTTTCTGGGCTGTAGATAGAAAATGTTATGGCTGACTTCGAAGTTCAAGTTGCTACCCCTTCGAGCGCTAACCTTCGAGCAACCGCGCACAATCTCAGAGAGACATCAAGAAATCGCTGAGAAAATGGTAATGACCGCAAGGTGGTATCCGCGATACAAATTTGCCTGAAGGCGGAGATATAAGCACGTTTAGAGTCAGCGGCGAGTCGCGAGGCAAGACACTTTCACTGTCAGCGGTTTATGGGCACAGCAGTTTCTTGTCAGCCAACGTGTCGACTGCGCAAGTTTCATGCGATAAGCGAGATGTTCTGGAGTACGTGCACAGTGGGAGAAGAGGAAGTCAACGTCGCCGCTTGAGACTCAGACTGCAGGGCTGCGGGCGGCCAAACCGGCAGAAGTGACTTAAGTGACAGTGATGTTACGTCACGTAGTACTCACCGCATTTTCCGAGGCAAAGCTTTGGAGAAGCGCCGCGTCCTACTGTAACTAGCCTCCATACCATCACTCGTAACAAAGCACGGCGCGATTCCGAGCCTGCTGAGCTCATTCTCTTGCAGCTCAAAAGGATGCGCTCACATTCACAGGTCTCATTGAGCTGAATCCCGCCCACACTAGCGCAATTAATGCCACATGCGTCACGGCGGAGATCCGCTTATCTGGCGTAAGAAGACAGCTAAGAGCTCCTCAAGCTCCTGCTCCTGAAGCTTGTCTATATAACCCTTGAAAACATCCTTAATAATAACCACAACTTGCTCCCGCGAGTTTGAAGCATCCCCACACTTGCCATGTCGAATCGCGTTCGTGAACCTAGCTTGAAGAGGACCTCCTCGTCCCAGGAGAACCGCACCTCGGCGTCTTGGAATCGCGACCCCAGCAACTTCTCGCACCTCCGAGGGCTGAATCCCACATATGACGAGCATCGTACGTGATTTTGAATTGCTTCCTTACGATGCGAGCTCACGATGCTGATTCTTCCTTAGCCGACGTAGACGGGAACCCACTCGGTCACATTCGGTCGACTGGGCCGTCCACCGCTGACCCGGACAGCCTTATCGAGGACACGTCTGGTGCGAAAACCCCTACGCATGATCGCGCGACCACTCCGATACCCGGTGAGAAGACCCGCTCGCAAGACATGAATCGTTCTGCTAGTACATCTCAATTCCATAGCGCGCATATATGAGCAAATCGATAACCTCAATCACTCATAGTATCAGCAGAATCCAACGTGTCAGAGAGGAAGGACGGAGCTAAGCTTGATGGCTAGTTTTGAATAGAGGTACGCCATATGCTCGTTGGTGTATATGGCCGTACCATCTTAGCTTCATACAGAGCGAAGAACTACAGACTTACACGGCCTAAAATGACATCGACAATGACGATCCAATATGTGTTCCAATACGCCCGCGCGCAGTACGCCTACCGTTGTGGGTTCAGTCTCGACAACATTACAAGATGGGACCTAGATTGGGCCAAACTGCGGCTGGGGTGCCGCAGCGAGCAAACTCAAAGTAGCCGCTCCCACGCGGCTGGCTCGAGGCTTTGACTCGTCTCGCGCTTCTTGAGCGTTATGTGCTGCTCAGGCTGCGCGTAAAGAGCACATGACAGAACATATATACAAGTTCAACGCACTACAGTGTGGCACAGCTTAATTGCGCAGCGCTTAGGACAGATATATGATGGTATCATGTAAAGCTCCCGCTAACCAGAGATCTTCTCCTCATTCACGATGAACTCCCTCCCGCTAGAGACCTTACAGCGGATCTTCGAACTTGCCTGTACCGATGGCGGGCGCACGGGCAACTCGCTATCCCTCACGTCGAAGGGGGTCCGTTCCGCCGCTCGGACAGCACGCTTTCGCTCCGTCATACTCAACGTCAACCATCGCCCCCTCCAGAGCTTCATGGCACTATACGAGCGCGAATGCGATCCCGCGCTGGGGGACAAACTTCGCATTCAGCACCTATACCTCACGTTCCCCAGTATCGGCGGCACGGGTACACGTCCCAGGAACGCAAGTCGACGCTCCCTTTCTCCGTCTTCACGTAGGGAACATAGTCTGTCCTACGAATCTGCACATTCGAGCTCTCCTGCACGGTCGCAGTCGCGGCCGCGGTCTCGTCATCGCACGATCTCGCGCACGGCATCCTCCGAAGATATCGCACCCCCATCGGACGGCCTCGAGACCGAGGATGGGGACATCTATGTATGCGAGTGGCCTTCGCGCGGACGTCAGCGCACCCCCGATACAATAGCCTCGCCAGGCTACCTCGCGGCCGTGCGGACACTCTTCCGCCTCAGCGCACCCGACCTCCAAACCCTCGCTATCAAAAGCGGGGACTCCTTTGGCGGTCAGCTCGAACTCCCCTGCATCGAGCAGCCGCTCCCGAATCTCCGCGAGCTCGCACTTGTAGATGTCAGAGAGCCGAGGGCGCTCTTCGCAGAGGGCACGAGTGGGGCCCCACTATTCCCCCACCTCACGCACCTGCACATCGTCTCCGACTTCACCGTGAGCGACCTCGCCTTCCCGATGTGGGCGGCGCACGCCCCGCGCCTCACGCACCTGCGCGTCACTGGCGTCACCAGCGGACACGTCCCGCAACTGGCACAGGCGGTCGGGATCATGTTACTCGAACACCACCCCCCTGTGATTGTGGACATCCCCGGGAGCTACAACCCGCCGAGCCCCCCACCGCCGCCTCGGCCCAGGACAAATCCGCGCGTACGAGAGCTGGTGATGCAGCCGTGTCCGGCGCCGCGGGGAGGCCTCTGTGGTAACCCGATGATTGAGCACGACGAGATGGTCGACGATTTGCAGCAGATCGAGCGGGAGTGTCGAGGGTCGGGGATTCGCGTAGCCGTGCTATTACCCACGAATGATGCAGACGGGCGCGAGGACGTGGCCGAGCAGGCGCAGGAGGACTGGGTGGAACGGATACATCCAGGGGGTGATGCAACAGGATGCTGGCCGGGGTTGCTCTACGTGAGGGATGTGTTGACCTATGATGATGACGATGCCGACCTGCAGTTGTTTTTATGACACTTTGCCCCTCGCCCCCTTAGATCACACACAATATTTAATTTCGTCGAGAGGGTTGTGTAGTACTATAGCTAGTGAGTGTGTTTCACGAACCTCCTTCAAAACATCCAGGCCTTGTTGCCAGGGACACACACCATCTATACACTCCGAAGAAATACAGAGGCAAGCCCCCGTTGTCTAATGGCTATGATATCAGACTTCTACGGAGGGTTACTCCCCGAGGAATCTGGGGGTTGCGGGTTCGAGTCCCGCCGGGGGTAGTTGGTTTTTTTGTAGCCTTCGTCCTTCTACGCGTCGTATGAGTTGAGCCTGTCGGCACCGACGTCGCGGCACGTCCTCGCAAGGCATCGTTGTCGCACGGTGCGTATATATGACGAAACGCGTTGGCCGCGAGGCGCACCGCGCACGGTAGGTGGAGTGGACGGTGATTCTCGTTGACAACTGATGCCGAACCTTGTGAGGAGGAGCGGCCCAGAACGGGGCTACAGTTGCTCCTTCGTAGCGCCGCACAAAGACATGCTGCTCGTCGTCGGACACATCGCGAGCTGCGTCCGAGGCGTGTTCATCGGAGGTGCGCGGACATGACAGATAATTCCGGAGTCTTCGCATTTTACGGTAGTCGGACTGAGTAATCAGGGAGGACGAGAGCCGCGCCGAGCTGCAGGTGAGCGAGGCCAGCTTCCAGATCTGGCGATATTGATGGATGACGTTGGGCGGATTTGAGAATGACGTCGTTTCTCGATTCGTCCAGGACGTCGAGCACCTCAGCTAAATGCCGACGGGCTTACTTGCACACGGCCACCCTCATATACCACCCACTCCTCTCTCATCGCGCGCGCATACATCCCGCACACACCCACCTCTTCCACCCCCTACCACCCGCCGTCATGGCCTCCTCCCTCAAGAAGGTGCTCTCGAAGGTGGTCTCGCATACGCGCTCGAGCTCCAAAGCCAGTTCCAAGGATTCGTTGAACGGCGGCGCGCACCCGGTTACGAATGGCAAGATTGAGAAGACGGCCAAACCCTCTGTAGAGATAGACGACACGAACGCGAAAGGCGAGACCGCCGCGCGCAAACAGCAGGCCAAGGATGCGGCCAACGGACTACCCCGTCCGAGCACCAACAGCGAGCGGCCACTGTCCTTTACCGAGCAGAAGGAGGACCGCAAAGCAGAGCGGGAAGCCAAGGACGATGAAGAAGCCAAGGCGCGCAAAGAGCGGATGCAGAAGTTGCACGAAGAGGTGAGTGCCTGCACGGGTCTGCAGAATTTGTGTGGCGTACTGACATGGGGTACAGGACCCGCTACGAGACAACTGGGGAGATCTTCCATTGAACATGTCGCAAATCCGAGTCGGTACGTCACGTATGACTTGGGAGTGCGCGCCCTGTCCCGCAACTAATTCGCGTTAGAACGTAAATATAACCAGCTCCGCGACATCCCTAATATGAAGGAGGGTGACCAGGGCATCTTCCGCGCGCGTATACACCATATTCGAGCCCTTGGTGAGTCTACTTGCTGCTCGACTGCCCGAATACAATGTTGACCTGTGGATGTAGGGTCGAAGATCGTGTTCCTGATCTTCCGACATCAGTTCACGACTGTACAAGGCGTCCTGACAGAGGAAGCCGACAAGGTTTCACAAACTATGGTTCGCTGGGCCGAGGGCGTCTCACGAGAATCCATTGTTCTCGTCGAGGGCGTCATTCAGAGACCGCCGCCTGACCAGGAGGACGTGCACGGCACCACTATACACCAATACGAAATCAAGATTGCGAAGGTGAGTCCTTCCGGACTCACTGCACAACGCCCGCCCTTACGCTCCACCCCAGTTGCATGTTGTATCCGCGCCTTCCACGACCTTGCCTTACCAAGTTGAGGACGTCTCACGACCAAAGGAATATTATGAGAGGGTGAGGGTTGGCTCATACGGGCAGTCGCACATAGACTAATGTCGTCTGAGCAGGAGGATGCACAGTTTGTGCGTGTTGGCGAGCGCACCCGTCTCGACCACCGCGTCCTAGATTTGCGCGTAAGTCATCATGATCCTCCATGATTTCTGATTTCTAACAACTAGCCGAACAGTCACCCGCGTCCCATGCAATATTCCGGATACACGCTGGCGTCTGCGAGCTCTTCCGCTCGTATCTCACCGAGCGCCATTTCACCGAGATCCACTCCTCGAAGCTGCAAGGCTCGTCTACGGAGTCGGGCGCGGCGGTTTTCAAGGTGGACTACTTCCGGCGGCCCGCGTACCTTGCGCAGAGTCCGCAGCTCGCGAAGCAGATGTGTATCGCCGCAGACATGGACCGGGTCTTCGAAATTGGTCCCGTCTTCAGGGCCGAGAACTCGAATACCCATAGACATCTGACGGAGTTCACCGGCCTCGACCTGGAGATGGCGATCGACAGCCATTACCACGAAGTCGTCGACCTGCTGGACGACCTATTCAAGGCGATCTTCAAGGGGCTTCAGTCGAAGTTCCGAGATGAAGTGAGTTCTCATATGGTTGATTACTGAAGCGTTCTGACGGGTCGCTTCAGATCGAGACTGTCAAGCAGTACTACCCGAGCGACGACGTCGTTATCCTGGACAAGACGCCTCGGTTGAGGTTTTCAGAAGGAATCCAGATGCTGAAGGACTCCGGGTGGAAAGAGGACGACGGGAGCGAGCTCTCCGAAACCGACGACCTCAGTACGCGCGCGGAACAGCGCTTGGGACAACTTGTGAAGGAGAAGTACGGCGCGGACTTCTATATCATCGACAAGTTCCCGCTGGAAGTGCGGCCGTTCTACACTATGCCTGATCCTGAGGATAACGTGAGTGCAGGTTCAGTAGCGTATTTTCAGAATCTAACAGATTGCATACATAGCGGTGGTCGAACTCGTACGATTTCTTCCTGCGTGGTGAGGAAATTCTCTCCGGTGGCCAACGTATCCACGTCGCGCCCCTCCTGGAAGAGCGGATGCGGGAAGACGGCGTCGACCCGGAGTCGATGCAGGAATACGTTGACGGATTCCGATGGGGCTGCCCTCCGGTATGTGGCATTGCTTTGTCTGTTAAAAGTGTGGTTCCTGAACTTTGCGATGACTCTAGCATGGAGGAGGTGGTGTCGGTCTCGAGCGTATCGTTATGTTGTTCCTCAAGCTCGGTAACATTCGCTGGGCGAGCCTCTTCCCGCGGGACCCCCGCAGCTTCATCGTGCGCGGCCAAGATCCCACAGAAGCCGCGCTTGTCGCAGCCAACTCGCTCATTCTCCACGGACCTGAGTCAACAACAATCCAACCCGGAAAGAGGTCTGGTGACCTCCCACCACTGGAGAACGTGAGTGTGGTAACTTTGCATGAATGCAGTCGCGGTTTTTGACGCATACATTCCGGTAGCTTATTGCGAAGTACGGAGACGCGACGAACACGAGCTGGACGGATCCTGCGTGGACAGTATGGCGAGACAAGGCCACGGGCGCCGCGGTGGGATACATCCCCGAGAATGGCTTCGCCGTCACGTTCGGGAACCCGCTCTGCTCTGCAGACCAGATTCCTCGTGTCGTCAAGGCGTACCTTGCCCACCTCCACGAGCAGAACCTCAAGCCCATTTGGGGCTGCGTCGACAGGTCGACTGAGCAGTACCTCGCGGAGGACCTCGGGTGGGGTGCGGTCATTGCAGTCGCGGAGGAGCGCATCAATCCGACGGAGGTGGACCCGGCGGAGAGCGATAAGACGGTGCGGCGGAAGATTCACCGCGCGGAGCGCGAGGGCGTCAAGATCGTCGAGGTCGGGCCGGAGATGGACCCGCAGGTGAAGAAGCAGCTCGAGGAGCGTTGTCAAGAATGGGCGGCGAACCGGAAGGGGACACAGATCCACCTAACGGGCGTACGGCCGTTCGACGACATGGCGCACCGGAAGTACTTCTATGCTACGGACAAGGACGGCAAGGTACGTGAACTAGCTTGATAAGTAGAATGCAGAGAGCTCATCTGCGTTGTCTAGCCCTGCGCGATGGTTGTCCTCGCCCAGCTCGCGCCCAAACACGGCTTCCAGATTAAGTGGGCGCTCGAGTTCCCGGGCGCACCACTTGGCGCGATCGAGTACATCCTCACGTACGTGATCAAGAAGCTCGGCGACGCGGGCGTGAAGTCTGCTACCTTCGGCGCCGGTGCAATTGACAAGTTTCACCCCGCGGAGAACGTGCGCGGGTTCCGCGTCAAGGCGCTCGAGAAGGCGTACAACGGGCTCTCATCGACGTTCAACCTCACCAACAAGGGTGACTTCCGGAGCAAGTTTGGGACGTGGCAGGATCCCGTGAGTGGTGCCCACTCACAGCGGCGTCGCACGATGTCGATTACTGACGGGTGTTATGTGTTTCTAGATGTACATCTGCTACCCCAAGGGCGGCCTGGGGATGAAGGGCATCGACGCCATCATGACCATGCTCCAGAAGGAGAAGTAATCGCTGGTGCGCTGAAGCCGATATACCCCGGCCGGCCTCTCCGTACTCAAGCATCCACCATTCCGCGTGTATTCAAACATCTCCTGGGACATTCCTGCTTCACGTTACGAGTCCCCCACGCTGTCCCATTCCGCTCATTCCCAGTCCTGATGCCCACCCGCTCAGTAATGTATTTCCTCTCTATTTCTTCCCTCATACACAAGGTTCCTTCTCCTCATGTTTCATACACCGTTCACGGGATTTGTGTTTGTTCTTGGTACCGTGTCATTCCGTAGTATACGTAGGACCTTGCTTGTTCTGTTACCCGAGCTGTTGCTATTGCAGGCTCCCCACGTACCTACATACTCGTACGTTAACGTTGTAGAGTAGATAGTGCTGTAATGTGCCCCTCAATGTATCAATTTCCGCGACTCCATCATGCTGTACGGGTACAAACGCGTTCTTGTTCTTGTTATGAATGGTGTACAAGCGTAGATCATCTTCAGTCGTTCATATCTTCTCCCGGGCCCGGCGCCACTGCCATTTCTTTCCAGCAGCCTTCCCCGCCGTCTAGACGCTCTTTCCATTCATCCCAGACTCTACGGCTCCATTCATCAAAGGTCTCTGGGCCAGGCTCGAGCAACGTGAGGTCCACGCCGCGCAACCGACACGCGCCCTCCAAGTGCTCTATGGACTCCTGAATCACGCTCTGGTGGGATGGTGCCGGGGGAATGTCTGGCTGCAGGATAATATGACGAAGGTTCGCGTACCCCGGCCGCTCGAGCTCATCCCCGGGTGCCAAATCGTCTGCAGGGTCTCGCGCGATACCCAGACTTGCAGCCAGGGACGCTCCCAGCATCACAGACAACGATGAAACCAGCCCTAAGGCGAGGGACGCCATCATCCGGCCGCCCAAGCTGCTGAAGCACGTACAGCGCAGATGGGTGACGTTCGGGGCGTGCGTCTCGAGGAGCGCGAGGTCGTCGTACGGCCACAGCCACAGGTCCTTGCGGACGAGGTGGAGGCGGGTGACCGCGGGGAAGAGGACGGGCACGCCCTCCAGGTCTTCCCCGTGCACGAGGACCTCGCGGAGACGGTGCAGGCCGAGCACGGTGAGCTCGCGCAGGCGCGGGAACGGCCGGTCGATGAAGGGGAGCGGCTTCGCGTCTCGCTCCGCCGCGGCGAACCCGTACTGGAGCACTAGGGTCTCGAGGTGGGGGGCGACGAGGCACACGAGGGCGCGTGCGGCGGCGGTGTAGCTGGGGGTGTAGGAGATCCGTTGAGGCTTGTGTGCGTCGTCTGCGTGCTGGTGAACGCTGCTCTCGCCATCGCTGCCGCTCTCCGCGTCCGAAGATAGAGGGGACGGGGTCCGGCTTCGTTCCATGCGTGGAAACACGGAGACCAGGACGCGGGCGACCCCGCCGCGCGCGATCAGCGCGGCGTTGGACGGTATGGTGAGATGCAGGTGCGTTACTTTGGGTGTGGTCCCGAGCCGCGGGTCGCATGCGCGTTCGTATAGGGCGGTGAAGGACTCGAGCCGGGATGGGTAGGCGATGAGGGAGACGGTGTGGAATCGCGCGGCCCAGGAGGCGGCGCGGATGACCTTGGATGTGCGAGAGAGCGAGCAGCCGGTGTATCCGCCGTCGTCACAGATTAGGGAGAATATCTGGTGGAGGATCTCCAGCGGCAGGACGTGCATGGTAGCGGATGGGGCTGGGCCTGCAAAACCGTTCAGAATGAGTTAGAACATAGACATATGGTCAGGTGCAGCCCTGCGGTTAACGGCAGTGGACGCACCCGGGACAGTCCACGTGACAGAGTGGCAAGTACAGCCGTTGCAATGCGTTGTTTGCTCGGATCTATGGTCGTATGCAGCCACTAGTACTGAGGAGAGTGGGTTATCGAAGGATGTATCGCGCTAAGCTGTAGCACACACGATTGTAGCGCAGTAATCTCGCGTGGCGGACTCAGGGCGTCAGTGACCACTTGACAGTAGTTACGTACAGTGCGCGGATGAAGCAAGGTGAGATCTTGTGGAAGCCGCTTTAACACTCTGTCAACAAACAAGTTCAAGAGAGGCACAGGTGACCGAATATTTATGTCCTCATATCAATCAGGAGTTCAATGTCCCACCTCACCTGTCGTATGGTCCAGACTGCATATGCATGCTTCGATGATAAGGGTATATAAAGCATGAGCGCAACATTATGTTGAACACAAGACCAAGCAGATACAAGGGGAACAACCCGACGTGTATAGGCAGGGTAAGGGACGCGAGCAGACTATACAATTGCGAGACGTCAGCGGGCGTGATCAGTGTCGAGGGGAGTAAGAAACGTACCTATGTGGCTTCCATGTTTGACTGCTCGTTGCATGGCTCGAGCTCCTTCCAACAGCCCGGACCACCGAGCATACGTTCCAACCACTCCTCATGCAGCCTCGCATCCCAGTCCTCAAAATGCATGTAGAACGGCGGAGCCACCGCGATCTTCACGCCTTGATCCGGACACGCGTTCTGGAAGTGCGCAAAAGAGTTCGAAAGCAAGGCATACGCCTGAAGGGCCGCAACGCGCTGCTGCTCCAACTCCGTTGGCGGGTCCTGGTGCAGGATGATGGCACGCAGGGTAGGATAGACGCGCCTTCGCGGTGGTGGGAGGTCGGGGAGGTGCGCGATCCCGAGGCTGTTCGCGAGCGAGGGCATGAACTTGCCGAACGGCGCGCGGAGGCACGATACGCGGAGATGGCTCGCGTGCGGGGCGTGCACGCGCCAAAAATCCATGCAGTCGTGCCCTGCGAGTCCCTTGCGGACGAGGTGCAGACGCGTCGCGGCCGGGAAGAGGGGCGCGACGTTTGCGTGCGGCACGACGAGCTCGCCGACGTCGGACAGTCCGAGGAGCGCGACCTCGCGCACTCGGGGGAAGGGCATATCGAGGAAGGCAAGCGCGGGAGAGAGTAGGCGGACCTGGCACTTGAACCCGCGCTGGATGACGAGGGTCTCCAGGTGTGGAGCGACGAGCCGGGAGAGCGTGTGCATCGCCTCTCTGTACTCCGGGGTGTAGACGATCTGCGGGTATTCGTCGCTGGGCGACGGGGGCCGGACGACGGCGGGAGCGTGTGGAGGCGTGTCTGGGTGGGGCAAATCTAGCTCGACAGGCGCGTGATTGGAGGGAGCTGCGGCTGCGTAGTGGTTAGGCGTAATCGCCTGGTAAGAGGATGTCGTCATGCCACCTTCCGCCAACTGAAGAGACGACACCGGCTCCACTGGCGACGAGGTGCGGGTTGAGGATGCAGATCGACTGGAGGGCGTATGTATGGCGAGCCTGGATGGGGATGTAGGAGAGCTAGAACCAGAAGCAAGGGAAGGTGTGATGACTACCACTGGGGGGGATAAATGTGCATCTGGTAGAGTCACGCTGAGAGTGTTTGGAGAACCAGTCTTGACGCTGTGGGTGTGTGGCATGGAAGACATATCTTGGGCGCCGCCGCAGATGAATCGGCTTGGACCTTGGGAAGGGGGTATAACGAGGCGGAGGTGCTGAACCTTCGGGATGTCCCCCAGCGTGGGGTCGCATTCCTGTGCATATAGGCCGACGAAGGAGTCGAGGCGTGCCGGGTAGGCAACGAGAGAGACAGAGTGGAAACGGATCGTGCGCACCGCTGCGCGCACTGCTTTGGAGGTGAGGGACAGAGAGCACCCGGTGAAGCCTCCGTCTGTGCATGCAAGCGCAAATATCTGTTGCAGAGTTTCGAGTGGTAAGGTGTCCATGGTGGGGAAGGAGGGGTTGCCGAAGTGAGAGTTTGAGCCAGTATTTATATGCTTGGGCGAGGCTGCGCAAACGAGAGGGATGCTCCTCCCGACAGTGCCAGGTTGCTTCTTCGGGACATTTGGACATTGGGCAGGAGCGCTGTGGCCGACGGCTGCGGTCAGTGGCATGTCATCGCAGAACTTACATATGAGTAGCACACATCGGCGTGTTCCTCTTGGCAGTCACAACCACACAGGGTACGAAACGCAGATAGAAGCCACAACCCCAAGGAAAGTAAGTTTGGCCGTGACCGCATGCACGTTTGTCCCAGCAAGCCGATACCGCAGTGAGGCCTACATGCAGCGACATGCTGATGCCTGAAATGACAGAACACAATTCAGCAGGGCCGACATCATCAGTGAACGCAGACCTGATTGGCTCGGCGGCAGCAGTATGACTCCTGCACGCCCGCTAGAAGCATAGCCACTGCGCACAGCTGGATTCTGGAGAGAGCTGAGGGCAGAGTTTCTGGACGTGCTAGGTTTGGCTGACAATGAGACGCAGCATGCCTGCCATGCGCCTCCGGACAACTATGGGGGTCTCGGGTAACATAGCCTACGTTCCCGACGTCTCGGAGAGAACTTTTGAGGCGTCAGCACTACCATTTGAGTAAGATATACGCAGCAGCTTACTCCATGAAGGGCGCTACAAGGCGCTCCGTACTGAGTCCTGCTGACAGACCACGTTTCCGGTGGCTGCGGGCGGTCCAGCGTGATTGTGTTTCCCGTAGACAGACCTTCCATACTATGGCGTTTCGGAGGACCACGATCGGAACTACAAGTGTTCCGCGTGTGGTCCCCACCAGAGTCTAGGAAGCACGTTCTTGTAGCACAGCCAGATAGCGGGCAAGAACAAGATGGTCAACGAGACCAATGGCAGTGGTCCCGCCCGAACCCGGTTATAACAATTCGGGGTTGTCTACACCGTCTATAAAATGCCGTGCTGCGTCGTGGCAGCAGATATATGCCTTCCGACGGAGAGAGCTATATTGTCAGTATTTCAGTTACATGCACATGTCTATTACTCACAAAGCCAAGCCTAAAAACCCGAGGGATGCAAAGTTGCAAACGGCGTAAACCAATGCAAGCAGAACTGCACCAGTTTATAGCATGAGAGTCTCTTCTCTGCTACTTCATGGGGCATCCTTCTGCCTGTCCAGACGACAGAGAAGGGATGGTTTGCAGTACGGGCGGACCAGGCAGAGCGATGCAGATGATGATGATGACGATGATGATGGTCCTCGGTCAAGATGACTGGACGGACGCGCTGAACAGGCGCTGCCACTCGGTTACGGCTTGCCCTCTTCCACCACCACCGCTCTTGTCCTTTGCTTGGCTCGCCGATCGTCGAGGCTTTCTTGGCTGCCCTCTGCCAGCTTCCCTAGGCTCACGTCTATATGTCCGAAGAGGCTCAAAATGCATCCAAGACGCTCACGCCGTTGGTGACCGCAACGGAGCATACGACGTTGACGACCGCGGAAACGGACACGCCCGTCTCAGCGGGAATGCCTACAGTCACTGCGCTAAATCCGCCGACACGGCTTGGGTCAATTGACGAGGATGAGGCTGCTGCTGCGACTTCAGCAGCTACTGCTGAGCTTGCGCCGCGAGACGCGTCTGAGGAAGGACCCATTGAGGCGACGAAGGAGGAGGCCTCCGAGACATCCGCGGCGGAGCCTCCAGTAACGCAGTCAAATTCGGATAACAAGTCTGCAGAAGCGAAGCCTATTCCAGAACACAGTATCTCAGAGGACGAAGATGAGTATCTCTCGTCGAAAGAGGAGACCTCCGGCGAGAGTGTCTCAGCAAGCCCAGCGAAGACTCGTACATCCATCCCTCCCCCGGTGGTGACGGACAAGGTTTCCGCAACATCGCCAGCCACTCTGGACTCGCTCCTCTCTCCTACGGAGACGGAGGGCAAGTTTTCTATTCGCGAATCTGTCGCAGCCTCCGACGTTACCGACGACGAAACGCGCTTCTCTACCGTGCTTCTCAGCAGCGCGCGCCAGAGCCTCAACCTCACTCCCGGTCCAAAGGTGTCTATCGCATCCAGCGACCTAGTTTCCGTCGACGAAGGTACGGGCTCGGACGAGATCACCCTCGTGGACGACTGGCGGAAGCACAAGAAGACCGCGTCGAACTCGACCATCCTCTCCGTCACCAACGTGCCGTACCTGATTTCGCAACTAGATGAGGGTACCGGGGCGGACTCGCGTGAACGCCCGAACAGCATGGGAGGCAAAATACGAGAGGAATTTTACCAGAAGCAGCCGGCGGGCGAGGTGAGAGACTATACCGCTGAGGGAGAGGTCGTCGTAGATTGGGGTGCGTGGTGCTACCATCTATCTCGTCATGATCGTTGTGTGACCGCGTTTGTACATAGATTTCTGGGGGCAAGTGATGAATGGTACATCGCGCGACTTACATTTGTTTCGAGCATTGTTCCTGAGCGCTGTATGCGAGCCTAGATTACCAAGGATTCGCATCACAACATCCCGAGCAGCTAGCGAGGGCTATCGAGCGAGGGATCCCGAAGGCATTGCGCGGCATGGTCTGGCAACTAATGTAGGTATGCCGGAGCGGTGGTATGCCCGGAGAGTGCATGTCTGATTATTCTTAGGTCGGCATCCAAGGATCCGGAACTTGAGGCGACGTATCTTCGGCTGCTAAAGGAGCCAAGTCCTCACGAGAAAGCCATCATGCGCGACTTGGGAAGGTTCTGATCATCATGCATCACCTCTTGGTGGAGGAATCTCTGCTGACGCGTCGCCTGCAGGACATTTCCACATCATGCATTCTTCACGGACGGGCATGGTATTGGTCAGGAGAACCTATTCAACGTGCTGAAAGCATATTCTCTGTACGTAGCTTGTTGCCTCTCAACCGAACGTATATTCACAACGGCAAAGGTATGATCCACAAGTGGGCTATTGCCAAGGTCTACCGTTCATCGTTGCAATTCTGCTTCTGAATGTGAGTTAGCTCGTTTGCAGACGCACACGACCTCCTTGCTTACGCTTACTAGATGCCTGATGAGGAAGCGTTTTGCCTCTTGGTTCGTCTCATGCACTCGTACGATGTCCGTGGCCACTTCCTCCCGGACATGCCCAAGTTGCAACTTCGGCTGGTAAGTGCTTATATGCTCCCCGCAAACAGTCCTGTCTAACTCTTGAGTGTCTATATAGTTCCAGGTAAGGTCGCTTGAATGCGCGACGGCCGCTCGTGACTGACACTCTAGGGGACAGTTCGAACGATTACTGGAAGAGCTTCTCCCCGTTCTTCACCTTCACTTCGTCCGACAAGGCATCAAGGCGAGCATGTACTGCTCACAATGGTTCCTCACTATGTTCAGTTACCGGTAAGCCCTTCTACCTGTCGCGCGTTGCAATCTCTGAGCGCATACCGCACGCCAGTTTCCCGATGGAGATTGTCTTCCGAATATACGACAACGTTCTAGCGAGCGGCATCGAGGCAATGTTCACGTTCAGCATGACATTACTCATCAAGAACGAAGAGACGTTGCTTTCGATGAAGTTCGACCAACTCCTCTCGTTCCTCAACATACGCGTGTTCGAAGTATACCAGGTACGTCAATCGTACCATCCTCAATCTAATTCCTTTCTCATGACTGCTACGCCAGGTGGAACCACCATTTGAAGGCCAGACGGATGTAAAATACCACGTGGACCACTTCGTGCAAGACGCCATGTCGCTTCGCATCACGCCATTCATGCTCGACAGCTATGCACACGAGTATGAGGAGCTCGTTCGCGCGCGGGACGCTCACAAGCTTGAGATCGATACCCTAAAGAACTCCAACAGACAGCTTGTCGCGCAAGTGTAAGTTAATATCTGTCTTGCTAGTCTACCTTATGTGACTGATCGCGGGAATGGACAGTAAGAACCTCGAGTCGAACTTGGCACAGCTCAACACGGAGCACTGCGAAGTCCTGGTCAGTCTCCTGATCGCATAACAGTTTCCACCTCTCACGATCATGCCATATGTAGAACGAGCTTGTGAGGGCACGTTTACGACACGAGGATTTGGAGTCGGAGCTCGTCCGATATAAACTACTGTGTGTCCTTTCCTTCTCATCCCTCTCACCGTGCATTGAACATCTTGTTTTAGATACGCTGAGGCGATGCACCAGAGTGAAGACGCGATGTCCTCCCACCGCATCTCACTCGTCGCGAGCAGCAAGCGCGGCAGCGCCAGCACCACGGATAGCCGACGGGCGCTACCGTGACTAGGTCTGGGCAGCTTTGGGGGGTTCGGGGTGAGTGAGTGAGCGAACGAGGCCCGAGGGGGAATTGGATACTGGATGTCGGATACCACGGCACCCTGCACTAGCTATGCATCATGCGCCGAGACTCACTTGCATTCGTTGATGTCGTTTGTTACAAATTGTACTGGATCCCAGCTTTACATCATGTATGTCGAGTAATAACGCAGTTTCCATAGATGAATTTTACGCCATCATCATGACAAGTTTTCTTTGGGGTGGGAGATGCTTCAGGCCCTTGGTCGCGGAGATTCCCCCAGGTTAAACTGCATCAATATACAGGGCGCTTAGGCACTTCGTCGATGTTCCGTCTCCCCACCATGACAACATGCGCGGTCCTAAAGGAAATAGTTCTTTGAGTAGTCAATGGCTGAGTACTTTATGATCTAGATCCCTTTGAGCGGCTCTTTTGATTGATACGTAAGGTCCAAGTTACCACCAGAATCCGCAGAGCCATACTGCGGACCGTACCTGGAGGATACGTAGTCTTTCTTCCCGTCTCCTCCCACTCAGTTCGATCTGGCCGACTGCGATATGCGGCTCCCTCTTGAAATATGCGAGCTGATAATTGATTTCACAGCTGACGAACCGCCTCTGTGGACTACACGAGAGGAGTACGAGACGTTCAAAAACTGTGCCCTCGTCTGCCGCGCATGGGTCTCGCGCAGCCAGTGGAATCTGTTCTATTCTACCCACCTCGACAAGGCATCGCAAGTAAATCAGCTCATTTCCCTCTTTTCCGCCAACCCTGCCCTGGCCGACCTCGTCCAGTACGTTCATGTCGGCCACTTTCTCCTTCAAACAACGGGATACGGGGACACCTTCTCCAAGGACGGCTACATCCCCTTCGCAACCGGACAGCTGACGCGAGCGCTGCAAAATGCACGCGTTTTACGACTCACGGGCTTAACTTGGCCCTCCTACCCGCCCGTGTACAAGTCTCTCCTCAGACAGTTCAAGTCCCTCGTTGAACTCCAGCTCAACTCGATTACCTTCGGGTCCGCGGGAGATGTGATCCGGATGGCATGGAACTGCCCTGCGCTGCATACTCTCGTGCTAGAGTATATTCGGATCACTCAGCCTGCGTCCGAAGCGGAATGCGCTCGCCTGCAGGGGTCCCGCCGACCACAAGCGTGCAATCAGCTGCGACGTGTCGTACTAGAGGATGTGCGTCGTATTCATGGGTTTGATCTCGCGCAGAATGTCTGACATCAGAGCGACCGACACTGGCAGTGGCACGATTCCGAGGCAACGCCTCCTCTATTTGCGCTCGGAGACGCGGTCACGTCACTGCAGCTAAGCTTCAACACGACGCAGCCGTGGCGATCCGGAGGTGAGGTTCCAATTCAATTGGATACTATGAACTTGTGGCTAACCTCCGCTTACAGGTCGCGTTTTGGACCTTGTGTCGCGCTGCCATGCCTTGGAGACTCTTCAACTGACCATCGCGTTCACTGGATATGAGCCGGCACATCCTCCGTCAGCAGACAGCGTTGCACACCCCGGCCCCGAGCCGCACCGACACGCGCCGCTCCTCGCCTTCCTCTCGAGTGTACAACCGGGACATCTGCGGAAACTGACGCTCATCCTGCGTCCACAAGTCACCCGCCGTACGTGTGAGCCGCCGAACTATGAAGAAGAAATACCCGGGGACGACATACCGTGGCGAACCTACTTGATTAGCCGGTCTAGGATGATCAGCAAGGTTATTGGCCACGACGTCAAGGCGATCCTTGACCAAGAGCGCTTCTTGAATCTTCGGGAGCTCGAGTTCGAGATAGAGGACGACGTGTGGACGCACGACGAGGATTGGTGGTTGGAGAAGTTGGCAGCGGTCTTACCGCGCTGGCCCCAGCGGCTGGGAGTGAAATTGGAGCCTCGTGAGTATAGCCATGCTCGTCGCGTGCATCAACTCACTACGGGACCGCGCAGCGCCAACCGAAGACGCAGATGTCTCGGAGCTGTGGCTGGCAGACGAGGGCGAAGATCCAGGAGATGCTGGTGTGTAGGCAGCATCGCCGATTTGGTGGGTTTGTCTATACTTGTTCCAGAGCGTACGTTCAGCTTATATCACTTGGCATAGTGTAGTAGTCACGGCGCCGCCTAGTTGAGTGTGATTCGACTGCGCAACATCCAAGTTGCTTATTACAATATTATCAAAGTCCCTAGTCGCATACGACCGACCATCCATCCCACTCAACACGCCCGTCTTGTATGTCCGTGATGCGCGTATGCAGGGCCCGTCCTACCGGCCCAAGCCCGCCTTCAAATGAAGGCAGAATCATTTCTTCGCCTTCGTAGCCAATGCGTGTGATGGGCACAACGATCACAGCAGTGCCGACGGCGAAGATTTCGAGCAATCGGCCCTCGACCAACCACTGCTGCAGCTCTGATATGGTGAATTCGCGTTCGGCGGGGTGTAATCGCATAGTGTGCGGCAGGTCTGGGAGCGTCGTGCGTGATGAGTGCGCGCCCGCGAGATCAAGAACAGATTCACGGGTGACACCCGCGAGGATAGTGCCATCAAGAGGTGGCGTGAACAAACCGACACCTAAAAATTGGTGACAGTAGGTTGGTGTTAGGGATCGCCTTTGCTGGCTGTTGAGAACTAACTCACCGCCATCGTCGCGCCGCAACACAACGAAAATGTTCATGACACCTGCTTCGGTGATCTTCTCCCCCAGAAGCCACAGCGTTTGGTCGTAGCCCTTTTCTTGTGCGTCTTGATGGGGCCCGAGGACGGGACCGTAGTTGCCAGCGATCTTGTACTCGCCGGTGCCTCCGGGCCATGCGCGGATGTTGTCTCGGAGGGCAAGCAACGAGAGGGGCCGCACGCCGTTAGACATGTAGGGTCCCGTAGGCGCGCACATAACCCATAGCATCGCACTGTAGGATACAGAGAGGCCCATGCCTGCGGGAATGGAGATGAAACGGCGATCATGCTCAGAGTGAGGATGAGTTACCTGTACGTGTTCCAACGATCATCGGACGGATATAAAGGCTATGGCCCCGCTCAGCAGGAATCCATCACCGCTCGATCTTGACAAGAGTCTTGAGAAGCTTCAAAAGCTCCCCGTGGTTGAATAGCTGTTTGAGAATAGGACGTGAGAGAGCGAAAATAGATATTTAAAGCAGTTGAAGCTCACCGGGAGCGCGAGCCGTGCAGCTGAACGGGCAAATCTTGCCATATTATCCTCTGGGCGGAAAAGCCGTGCTTCACCCTCGGGGCCTAGGTATGCCTGGTTATAGTTAGTACGCGCATAAAAGGGCAGAGGCGACTGCGCATACTTTCATCCCTTCAAATGCAACGGTGGCGTACTGCAGGCACGAAGTTGCGGGCTCGAAGGTCAACGGTCCGTACGGCCTTATTTCGGGCGCAGACCAGCCCTTCACCGGATCGTATGTGGCGAAAATCATATGATCTGTCATACTCTGGAAACGGATAAGAAATGTTCTTCGTAGAGTTAAACGCAACGTCGCACCTGTCCGAAGCGAAGTTCACTGATTGGGGGGACATGCTTCAGCTCGGTTGCGAGCTTGAGAACCAGTTTTGACGCCTACGCGGGGTGTTATCCCAGTATCTCCCGGGCGTGATGATACTCACATCAAGCTCTGCAGGACGTTCGTGCAGTTTCAGTCGTCTAAGGATAAGTAGTGGTTGCCTGCACGCCTAGAGTAGGAGATAACGTTGGAAGGTCCGGGATGGAACTTGGAGTGGGTGGACCGGGACCTGGTTCAAGTTGGTACTGCTCTCGTATATGTATGGACGCTATCTATGAGAAAGCATCCCACCAGCTTGACGTCAAGAACCACTAGGGTCCTGTCATCTTAGACAGTTGTCGAGATGTAAGGATAAGGGGGGCGGTGTATGTCATGCCACCTGACGACCTTCAATAGGGCGCTGCACAGCCTGAAAGAGCGTCTTGCGGCCTTCTGAACTGGCGTAAATCAACATTGGCAATTGCGGTTGACACGGGGCCCGCATAAACTCACTGAGACCGCGGGGCTGCTTGGGATAACCGAAGTCGAGTGGTATATAGGGTTTAAAATGTTGGATGCCCCTGCTGGCCGCTCACACGGAATGCTGCGCTGGGGCCATATCGCCAGTCAGTGCCTTTCAACGTACGACCAGCCAGTTTGTAGTGCCACGAGTAGATTGTTAGCGGGTTTGTCTATCTGCGAGGGGATAACTGGGCGTGAATTGTATGTGCAAAGTAAAAACAGGTCTCGTCGAGCTCAAAGAGTCGAAGGATCGAATGCATGCTGTGCAGACGCCCGGGAATACCCGTGCATCCCGATTTGGTGGACCCGGAAAACCTCGATGGACGTCCAACCCCAGCGTGTTCACACCGTGCACGCGGAGTATATTTATGGTGAAAGTCAATTCATATATTGTATATGACCACATCTGGGATATGTGCGTGATTTGTGCATATCGTCGGGACTTGAGCAACATTTACAAACTATTTGTGATACACCTCTCAGAAGTTGAAGAGTCCCCTACACCTTGAACTCTTTCTTCAGGGATTCTTCGTAGGTGGGGTAGTCGACGTAGCCGTGCGGGTCCTCCGCCGTGTAATACACCTCGCGGCTCCAGCCCTGGAGCGGCAGGTTCTCGCGGAGCCTGATAGGAAGGTCGGGCTTAAGGCGGCCGACGCGGAAGAAGAGTCAGTAACCGCGGTGTGGTAGAGTACAACGACGACGTACGTTGGCCAGGAAGCGGCGCCCGAACGCAATCAGCTCGCCGGTCTCCTCGGCGCGCTCTATAGCAGTCTCCCGCGTGTAGCGACCCGCAGAGATGAGCGTGCGCGGAAGCCATATCTTGCGGATGAAGTCGTTGCTCTGCAGATCGAGGTCAGTTCGTCGTCGAAGGCGGAGTAGCTGGTAGACGGTGAGAGATAGACATACCTCTCCTTCTTCAATGTCCTTGTCGTCAGTGCCGGACAGGCCGGGCTGCACGAGGTGGATGTATGCGAGATCGGGATGCTCCTCCGCAAGGCGGGTCACGAAGTGGGAGAACGTCGGGATCTGGTCGGTTACGGCAACGTCTAGAGGCCCGTCATATGAGATCGAAAAAAGAAACAGGCCGCTAGCGGGCGAGCTCACCGTTGTACGCGCTCCACGGACTCATCCTGACCGCGGTCCTCTTCGCACCCACAGCCTTGATCACGGCGTCGACGACCTCGAGCGGGAAGCGGCACTTCTTCTCGGGGGACCCGCCGTAGTCGTCTGTCCGCAGGTTGGTGTAAGACTGGAGGAACTGGTCGAGCATGTAGCCGTGGGCGGAGTGTATCTCGACGCCGTCGAACCCGGCGCCGAAGACGGCGTTCTTGGCGGCGGTGGCGAACCCCTTAACATGTTGCTTGATCTCTGCTCGCCAGCGGTCAGTGAGAGGGGTGCGTCGAGGGGATCAGTACTACGCACCATCGACAGTCATGGCCCGCGGGGCGATGTCTCTCCCTTTGAGGGGGATAGCGGAGGGCGCGAGGTAAGGGTAGTCTCCGTCCTTGGCGAGCTCCTCCAACTCGGTGGCGCGCCCGATGGCCCAGATTTGCATGAAAATGTACGACCCCTTGGCGTGGACGGCGTCCGCCACCTATCAGTAGGCGCGATATGAGTGTTCGGCGGGGTAGATGGGAGAGGAGGGAGAAGGAAGGGACGGTGACTCACGCGCTTCCAGGCCGCAATCTGGTCTTCATTCCAAACGCCGGGGATGTTGACGGAGATGCTGCCCGCCCAGGGCGCGATGTACGTGGCTTCGGTGATGAGGAGGGTGCCCGGGACCGATGCGCGCTGGGAGTAGTACTGGACGGCGATGTCGCCGTGAACGTGCTTGTTGTTGGCACGCATGCGGGTGAGCGGGGCGAGGACGATGCGGTGGGCGAGGTGCAAGTCGCCCACTTGCACCGGTTGGAAGAGCTTGGGGAGTGCGGGGGTGATGGTTTGAGACATGGTTGATGGGATGCGACGGTGAAGGACTGGAGTGTGGGGTGGTGAGGACGACTAGAGTGTGCGCTGGTGCCTATATAGCTGGAGACGAGAAAATCGTCGGCCGTTAGTCAGATACGCCCAAGCAGACCTCGGTGTTTTTTTTCTGTGGGCCGCACGAAGCTTCAAAGCAGACCTGTCCATATGCAGAACCGCTATCGAGCTCGAAATGTGCATGGCAGTTGTGTCGCCGCGTCGAAGCATCGGACGAACCAGGGAGTACGTTCCACGGGAGTGAGAGTTAGCGGCACAACGAGGCGAGTGTGAGAGCACCCTGGCTGTAGGCCTGCCCGAATGTTGTGGTTCTGGGGTCCAGGGTGCGGCGAATTTCGCAGCAGCAAAGCGCTGCGTGGTACAGAAGGCGCCGTCATGATGGTCAGGCGGCCGGCTGACATCGCGAAGACCGAATTGACAGATATCTAAGCAACCGGACCCTGTGCACCGGAATTGTGCCGGAGCGTAGATCTATGTGCGCATCCGTAGTATGTCGGATACTCGTGCGGCCCTGACGCATACATTCGCGTATGAACCGTATGTGGTCGGTCATAAGGTTGGGAAAACTTCTGCGAGGTGACACACTAGTCATGAGCGCACGTTTGATAACGAAGAAGCTGCGAGCTGACATTACGTGCGGAGAGGAGAAGGGATCCCTCCTTGGGAACCACCTGGTGACGTTCGAGGTGGCTGGCCGTCCGCGCGGTTGGATACCGCTCATCACGAGGCGGCGTGAGTCGCAAGGAAGATGATCGCAGTTCATGTCTTCCTCCGTATCAGTTTGTGTCCGGAGCTCTAGCTACAGTATGCTCGCAGCGGGGAATCAGAGACGTCAAGCGGTGTCTCTGCGCCAGCTCCATTATGAGCTTTGTCATCCACGGAAATGTGTTCCGAGTTAAGCTTCCTGCAACGCTTGGTCAGCGTTTGGAGACTTGAAAATTGCGCGCTCTGTTTACCAAGAATCGCGTTCCTACATACATTCGCTTGTGCTAAGCGTTGTCGTATGCAATCCTCATGTATGCATCACCGAGTTGCACCGCGTTCTCTTTGTCTGTGCGCCTCACTAAACGGGCCGACATTGTTTTCTCCCATGTACTTCTCAGGGTGCGTTAACGGCGTTGGACGGGTTGCTGCGGTGCGGCTGTCTGGAAAGCCCAGATGATAGCGGTCGCAGCGACAAGCTTGGCGAGTGGCCGAAATTGAACTACGGGTTTAGCGCCGGGCATACACTCCGGTGACGCGGCCCGAGCCTTCCATGGGCGCCTCCGAGACACATTTCCCAAACTCAAAGTGCGTCTTCTCAGGTTGTCGCTGCTCCGCCATCACGATATTCCGAGATTTCCGTACAGTGCCTGCCAAGTTCTTCCCGGGGTGTATGTTAGAATGAAGAAGAGCACATAGCAACACATTGAATCCAAGGGTGATCCATAACATATCCCGCTATGCGCGAGGTCCTCTGCCACACTCATGACTCAGTGCCAGTGCTCGTCCGATTCTCGCAATGTGTATGTGTTACGAACGTCGAATTATCGTGGGTATTTCCCATCTACATGTCATGTATACTCTACAGGACCGGAGCGCGAATGTGTCAAGTCCGGGCGGAGGGAGCAGTCTAGTCACTATGCCACGGTCGAGTGCAGCCTATGCTGTCGCAGCGGCAGCCTGGTAAGGCTTGTAGTCGATGTAGCCATGAGGGTCCTCCGGCGTGTAGTACACGTCGCGAGACCACCCTTCCAGCGGAAGGTTGTCGCGAAGCCGGGTGGGAAGGTCAGGCTGTTTGTAATATGATAGTGAGAAGTTGTTCCGGGACTTGAGTTGGTGAAAACAACATACGTTGCTGATGAAGCGTCGACCGAACGCGATGAGCTCTCCGGTCTGCTCGGCGCGCTCGATTGCGCTTTCTCGCGTGTAGCGGCCGGCGGACATGAGCGTGCGCGGCAGCCAGATCTTGCGTATGAAATCGTTCGTCTAAGCCGTGGCGCGATCAGTAGCTGTTCCGTGATACACGAGGAGCGCGTTGGGCTCACCTCTCCCTCCTCAATGTCCTTGTCTTCGCCTGCAGAAAGGCCGGGCTCCACGAGAGAGATGTAGGCGAGGTCGGGGTGCTTCTCCGCCAGTTGCGATACGTAGTATGCGAAGGTGGGGATTTGGCTGGTGTGGTCCGCCACATCAACATCTGCAACGCATCGTGTGAGTACGTGCGGACAACTTCGTCAATCGCGGACAGGAGGCCTCACCGTTCCACGCGCTCCAGGGGCTCATCCGGACTGCAGTCCGCTTTGCGCCAACCGCCTTCGTGACCGCGTCGATTACCTCGAGGGGGAAACGCGCCTTGTTCTCGACGGACCCGCCGTAAGCGTCAGTCCGCTTGTTGGTGCTGTCCTGGAGGAACTGGTCCAACATGTAGCCATGCGCCGAGTGCACTTCAACGCCGTCGAATCCGGCGCCAAAGACAGCGTTCTTGGCCGCGGTTGCGAACCCCTCGACGTACTGCTTGATCTCTGCACCTAATGTGAGTACGGCGATCGCACTTCCACAAGAGACATATCTCACCATCCTCCGTCAAAGGCCTCGGGGTGACATCACTGCCCTTGAGTGGAACGGCAGATGCCGAGACGTATGGGTAATCGCCATCCTGCGCGAGCTCAGATAAGACCGCAGCGCGGCCGATGGCCCAGATCTGCATGAAGATGTACGAGCCCTTTGCGTGGACCGCATCTGCAACCTATCGCGCAAGGATCAAAATTGAACGTATACACGTGCAATGTCCGTAGAGCTTACCCGCTTCCAGGCCGTGATCTGGTCTTCGCTCCAGATCCCGGGGATGTGGACGGAAATGCTTCCAGCCCAAGGCGCAACATATGTCGCCTCGGTGACTAGGAGCGTGCCCGGGACCGATGCGCGCTGTGAGTAGTACTCGACAGCGAGGTCGCCATGGACATGCTTGTCGTTTGCGCGCAGGCGGGTGAGGGGCGCGAGGACGACGCGGTGGGCGAGGGTAAGGTCGCCAACTTTGACGGGCTGGAAAAGCTTGGGGACGGTGGAGGTGGTTTGCGACATGGTGAAGGATGTGGGATGGGTAGAGAGAGCTGATGGTATGATAGTGGGGGACATGACACGGTATGGTCAAAGGTTTTATAGGTGCAGGCCCTTCGGGACGACTGCTCCTCCGCCGGGCGTTAGTCATACCTGTACTTAGTAAGTTCTTCTCTGCGCACCGCGAGAATCCCAGAGCGGAGTTGTCTACTGTTCATGCGCATCACGGTGCACGCTGTTTCCCCACACTGCTGCCTGAAGCAATAACGTGCACAGCGCTGTAGAGCCCTTTTTCGAGTCGCAGTCCTCGCCGGCCAGGGGTGTCCGTATTGTCATCGACGCAGGATCTGATGCGACATGAGGCCTGAGGAGGCGAGTGCAAGGATGACTTGACCATGATGATCATGCTGCAGAAACCCCGGCGCAAGGGGTGCGATGTCGCCTTCGTAGAATCTCAGAAAACACAAGTTTTGCGAAGGTTGGTCCGGATGTCGGCTAAGGTGATCGCGGAGGCCGAGCGCAGATCTTAAGGGGATCTCCCGCGATCTGATGGGCCCCGCTTATGACGGCGCTTACGATCTTGACTGCGACAACATTTGCTGAGCTGAAACGCTGAATGCACAAGCTTGGTGCAAGACCTGGTATGAAAAATGAAATAATGCTACGCTGCGTACTCTGGGATATAGGCGTATGGACAGTCGGCCAAGCTGCTTGCCCACCATGGCAGATTATTCGTGTGTTTGCGTCCCTTCGTTCCGAATCGTTCGGATGCCCAGTATGATCGGTCGGATGCCCCGATCGGAGGTGGATGTTCTCTTGCATAAGGATGCGAGATTTCGCTACGCCCGGTCGGAAAGTGACAGATATCCGCAGTATACTTACAGTGTGGGGTACCGTGGGGTACCGGTGTACTAGTTAGCCGTCGACCTTCGAGCTTTGTAATCTACGTAGTTGGTCAGCGGTCGAATTCGAGGACATCTTCCCAGATATGTTGCTGACCAACTTCATACACTGAGTACCACAAGGATGATGCAACCTGAGAACCGCACTTGTCCGCGAGTCTTCCGAATCGCGGTGGCTGTTCCGGAGAGAGAGGAGCCTTCGGTGGAATCAGTGCCACACATTTAGCGCCAGGGATACACACCGGCAAGCCGGGCCGTCCACCCCCACGGGCGTCTCGAGGTATGGAGCACTCCGTCACTCGCGGACGGCCCGACCGTCTTTGAGGTTGCTCTCGCTCTCGTGCTCTGGTTCGGTTCGCACTTTATGCATTCTGCTGGCATCTTTGGCTAGTTCTGAGACACACCCATGTCCTTTCTGCGACGGTGCAGTGCACTCCATCTCCAACGACCGCAGTCGCCAACAAACCCCGCATTCCGAAAGCTCGCTTGGTGCACAAGACCGCCGCTCAACCAACATTCACGCCTTCTATCCGCACGAGCTTCAGGGAATTCACGTCAGCAAGTTAAAGTCTCGGGATGGATAGTCGCACCGGCGACGCTGTTGTTGCTTGGCGGTACTGGCCTTGTGGTCTACGAGTATAACCAGCCCTTCCGGCACACCGTACTTGCAGTAGTCCGGTGTTCTCGAGTTGCAGGTTCGTGCATACTGTAGCTTTGTCGTGTTGAAGCTTACAGTGCCTTAACCTCTTAAGAGGCCGCCATACTGGGCGCCATCGACTACAAGCTCACCTTCGCGAAGACTTACGAATCTGACGTGGAGAAGTCTGAGGCATACTCGGAATGCCACACGCGAAGTGCACAGCGAGTATTGAAAGCCCTTCTGGCCAACGGAGGTATGTTGCGACCCTTGTAAGAGGAGTGACTGTTTAACCGTGGTGCGTTAGGCATATTCATCAAGCTTGGCCAGCACATGGCTTCAATGTGAGCTTCCACGCATATACGCATCCTGCTAGTGAGTCCCAATGACCGCAAAGTGCAGTACTGCCGTACGAATGGACGAGTACCATGCGCCCGCTTCAAGACCAATGCGAACCCACAGATTATGAAGACCTCGAGCGGCTGTTTGTATCGGACATGGGGCTTTCGATTTCCGACTACTTCGAGGAGTTCGACCCGAAGCCTATCGGGGTTGCCAGTCTCGCCCAGGTGCATGTCGGGCGGCTTAGAAAGTCGGGCGAACGTGTTGCTGTGAAACTGCAACATCCGCATTTGCAAGAGTTTTGTGAGATTGATATGGAGATGGTCGAGGTCTCGCTAGGTGAGCTCGCTCAAGCGAGGAGATGTTCATGTCCTCAGCCGTTCAACAGGCTGGATCAAGCATTGGTTCCCCACCTTCGAATTTACGTGGCTGGGCGAAGAAATGCGCGAAAACCTGCCTAAGGAGATGGACTTTGCACACGAAAAGCGCAACGCGGAGCGTGCGATGGCCGACTTCGAAAATATCCGCACCTCTCTTTACATTCGTAAGTTCTAGCATATACGCCATTCGCATATATTGACATCAAGGCCTCAGCGGAAGTGAAAGAGGCGAGGAAGCGCATATTGGTGATGGAGTATATCCAGGGTGGTCGCGTTGATGATCTCGTATACCTGGCGGACCACAACATAGACCGCAACAAAGTGTCTCTGGAGCTTGCGCGGATATTCTGCCAGATGGTCCACATCAATGGCTTCTTTCACGCAGTAAGTCGCCAGCGCAACCTCATCTCACGCTTCTAACAACTGCCCTCAAGGATCCTCATCCAGGCAATTTGCTCATTCGCCCAGTCGTGCCTGGCTCAAAGTCGCCGTACAACTTCGAGATCGTGCTCCTCGACCACGGCCTATACTTCGACCTTGATACCCCATTACGGATAAACTACAGCAACTGGTGGCTCGCGTTGATAGCGCCTGCAACACCTGAGACCCTTGAAGCCCGGAAGAAGTACGCGAAACTGGTTGGGAACATCGATGCAGACCTCGTGAGTACGATTTCCAAAAGTACAGTCAGTGCATGCTAAGCGCATCTCTTCAGTATCCGGTGTTCGAAGCTGCAATAACTGGTCGTGCTGCGCTCGAAGGCTCATGGGAGGAGATCGATGGTCCGACAGGTGTGCCGCGTGCAAGGAGCATGATCGACCTGTCCGCACAGACGGAGGAAGAGATGGAGGCTATCCGGAAAGCTGTCATTGAGAAGGAGGGTCTCTTGCTCTCCGTATTCGACGTGCTCAGGCGCGTACCACGGAGAGTGTTGATGGTACTGAAGGTCAACGACCTGACCAGGTGCGGCTGGTTGAAGTCCCTGAGAGTGGATATATGCTCACTCAAACCGTAGGAGCCTTGACCGCGCCCTCATGACCACACATTCGAACGTAAGTGTGTTTTAAGAAAGCGCGGAGCGCGTGGCTAACGAGTTCTGTAGATTCGAATATTCTTGATCACGGCCAAGTACTGCACGTTCGCAGTCTGGCTCGACGAGAGTCAACGTGCGGTCTCTGAGCTCCGACGCAAGGGGCTCTCGGGCATGTCACTCAGGCTACTTTGGGACTACTTCTGGGTGTGGTGGTGCGTGTACTCCCTTTGCTGTGTGACATAACCTCATTAATACGTACCGCAGGCGATACGAGAAAATGTACCGCTCGCTTGAGTTTGCGGAGTGGTGGATGGATACGGGCGCGCGCGCTGTTACTGCGAAGGCATGGGTTCGCGGGCTTTTCACCGTCGGTGGGTTGCAAGGTGCGCACCGAGCCGCAGCAGGCCTAGCGTAGATATCCTCTGGTCCAATCACTAGCGGTGATATTACACGTATGATACAGCTTTAGACTAGTCAGCGCAGATGATCCAGATATTCGTACACGGACAGGTTATGGGCAATATTGCAAAGGCAGGACTACTGCCCGATTTTGGCGAAGAAAGAGTCAATCGCGTCGCTACCTCGCTTCAGAGCCTCCCATTGCTCCTTGTTGATTGACACGCCCTTCTTTCCGGGCTTGAGGTCGTTGTCGTCCCCATAGAACTCTCGTATGTCTAGGAAGGTGGATCCTAGATTTTACGTCAGGTTTTTGGTGAAGATATGCGCGAACTAGAGCTCATACGCACCCTTGTACTGGCGAACAGTAGCTCGCCGCTTCTTGCCCAGATCAACGTATTTCTCGCCCTCCTCGTTCACTCCCACCTTCACATCCCCGTGGTCTTCTTCTACTTTCGCTTTAGTGCCATATATGTTGGGTTTCATGATAGACTGGCGGGAGTTTACGAGTTCAGCTCCAACGCTACACGAGCAGCTCCGATGTACTTACAGCTGGTTTCGCTGTGGACTTCCCCTTCTTCGCGTCGACTTTTGGCTTCTTCGCGGGCTTGGGCTCGTCTTCTTCGCTCTCTTCGTCTGATTCAACCTGTTTCTGAGACACATAGCACATTAGTTCGTCAGGGTGAGACTGGGGAAGGAAATGAGAACATGCCTTGGCCTTCTTCCCGCTCCTGCGCGCAGACTGGATAGGTCGCTCGGGCGAAGAGCTCGCAGCAGCAGCAACCTCCTCTTCCGTGTACTCGTCCTCGTCACTCGAAGCAACAGTGGCCTTGCGCTTGGCCATGTAGAACGAAGCAGAGTATTGTGGCGTTGAGTTCAGGAATGTGAGACCGGACGCGTCGCGACGCGTCGTATGCAAGCGCTGTTAACCGTGGGAAGACAGCACAATTGTCGGAATTGTATGCGTGGGAACATCGTCATTATTTGGCGCGCTGAGCCTCCGCGTAAGCGACTCTCGACCTACCGCCATCTCCCTATCCCTTGCGTGCTCACGACCCATTCCAAACGTCCTTCAGGTGTTTCTACAAGGATAAGAGTAACGCCAACCAATCACATCCCCGACATCCTCGTCGCGGACGATGAGGATCACCCATAAATCAAAGAGAGCTGTGGCTCCGGTGCGTATAGTTTCCGGCTCAGACGCGTCCGAGGACGGTTTACTTACCTTCCGGACAGCTACCACAGGTGGTGGAGTTCATCAACAAACTTGCGGACACCCCCAATGAAGACCTTCCTGAGGTCCTGTCGCAGATCGACTCGTGGAAATGGCCGCGGTCGGACCTGAACGCGTGGATCAAGGTCCTCAATAAATTCGACGAGATCCTGGAGGAGGCCATCCGCGACTACGACATCGACAACCTCCAAGTGAACGTGTTCACCCCCCTCACGAAGAAGACTATCTGCGAGATCCTCCGCTTCGAGCGTCTGCTGCTCGAAAACTCGACGAATAGGAAGACGTTCAACTCTTATGACGTTCGTCCGTTCCGACCGCTCATTTGTTATGTGCTGATCTTTTCCCTGGTGTAGCGTCTGAACAATCTCATGTTCTCGTCTGATCTGGACGTGCTCATCCTCGCTTTAAACCTCTTGCTTCGTCCTGCGCAGCAGTACTCCTCGCAGCCCGCTGTCTCACATGCTCTCAGCATCTCCACCCCACGCCTCACATCACTTGCGAAACGGTGGCCAAACCTTCGCGACTACGACATCAACCTAGTGGATTTGGTCTCTGAGAAGGGCAAGGCGCAGATTGAGGCGCTGCCCACTGAAGCACGCGAGGTGAACTTTGTGTTCTACCGACAAGCGCCATCTGGTGCTGCGGCAACCAAGGAGAAGGAGAAGGAAAAGGAGAAGCCCGTGGAAGGCGATGTGTTCGACTCAGTCGCGCAGACTCCTAGTCGGAAGCCAGCGGGGACGGTCGGTGGCGCAAATACCGCGTCGACGTCTTCTGGCGCGGTGACCATCCATATCGACAGCACAACCATTCAGTCGAAGCCCGCTATGGACATCCTGGCCGACGCCATCGAGGCGCACAACGTGCCTGATAGCGAGAAGTTTGAGCTTCTTATGCGCATTCGGGGTGCGCAGGTGATGACGAACGAGCACGCCGCCGACCGCGAGAAGCTGGTGATCGTCCGGCTCTTGGCGACCGCTATCTTTGGTCACACGCACTCGGACTCGCAGGCTCAGTCCTCTCTGTTCTTGTACGAGCCTGATCTGATCGCGCATATTGCGGAGCTCCTGCAGCTTGACCGTGGCGTAGACGGACAGGTGCAGACTGCGTCCGTGGCGGCGCTTGACGCCATGTCGCGTTACAGGTCGAAGATCCAGGACGTGCTTACTGCCGTGAACGCTGGAGTGAACCACGGTATCCTGATGGCTCTCTTGCGGAAGACTGTCTCCGACGTCGCCCAGCCGACTTCGACTCTGCCCCAAGCGTTCGTGGAGGCGCTCTTCTCGTTCATCACCTTCCTAGCGACACATTCTTCGGGCGGGAACATGATTGTCGGGGCTGGTCTTGTTCCGGTGCTCATTCAAGCTATCGAGAACAGGCTCCCCAACCGTCTCTATCTCGTGTCGAAGACGATGCAGCTCCTCGATAACGTGCTGTATGGATACAACAACGCATTCCAGTTGTTCTGCAACGCACATGGTGTTGACATCCTTGTTGACCGTATTCAGGTTAGTGTCCGGTAAGACTGGAGTCGCCATATTCTCACTGACAATGTTTAGTATGAGGTTGATCTCGGCATTGAGGAGTGGGCCAATGACGGTACCCCGAACGATGTCGTCGCATCCTACGGTACGTCTAGTGAGACGTGTTACTGTATGCGTTCCTCATGTCCCTCCAGGAAAACTGTCCGTTGCTCGAACGGCAGTACTGAAGCATACGATGCGCTCTATGCACCGAATGATGCAGTCGTCAGGAACATCCGAGGGCCTTCGGGGCCTCCTTGATTCATCGCTGCTCAAGTCTGTCAAGAAGGTGCTGCAGAATCGCGCGATCTTCGGACCTAGCGTCTTGGGTCTGGGTATGCAGCAAACGTTTAATATATATATCCATTCCGTACGCTCATACGCACTCTATAGCTATCAACATCATGTCTATCTTCGTGCACAACGAGCCAACGTGCCTTCCAGTCATCCAGGAAACTGGACTCCCGGAGGCCTTCTACGGCATCGTCGAGAAGGGTCTTGAGCCAGTCATCGAGGTATGGCCAGGTCGCATGTCAAGAGTAGCGCATCCTCATCCTTGCACAGATCATCCAATCCGTACCGAATGCTATCGGCGCTCTGTGCCTCAATCAAGCTGGTCAAGACCAGCTGGCGGCTCGCCCGAACATTATTCCCAGCATCTTCTACATCTTCACATCTGAGGAACACCAACGCGTGCTGCAAGAGAAGGAGAATGCTGTCCTCATTGGGACCTCGCTCGAGGAACTCATCCGCCATCACCCGTCCCTGAAGGACAAGGTCTTCATCGCGCTGAAGGCGACTATGGCCAAGATTGAGGAGCTTGGAAATTCATACACGCCCCCGAACGAGATCAAGCATCTGTACCGTTTGCAGCCTACAGTACCTGCGCCTTCAGTAGCGCCGGCTGCCGAAACTGGGGCTCCTATGGAGGTGGATGCAACGACTGCGGCCACTAGCACGGCAGTGCAGACACCTGTAGAGCCTGCTCCTCTTCCTCCTGCTCGAGATGACCTGTACAACAGGCCGCAAGATAACATCATCATTTCATACATCGACGTCTTCGGAAAGGTGACGCATTCCATCTATAAACAATCGATCCACCTTTTAACACTCTTTGCAGTTCCTTGAGGGCTTCTTCCAGCATGTACCTCACTGTCGTGACTTTGTCGCTGATGCTGAGGGTCTTGACCATCTGGCGCGGTTGACGGCGCTCCCGTGTTTGCCATATGACTTCGCCAATTCTGTTGGATCGGATTCCCTCGTCCAGGTCATCCGCACTATGGCTGAGGCTGCGACGACTGAGACCTTGGCGTTCCTGCTCAAGCTCGTGCAGGATTCCCTGGAGGAGTGCAAGGACTTCTGGGAGTCAATGGAGGAGCGGCCGAAGCTGCTATCTCTGGTGGAGTTTGCTGGTGCGTCACCCGATATAGAGAGCCTTGCAGGTGCTGATCACAGTGAAATCGCAGCTGGCGAGGACGAGCAGAAGGCGAACGAACGCTTCCGCAAACTCGTTACCCTCCATGTTCGCACGTCCCTGCTTTCTGACATCTATGCTACTGCAGGATACTCTCACGGGCGCGCAAGCGCTACGCTTCTGCAGGCTTTGCTGGGTCACAAGCCATCCACTCTTGCCGATCTAGGCTCACTCCATAGAAGCTGCATCTGGGAGAACATCGTGCTTAAGGCCACTTTGTCGGCGCAAGATGCCAGTGCAACGCCCCCACCGGCCCCGACTCCCTCCGCGCCCCCAGGTCAGGAGCCCCCGGCGTCGACTGCCACAGGTTCGCTCGTTGTCACGAGTTCGTCCACTGTTGTGAGCGCCAATGGAGCAGCCACGGCCGACGCCCCGGCACCGGTGCCCTTCGTGAAGAAAGAGGAGAAGCCAAGGGACAAGAACGCGGCTGGCCTTAGGCATCTCGTTAGCCAGATGCCGTCGGCTCTGTCACCGTTCTTCCAATGTAGGTGTAGTCGCCGATTCTCCAGAATATGACGGCCTAACGGTGGCTGTAGCGGTGGTGAGGTTGTTCCAGACGCGCCGCAGCAGCGATGTTGCGCAGAAGCAGAAGATCAGGGAAGCTGCGGGGATTTTGGCTGACGTTCTCGTCCAACACCTCGGTCCTCAAACCTTGAGTAAGCCTCACGGATAGACTGTGCAATGTTTCGCATCTGATTCTTCGTCAGGTGATAAGCTGTGCCTCTTTGCATACTACACCACCATGCTGAGCACGACGACGGTTTTACTGGTCGACGGTAAGAGGAAATGTTGCGTTCAGATGTTGTGCATAATACTGAAGATTCCCACCAGAGCGACCGTCGCAGAGGGTGCTTCATACTGTCCTCCTTGCTGCGTTCGCGCGAGTGGGTGGCCTTGACTCTCTGTTCACATTGTGTAGCGAGTTCGTGGCGACTGTCGACGCCGTTACGTCAGTGCACGCGGACCAACGGACGGAGATCATGAAGCAGGAACTCACTCATGCTTACGGCGGTCTCAAGGTTTCCCTAGTCTTGCTGCAGCCTCTCGTATCGTCTCGTCCGCTCTTCGACTCCACTCAGACCCCTATGGCCATCACAACGGACAAGAAGGACACGGATGCAGAGTACTTCGAGCCTCACAACTTCCTGGTTCGCATGCGCCTCGCTGCTCTGCCGCTCATCCGCACTATCTGGGAGTCGTCCTGGCTTACCGCAGCTCCCATCAGCGTCAGCAAGACGGTCGTTCAGGTTGTGATGGAGATCCTCAACGCAGAGAACGAGGAGGCGAAAGACGTTCAGAGTGCTGCTTCGCTCCTAGGCGGCGGCGGCGGCAACATCCCGATGCCTCGTATGGCCGCGCCTAACCCCGACGAGAACCGCATCCAGCAGCTGGTCGACATGGGCTTCCCGCGGTCTGCCGCTGAGCGGGCTCTGGTTCGCACTCGGAACAACGTGGCTGCGGCGACTGAGCTGTTGCTTGCCCATCCATATCCGTTCCCTCCAGATCCTGAGCCGGCGCATCTGCCACCACTGCCTGTCGCCGAACCGGCGCCTCCTGTTGCAGATGGTGACATTGAAGCCGTCCCCGCCGAAGGTCAAGACGATGTTCCCGCAGAAGCTCCAGCTGATCCCCTGGCGGAACCTGTGGCGGATGCCACAGCAGAGGCCGAAGTGCAAGGGAGCACTGGAAGCGCCACCCCCGAGGGATCTTCCGAGACCATTGCGGAGGGTTCGGCTGAGCAGTCCTCCGAAGCTGTAGAAGGAGCTGGGGAAGGCTCCAGCGCTGCTGCAGAACAGGAGCCTGCTGTCCCTGGTAAGAGCACCGAGGAGTGGTTGAAGGAGCTGAACGCGGCTCGGGAGCCCTTCAAGGAAGAACTGGGCCGGCGTGTACTGAGCCTGGTCGACGAACATCCTTCGCTGGTCTTCGACGTCCAGAAGGTTTTCGTGGGCCCTGCAAGCGAGTACCGGACGCAAGCCGTCAAGGCATTGATCGACGACATCCACGCGTTCTCCCCCAAGGCATACGATGTACAAGAGCAGCCTCTATTCGTCCGCTGTCATCTCCTCGCGCTCGTGTTGGGCGACACCTCCTCTCCGGCTGCCCAAATGGCGGATAAGGAGGCGGAGAGCCTCATGAACGTCTTGTTGTCGTTGCTCCTGACGAACCCGGGTGAGGGCGGTCACCCTGTCATCCCGAAGTGGCTGCCTGCGCAACTGCTCGTGATCGAGTGTTTGCTGGTCATAGGCGAGGCCCCTCGTTCGATTACCTTGCCGAAAGAGGACGAACCGATAGTCCGCGAGCCAATCGCTCAGGGCACTCGCCACGCGGAAGCGCGTAACGCCCTCTTCGAGTTTTGCATGCGTCTGCTCGCCGTGCCCACGCTCCCGAAGGACGAGCTTATCTCCGCTCTGAGGATATTGGTTCTCCTCACCCGAGACTCCAGTGTTGCGGAGGGTTTCGTCAAGCGCGGTGGCGTTGCGATGCTCTTCCAATACATGAAGATCTCATCCGGGACGCAGAGCGGCGCCGGAATCCAGTCGTATATCGCCATCATCATGCGGCATATCGTGGAGAACCCTACGATCCTCCAGCACGTCATGCGCCAACAGCTGCGTCAGTTCTTCTCTCATCCACGCACCCGTGTCGTCGATGTCGGAACCTTCGTCTCTGGCTGCAACTCCGCTGCTCTGCGCGATCCAGAGGCGTTTGTCAAGGTCACCGAGGACTTGTGCCAGATCTCGAATCCGTACACTCCCACGAAGACGATCACCCTTAAGCCAGCTGCTACGTCGGCGGCGCCGTCTCAACAGGCGACTGCTGGCGAGAAGGGCGAGAAGACCGACAACGCTGATGACAAGAACAACGAGATGCAGGTCGACGAAACGCCAGCACAACCTGCGCAGTACGCTCCCTCCGACACCATCGAGACCCTCATCCACTACCTGATTGGAGAGCTTACAAGAACCGTGAAGACGGACTTGCACCCGGAGAATGCTCCCGCGGACACGAGCAAGCCTGTGGATGTGCCGGCCACGGCGGAGGTGCATACGGAGAGCGGCCAGCCCTCTACCGAGGTCAAGCCCCCTCAAGATCCAGTCGACTACACCTATCCTTGTTTCATCATGCAGGTCATCACCGAGCTGCTCTTCTCCTACGACGCTTGCAAGATCGCCTTCCTGTCGTATTCGCCCAAAAAGCGCAACCAGACGCCTGCCAAGGAGGGTTCCACTAAGCACAGAACCGCTGCTATCCAATTCCTGCTGTCTGACCTGCTCACGTTCGGTACGATTAACCCGCAACCTCCCGCCGACGCTCGCAAGCAGATTACGCTCTGCAACTGGGCGATGTCGGTCATCGTCGCTCTTTGCGTCGACACCACGGTTACGCAAGACATCAAGGACGTCCCTACTGAGCTCGTCTCCATCCGCAAGTTCGTTCTAGAGGCGATCAGCCGCGCCTTGAAGGATCTGCCCACTTCGGAGAACACGGAGAGCCGCTACAGCCGCCTCCTTGCGCTTTCTGACTTGTGCCATCGCCTCTTGACCGTTCGCTTCAACAGTGGGAAGAAGGCTGGCGACGAGGTCCCGACTCACATTGCGAAAGTCATGCTCGAGAAGAACTTCGTCTCCACCCTCACCAACGTTCTTGCGGAAGTCGATCTCAACTATCCCAACATCCGCAACGTCGTCTCCTCCGTACTGCGCCCTCTGGAGTATCTGTAAGTTACCTCAATAATGTCTTTTTCGGGGTCCTTGCTGATCTTCTATCGTCAGCACAAAAGTCGCGATGAAGATGAGCCGCGTCTCCGACAAGGTGAAGGAGCTCCCAGAAGAGGAGGTTGAAAGCTCTGAATCCGATCTCTCCGAGGAAGAGGACGAAGAGGACGAAGAAGACGACGACGAGACGGAGAACCCTGAGAACGACGCAGCTACCGACTTGTACCGCAACTCTTCGCTGGGCCTGTAAGTGTTATTTGAACTACCCATGATACTGCACTAACCCTTTGCAACGCCTAGGTTCGGCGGAGTACGTAATAGACATGAGTATTTCAACCCGGCTTACTGACCGATTTTATAGGAAATGGAGGACGTTCACTACGACGACGAAGACATGGATGACGACGGTGAAGATGACGAGGATGACGACGTAGAGATGGACTTCGGCGACGAGACAGGCAGCGAAGATACTTCTGCAACCGACGATGACGTGGAAGGGGCACTTGGCGATGAAGGCGAGTCCGAGGATGAATGGCACGACGAAGAGGAGGAGGAAGAGGCCGGCCTAGTCGAGAACGAGGGTGAGCCTATGGATGACGACGCCGAGGACGAAGAAGAAGAAGACGAAGGCGACGAAGTAATGTGGCAGGTCAGTGATTTATTCGCTAATGAGAGGAAACACACTCATGGTGGATGACTTCAGGATATTGCCGTAGGCGACGGCGACGGCGAAGATCCTGGTGACGAAGGCGACGAGGAAGACGCTGGTGGTGAGACACTATATTTAATATCTTGGCACACCTGTTAATCACAACGTCGTCTAGACATGCCTATCCCACCGATGGGCATGGATGATGAAGCAGATGTACTCTCTGAGGGCGACGACGAGTAAGTTGCAAGGATATCACGAAGACCGCGGTCTCATACTTGCTCCCAGGTTCGCAGATGAGCTCGGCCTTGTCGATGAGGCTCATCCAGGCCCCAATCTCTTCGACTTGGCCGCAGGAGTTGCAAATGCTCTTGCCACTGGTCCATTCACCGCCGGACTTGGCGGTGGTGCAGAAGGCCATCCTGTCATGTGGACAGGTTCCGTGCGATCATCTCGTCGCCGTGTTGCTGGTCAGTCCTAATCACGTAGATAACTGTCCTTCGCTCACAACAGTCTCATTAGACGACGACTTGGAGATCTTCGGACGCCCCCGTAATCTTCCTGCCGCATCTGCCGAGAACGTTACCCACCCGCTTCTCCTTGATCCCGCTACCAGCGCGGCTCGGTCATCTCAGGCGAGATCGTCACGGCGAGGACAAAGAACCCTGCTAGCTGGAGGACTCGACGCTCAGATCTTTGACGACACATGGGGAGAGGGGGCAACCCAGCTGCTCCAGCATATCCTCTCGCACGGACACGCGATCGGTAACGAAGCCTTGCACATCAATGTTCCTGCTGGAGTGCTTGGCTCACTGAACCGCAACGGTCGCGCGGGTGCTATTTCAGCCTCCATCCGCCTGGAGAGGGCTCCGAGGCCTGGAGATGCACGGACGGAAGGTCGATCTCTCGAACCTCTACTCACTACGCAACGGTGGGGCGAGGAAGCCAAAATGCTCCATGGCAGGTTCGAGCAGACACGGCTGTCCAAGTTGCAGAACCATGTGATCATTGCTCTTCTTCCGGCTGCAATTGAGGCGTACAAGAAAGCCAAGGAGGCTGAAGAGCGAGAGCAAGCACGTCAACGCGAAGAGGAGGCACGGGTAGCGGAAGCCGCCGCGAAGAAGGAACAGGAGGAGCGCGAAGCCGCCGAGAAGGCAAAACAAGAAGAGGAAGCCAAAGCTGCTGCAGAGGCAGAGGCCGCTGCCTTGCAAGCCGCTGCGGACGCCACATCCTCCGCAGCCACGGATCCGGACGTAGAGATGGCAGACGCGACAGAGGAGAATGTCGAGGCGAGCGCTGAGACACCAGTCGAAGAAAACGGCCCCGACGCCGCAGAGTCGTCAACACGCCAGGAAGAAGCTGCAGCGCCTGAGAGAATCATGGTCACCATCCACGGCAATCCCGTTGATATCACCGACACCGGCATCGACCCTACCTTCCTAGAGGCACTGCCCGATGACATGCGCGAGGAGGTTCTCAACCAGCATGTCCGTGATCGGCGAGCGGCCCAAGTCGAGCGTCCCGCCGATTCGCAGATCAGCGCAGAGTTCCTCGAAGCTCTCCCTCCGGATATTCGTGCGGAGATCATTCAACAAGAAGCTGTCGAACGGGCACAACGGGTACGAGCTGAGCAGGCTATGCCACAGCCGGCTGGGGCTGGTGTCGATATCGATCCCGCTACTTTCATCGCCAGCTTGGACCCTCAACTACGCCAAGTTGTGCTGATGGATTCTGACGACGTCTTCATCCAGAGTCTTCCGTCGCACATGATTGCCGAGGCGAACATCCACAGAGAGCACGGCCGCCCGTCAAGAACTCGACATGTCGCTCCCGATCAGGCTGCACGCGCGGCTCAGCCCCAGGCGGCTCCACCCACCAAAGCTCTGCCGTCCCGCGATGCCATTCAACTCCTCGACAAGTCTGCGCTTGCCGCACTGCTCCGTCTTCTCTTCTACCCCCACGTGCTCAAGAAGAACCTCCTCTACAAGGTGCTCGTCAACCTGTGCGAGAACGCCAAATCCCGCACGGATCTGTTCAACTTGCTCCTAAGCATCCTCCAAGACGGTTCTGGTGATCTAGCTTCGATCGACAAGAGCTTCGCGCAGATGTCTGTCCGCCACTCCAAGAGCACTGCTCCTCAGACGCCGAAGGCTGTGGGGAAACAGCGTGTCCCCACTGACTACTTCGGCTCGCTGTCCTTGCCTCAGAATGATGTCGTACCGGAGCTGATCGTGCAACGCTGTCTGGAGGCTCTTACTTACGTCGTCAGCTCTAACGAGCTCTCGTCTCTGTTCTTCCTCACGGAACATGAGCTTCCTTTCGGTCTCCGCCGCAGTGCGTCGAAGAAGGGCAAGGGCAAGGAGAAGCCAGCACCTCAGACACACTTCCCCATCGTTCTCCTGTTGAGTCTTCTTGATCGTCCCTCGATACTGCGTACTCCCTCCATCGTCGAATCCGTTGTTGCTCTCTTGGCGACAGTCACCCGCCCCCTTGCTGGCTTGAAGAGCAAGAAGGACGAGGCAGCAGAGGGTAGCAAGGCAGCAGCATCACCAGCAGCTGTTCAGCCGGCGCCAGGTACATCCGAGCAAGCTGCAGTGTCACCCCCAGGTAAATGAATGTCAACCTCGGTTATGCAATGTCTAACTCAACCTTCAGCAGTACCAGCTTCGGGCAGCGCTGCTCCATCCAGCGCACCTGCTGCCTCGGCAACCGCGACCGCCACGGCGTCAGCAGCGCCTCCAGCGCCTCCAGCTGCAGATGCTCCCAAGCAGCCCACGACCATCGAGGAGAAGGTTCTTCTCGCAAATCCGCCTCACATTCCTCATCATGTTCTTCGACTGATTGTCAACGTCCTCACGGCTGGCGAGTGCTCCGGACGCACGTTCGCGCAAAGCCTGTCCCTCATCCAGCATCTGTCCTTCATTCCTGACGCACGGGAGGTCATCGCTTCGGAACTCCGAGCGCGTGCACAGGAGTTCGGACAGAGCTTGCATTCTGCCCTCGCCGAGCTCTCCGTAGCGTTGCGTGACGCTGAGGCTGATCCCGATGCGCTGGCGACCATCATCGCCTCCAAGTTCTCTACTGCATCCTCCGACCAAGCCAAGTTGCTCCGGGTCCTGAAGACGATCGACTACATGTACTCGCCCAAGACCCCAGGAAACACCTCAGACGCTGATATTGAGAAGGTCCAAGGCATCTACGAGAGCTTCCGGTTCTCCTCCCTGTGGCAACGTCTTGGGGACTGCCTATCCATCATCGAGGAGAAGCCCGAGATGGAGCACATCGCGACCGTCCTGCTGCCGCTCATCGAGTCCCTGATGGTCGTCTGCAAGTATGTAGGCCCGAAGAGCCCCTCAGGTGCCACCACCCGCGCTCTCCGCGGCTCAGCGTCACCCCGCTCTCCATCGACCGCTCGCGAGTCCATGGAGGACCTCTTCGTCAGCTTCACGGACGCTCATCGGAAGGTCTTGAACCTCATGGTCCGCAACAACCCATCACTCATGAGCGGCTCGTTCTCGCTTCTGGTGCACAACCCGCGCGTGCTCGACTTCGACAACAAGCGGAACTACTTCAACCAGCAACTGCATCGCCGGCCACACAACCGGGAGCACCACGGCACGCTGCAGCTCAACGTACGGCGACAGCGCGTGTTCGAGGACAGCTTCCAGTACCTGCAGCGGAAGACGGGCGACCAGATCAAGTACGGGAAGCTGAGCGTGCGCTTCTATGACGAGGAGGGAGTTGACGCGGGTGGCGTGACGCGCGAGTGGTTCCAGATCCTGGCGCGGCAGATGTTCGACCCGAACTACGCGCTCTTCCAGCCGTGCGCGGTCGACAAGCTTACGTACCAGCCGAACCGCGCGTCGTGGGTGAACCCGGAGCACCTCTCGTTCTTCAAGTTCGTCGGGCGCGTGATTGGCAAGGCCATCTACGACGGGCGGCTGCTCGACGCGTACTTTGCGCGCAGCATCTACAAGCAGCTGCTCGGCAAGCCGGTGGACTACAAGGACGTCGAGTGGGTCGACCCGGAGTACTACAACTCGCTCGTGTGGATCCTCGAGAACGACCCTAGCCCCTTGGACCTCACCTTCAGCGTCGAGGCGGATGAGGTACGTGCATCATCTCTCTTGCGGTGAACGTGTTTACTAACATACGTTGCGCAGTTTGGAGTGACGAAGCTTGTGGAGCTGAAGGAGGGCGGCGCGACGATCCCTGTCACGCAGGAGAACAAGAAGGAGTTCGTGCAGCTATCTGCCAACTACCGCCTGTACTCGTCCATCAAGGAGCAGATCGAGGCGCTCTTGACTGGCTTCTACGAGATCATCCCGAAGGACCTTGGCTCAATCGTGAGTATTCCTACCTGGCTAACATCACCTAATGGCTGACATATCCACTCTAGTTCAACGAGCGCGAGCTCGAGCTGCTGATCTCCGGTACTCCCGACATCGACGTCGACGAGTGGCGCTCTGCGACCGAGTACAACGGCTACACAGGCTCGGACCCCGTCATCGTATGGTGGTGGCGCGCGCTCAAGTCGTTCACGCGTGAGGAGCGGGCCAAGGTGCTCAGCTTCGCAACGGGCACATCGCGCGTTCCTCTCGGCGGCTTCGTCGACCTGCAGGGCGTCCAGGGCACTCAGAGGTTCTCGATCCACAAGGCGTATGGCGACACGGACCGTCTTCCTCAAGCGCACACATGTACGTATCGGCAGCTGTCATGACATGGTGCGACGCTAACCAACATTCTCTCCTAGGCTTCAACCAGATCGACCTTCCGCAGTACTCGTCGTACGAAATGCTCCGACAGCAGGTCCTCCTCGCAATCAACGAGGGTGGAGAAGGCTTCGGGTTCGCATAGGCACGCACGCACGCACACATCGCAGGACACCTCCTTGGTACTATCAGTCGCAGTCCATCCCGGCAGTCGTAGGCACGTAATGAACTAGAATCAGCATCCGCACCATCTGTACATATACTACACCCGCATATCCAACGTTAACGAATCGTATCCGTGTTATCCGAAGCGGCGAGTGTGCTCTTGTGGGGATGACCGCTTCAGCGGTCCGTAGGTCGCCGGTATGTCTCAGATGCGTACGACTCGGAGTGGACGTGTTTCCCCAGATGCTTGAAAACTGGGGTAACGCGGGGTTCAGGAGAGTAGCGGGTCCGGGGAAGTCGGGAAAGGCAGAAGCCGAGCTGATCAAGGGACGCGCGCTGTGCACGGTCCGCTGACCTCCTCACTCTCTCCCCCAGGATGCAGCCACCGTCTCCTTATAACCTCCTCCCCGCCCCTTTGCTTGTGCTCCCCTCGCTAGCCCCTGGACGTTCATAACACCCCACCAAACGTCTATCATGCGCGCCTTCGTCATCGACGAGTATGCGCACCCCTCCAAGATCCCCGTCGTCCCGAACGCACCGGAGCCGAAGGCGGGGCCGGGTCAGGTCCTCGTAGACATCTACAGCGCCGGGTTGAACTACTTCGACGTACGTACAATCGCTAGGCCTCTCCGCAAAGCATCGCGCTGACTCCAGCGGTGACGGGCAGATCCTGCAATCGCAGGGCAAGTACCAGTTGCAGCCACCGCGGCCATTCGTGCTCGGGAACGAGTTCGCGGGCAAGATCGCGCACGACTCACCCATTCCCGACGGGTGCCCGTTCAGGCCGGGAGACCGCGTCTTTGGGGGCGGGCAGGGCGCGTATGGGGAGAAATCTGCGGTGTTGTGGCAGAACCTCATTCCGCTGCCGGACAACATGTCGTATGACCAGGGCGCAGGTGCGTGGGCTCTGCTTGGGCATGCCAGTGCATTTGACAAACCGAGTGATGTAGGTCTTTATGTCACTTGGCCCACGAGTTACGAGGCGTTGGTGGGCCGCGCTGAGCTGAAATCCGGTGAGTGCACCTCGGCTCTCTCATGGATCGTGCTGTGCTTATGCGCGTCGTAGGGGAGTGGGTGCTCGTAACTGCCGCGGCGGGAGGTGTCGGTATCGCTGCCGTGCAACTCGCGAAAGGTACGCCTCCTGTGCCTGCTTGAAGTACTCCATCTTAACGCGCGTATATAGCACTGGGCGCGAAGGTCATCGCCGCCGCCGGCTCTCAGGAGAAGATTGATATCGCTGTCCGGTATGGAAGCGCGGATCACGGCGTGAACTACTCGAAGGAGGGCTGGCAGAAGGAAGTGCTGAAGCTTACTGGGGGCAAGGGCGTCGACGTCATATACGACCCTGTCGGGCTCATTCGAGGTTCGCACTGACACAACGCGCCGCTGATGGTGGAGGACTGATGTTTGGTGCGCGCGCAGATTCTCTCAAATGCATCGCATGGAAGGGCCGAGCACTTGTTGTCGGTTTCGCGGCGGGCTCGATTGAGAAGGTGCGTGGGTCCTCGCACAAGCTGACGTACTGGTCCACTGAACCTTTCCTCAGTTGCCGTTAAACCTCGTCCTGCTTAAGAATATCTCTATTGTCGGCATTCACTGGGGCGCGTACAGCAGTACGTTCAAGCTTTGCCTGTATGTCAACCGCGTGCTAACATTATATGCAGAATTCGAGACCTCCCGAGGGCCCGTCGTCTGGCAAGCACTCCTCGAGTATGTCTAGGCCTTCGCTTTGTCTCATTGCACGTTCCTTACATCTTTCTCCACAGCCTTTTCTCGTCCGGACGCGCGAAGCCTATCGTGTACCCGGAGACGTTCCCGCTCGAACGCCTCGCAGACGGGCTCGTCGCGCTTGAGAAGCGCAAGACGTGGGGGAAGGTCATCGTGCACGTCCGCGAGCCCGAGACTCCGCCGCATTCGAAGGCGAAGCTGTAGATTCGGAGTTAGAAGCGCAAGATTGCGGCTTGGATGGGACTTTCTAGGCCAGGACTATGGCTATGTATGAGTAACTGCAGGATGATGATCAATGCTACATTGGTAACGACTATCGCTGGCCTGTGCGATCTACAAGAGGAAAATGTACGTAAACGTACGGTGCAGACTCGGACTCGGACTCGAACAAGGCCAATACAAGCTGTCGCCGCGTGCAAGGCGATTGGGTCGCAAGTTGAGGTCAACGAACGTTGTAGCGCTATGAATATGTTACACTACTACTTGGTCTAGTATCTGCGTGGTCGCGCAGTGGCAGGACTCTGTCGATGGTATGATCAGCATCTGCGATATGATGTGCAGCGACGGTACTTACATCACTATGCTCTGTCTCAATCATCGACGTCTAGTCTCTCTGCTCCGACCAACTGCAGCCGTACCTGCGAAGACAATAATCAGCATCGCGCGGGTCTCCTGCAGAAGGATGCCGAAGCGACCTACGTCGTTGATCGCAGACTCTATGGCGTCAGCGGCGGAAGTCATGCATTCGATGAGGGGAACGAAGAGGCTATGAATGGTAATGTTGCCGAACTCAGTGGACATGGTGTTTAGTATCTTCTTTTGACATCCGTTTTGAATGGTCGCCTTGGTGGGTACGCCGTGTGCGCTAGCGACGTAGTTGGTAACGGCGTTCTTGAAGGCAGTGGTATAGATGCTCTGTGGATACCCGTAGTGTCCGGGTTGGCCCGCGTAAACGGAGTCCGGAATCCGCTGGCTAATGTCCTCGAGATGCTTCTTGAAGATCTGGCGGCATGCGTCGAAATAGACCAGCAAGTGATGGTAAGCCAGCGCCGGTGCGCTCTCCATTGCGGCGGTGTACTCCACGACCGACTCCCTCAGGGCGTTCCTCGCCGCTTCCTCCGCGCATTTGTGCAGTCCGTGGTTGATCGCGACGAAATAGGCCTCCAGGGGATGGAGAGCGGCTGCTTTGTCCCAAGCCTCGCGGGCCTTGCGCTCGATGGCCACCATCTTATACTTTCGGGATGCGACCAGCACTTCAGCGAGCCGGGCGTGATCGGCGGGCAAGGTGTCCCCAAGGCTATAGCAAGCCTTCAGCAAGGCGGACAACACATCGGCGTCTTCGTCAAAGTCCAGCACGACGGCTGCAGGCGTCGAACCGCGGTCCTCTGAAATGGGCCCGACGTCCCGCAGCTCTGCCAGTCGCGCTTCCAGGACCGGGGAGTACATGCTCATAACGACCTGGTGAGCGGCGAAGTCCGTCTGCGAGCCCATTCGTGAAGACGACCGACAGACCACGTCGGGAGATGGCAGCTTCGTAGAGAACGGCAGAGGGGACTCGGAGGAGACTGACTGCGGCGCGGGCGGACTCGCGATCGGAGGACTCAAGAGAGTCAACTGCCCCTCGTCTATGGCAGACTGCTCCGCCTTCAGGAACTGCTTCAGCCGAAGGTAGTCCGCGGCCGAGATCCCAGACATGTCTCCCAGGTCGTCCATAAGCGACAGCACCTCCTTCGTATCGTCACGTATCCACGAGGTCCGCAGCACGACCGCCGCCTGGCACGCAACGTCCTCCTGGCCCGTGCGGCACGCAGCCGCCCACACCTGCAGCGGGCTCTTGGGGATGATCGCGACGAGCCGCTCGGAGAGGATATCGACGGGCAGCTCCATCTCGTACTTCACCGCGGCACGCAACGCGGGCACGATCGTCTGCGGGTCCTCCATCTGTGCGCGCGGCTTCGAGATGGGGTACACGAGGCGCAGGAGCAGCTCGAGCGTCGCGCTGTCTTCGGAGACCGGCACGACCGGCGGCGTGCCCGGTTCTGTGCCAGCGAGCGGCGCGGAGGGGGCGGAGTCGGCGGCGGGCTGGGGGAGCGTGAGCATCGTGGCGAAGAATGAGGACGCGAGAGCGAGGAAGAGCGTGTGCACGCGGAAGTCGACGAGGTCTGCGGTGCGTAAGATGAGGTCTGCCGAGGGCAGGTTGAATGGGTGCGGTGCATCGGTGGTCCGCGATGTTCCGGGAGAGGGCGAGGGCGTGGACATCTTCAAGGTGGAGGTGGGTTCAGGTGACAAATGCGAAGTGGAAAGGAGCGAAAGTGGGAGACGGCCTTGACGGTGGGGATGGTGGTGATGTAGCAGGGGAGGTTTGAGCGTTATATATTCATGTCTATTCAACTCGGACGCCAGGGGCTGTTGCAGGGGTGGAGGTGTGCAGCAGTAGGCCATGCATTGCGGACATGGTCTGACTGGCACACGCAGATCGATCGAATGAGGAGTTCCCCTTACACAACGGTGGCACGCCAGTGCTACTGCACAACGATAGTAAGCGAATGAACTTGAAGTAGATGAGTGCTGCAAGTGGAAGAGCACTCGTCTCTTTTCTGCACCCACCCATTGGTCGGACCATGCGCCCGATGAGGCTCTAAAGAAAGCCCCCCCCCCCAGTCCCATAGTTCGACCGGCAGGTACGACGGTATGCGATGCAAAAAAATGCTCAACAAACATTGTGACGGCGCTGTCGGATTCAGAGTCTGAAGCTCGATACTCAAAAAGGCTGTACCTATGTCGGATTACATCTTCAAGATCAGCGAGTACATGCTAGACAAGAGAAGTCGACAGAACAGCATCTTCAAACAACCTGGCAAGAGCGAAGGGCAGGTCGTGTCGGTGAATAGCAGGTCTGTAGAGAACGAGGCCGGTGTGAGCGGTATGTGCCGACAGGAGAGCGGCCGTCAGCAGAAGACTTAAGAGAGTGAGTGCCTGACACTGCACGACCCTCTCGAGGCCCGCGCAGTGGTACAGAGCTCGCCCAGACCTGCAGAGGCCCGCGGCGGCTTTTCAGACGTGATCACCATGAGGCGCGCAGGCGGCATCTGGACCAGAAGACCCATTTCCTACCTTCTCACTGCGAGTTCCATCTGCGTGTGCGGGTTTGGCATGGGATACACGACCTTCAAACACAGCTCGAGTGTAATTCTGCCTGTAAACACAAATACGATGGGCGCACCTTAAGCTTCCGAGCTGGCACCGGCGCCGCAGTGCGCGGAGGTAGTGGTCGTAACGGACGAAAGAAGTACACGCAAGGGAGCTGGGCGATCGTAGGGGCGATGATTCGGAGTCTAAAAGGAATTCGACAAGATCAGCGGTGCGGATGAGGTCCGTTGTTGGCCGGGTAGAGTATGTCGGCGTGTTATAGCTAGTTATAGATAGGGGAGTTGCGGTGAAGACTCCTTTGACATCTTCTTGCCTCGGGGGCTACTGGTTCCCGAAACGTTCTGGGTATGGTACGGCGACATATTAGGTCTTTAGGTCTCGAGCAGAAGCAGCATGCTAGCACGCGGTAGATCAGCTCAGTTAACATTATGTGGCGACTTCATCCGAGGTTACGAGTGTTGGCGGAGCGTCGGACGGCCGCCAGTAAGTTATTTAGGACTTTCCCAAAACCTCATATATAGTTGTACCTTTTAGAACAATTTATAAGGCGCTATAGCCAAGTGGTTACGGCGAGTGATTAGAATGTCCTCATCGCTAGATAAGTTTAAACTATCACTTCCTCTATGAGGGCGCAGGTTCGAGTCCTGCTGGCGTCGATTTGTCTTTCGTTTTTGCCCCTGTTTGCGCACTTCTTGTCGTACGCTGTGGCCCCCAAGGTCATCGGCTTCTCCAATGATATTTTCAAAGTTTTCAAAGTGAGATCCGGTGACGGAATGGACGACGCCAACAAGTTGTTGCCGTGACGTAGCGGTACGTAAGAGCGCTTGGCTGCGTGAGCGCTGCAGCCTTCACGGTGTGGCACTTAATTCTAACTTCTGACCGGACACCATCATCATTTCATGGGACGCCGACAAGCTTAAACTCGTGTCCTACCCGGGTTGTGGTAAAGGTGTTCATATCGGTAACAGGTCTCAAGGGGACCTTGCACCGACCTTTACAAGCGGCCTCAAAATCAGTGCCGCGCGAGTCCGAGTCCGCGGTCGTCTTCGGCGAGGTCGCTTTGGCAGCCACGTACTAGTCTTCATCTGAATTTGTTAAGATGGCTGTAGGCTGAGGTACGCCGTATTCCTGAGTCCGAAATTGACGAGACATTGACGCTCTTTTAGTGCACTCCTCTGGTGTCGCATCCGGAGCAACCCCGTTCAATTGCCGCGATGTTGACCAGTAGACGGCTGTTGAGCGCTGAGCTCTGAGCTCTCCATCAGTGACCCACCATACTGCCGACCTTTGCCGACACGATGTTGAAGCAATGAGGGTATTCAACGTAAACACCGGACCGCACAGTTCAATTTGACCATACACTGTTTTCCTCTCACCGTGATACCACAAGCTGTGCACTGGACGAAATGATGAACAGATCGTCGACTATGGAGGTGGAAGGCCAGTAGTTCCCGGTATGCCAACATTACTCGTTGTACTAATCCATACTCACAGCTTGTATGTCACTTACGGGATGAATTGCAAACAGCCGTTGATTATAGCATACACGTCTGTGGCGCTGGATGTATAACATGATACGTCAAGCATAACTTGGTGCAGCTCATATGGGCGGCGGTTTCGCAGCATCCGCTGGACTTCGCTCCCGGATTTTCATCAACGATTCAAGGTTTACCATAGTCCGAGGAAGTAATGTCACAGCCAGCAGGAAGTAGCTACAGGTAACGGTGTGTTGATGAACCGTGAACGGATGCAATATGACCGCTTCTCACGTCAAATCCTTGTTCACAGCAGAAGTTACCAAGGCATCGCGACTGCTAGGTGGTGCCGCAGAGAGATCGCCCCGGCGATTTTGCGAATCCTACGCAGTCGTTCCTAATATATAAGTGCACGTTGGCCGTCGCTTCCAGGTCGACGGTTTCCTTACTTCCTCGTTCGCGTCCCCTTCCTTTTCCTGTTCGTTCTCTTCGAGATGCTTTCTCTTTCTTTCGCGCCCCTGGTGGGCCGTGTCCTCCCCTTCTTTTTGTTTCCTGCCGTTCTTTCGAAGCCGGCATCTTTTTCTGTCAGCATCCGTGGCGGCGGCGCGAAGTTTGTCGACGGTGCGCTCACCGCAGACAACATCGGTATCAGCACGACTGACAATACTGGGGTTCGTCGTTATTATCAAAAATATCCCCTATGACGGTGTTCTAACTGTGCTACGCAGTACTTCACCGAGGTCACCCTGGGAGGGCTCAGTATGCATCATGCTCTATTTCTGGTTTGCTTAGACGCTAATTGGGTTCGTAATAGATTTGACTCTGAACCTCGACACGGGCTCTTCCGACCTTGTAGTAATCCGTCAAGGGCGAGACATCAACTTGACGAACTCTACAACCGTTCAAGCAACGGAGGGGTTCGGTATCGGAGATGCCACAGGCAATGTCGCATTTGCAGATCTGCAACTCGGGGACTTCACTATCCAGAGTCAAGGTACGCATTCCGCACCTGCCTTCCTTTAGCCTTTCTGACCCCTCCCGCGTCACGGCCACACTACCATTCCTCCACAGCCTTCGTCGATGTCACACAAGCACAGGACCTCGGCTCAAGCGGGGACGGCATCATCGGAATGAGCTTCAACGCTCCCTCCGCCGTCATTGGCTCGCTCACCCAGGCGTTCGGCGCAGACGCCGCCGCGCAACTCGGCAACACCCCGATGCCCGCGCTCTTCTCTCAGCAGCAGGACCTCCCAGACAGCTTCGACGTGCTGCTGGGCCGCGCGGACGAGCTCGGCGACGCCGCACAAGGCACATTCCTCATCGGGGAGCACGACGACAACTTCCAGAGCGTCACGGACGCGCCGCAGCTCACGAGCGTGAGCACGGACCACTGGAGCGTGGTCCTGGACGCGATGAACATCAACGGGAAGCCCTTCCAGTTCAACGCGTCGCGCATCCAGGGTGTCCCCGCTGGCAAGGTCGCGGCCGTCCTCGACACTGGGTTCTCGTTCCCGCCGCTGCCGCCTCCTGCAGTGGACGCGATCTACTCCACGATCGAGGGCGCCGTGTTCGACAGGAACCAGAGCTTGTGGGTTGTGCCCTGCAACTCGAGCTTGAGCTTGTCCTTCGTTTTCGGGTACGTTCCCCACGCGTTTCGCTACGCATACGGCTCCGCACATCTTCTCTGACCACGTTCTCCATAATCACAGCGGCCAGGAATACTTCGTCCACCCTCTCGACCTTACGTTCCCCGTGTCAGGTCCCTTGGATGGCCCCGGGTCCCAGAACGTCACCGTGTGCGTCAACACGTTCCAATACCTCACGCTCGACCCCACGAAGTTCGTCGGCTTCGACCTCATCCTCGGGGACGCTTTCCTGCGGAACGTCTACGCCTCGTAAGCCGCCCTGCCTCGTCGCGCACGCCACGTTGATCTCACCGTCGCGACAGGTTCAACTACGGAGACCAGAACACGAATCCCTTCGTGCAGCTCGTCACCACGACGCCCGACCCGAACACGGCGATGCAGGAGTTCCAGCAGCAGCGCGGGGCGACGCTCGCGAAGCTGCCGCCGACGGTCGACCCCTCAGCGGTCGCGAACAAGGAGGGCGAGCAGACGGACTCCACCGGCCCTTCGGCATCGCAGACTCGGGCACCGGGCTTGCAGTCGTCGACGAGCTCGGGAGCGTCGAGTACGTCGACGGCGCAGAACGGGCAGGCTACGGACGCGAACAAGAAGAACGGGGCTGTGAGGGCGAGTGCTGTGTGGACGGGCGTGTGTGGGGCCTATGTCCTGTACATGTTTTCGAACGTGTTCATGTTGTAACTATTGTATTTGACGGATGGGGACCATGTATAATGAACAAACAGTGTGCATAATCTCTGTGTAATATTTCATCTCGATATATATGATCTTGGTCGGCAAGTATCGTCCGTAGCGGCGATGTCGAGATAATATCTATTGCGACCTCCGCTCGCGACCGCAGGAGCCCCATATTCTCTCTGGAAAAGCACTCCTCCGACGCCCAGCTCGGTCCCGGGCGGCTTCCGGGGATGCCGGAGGGAGGACGAGTGGAGAGGGAGCGGGTGATTGCCGCGGCCGAGGCGCGACGCGTCGCGCGTACGCGGCCACGTGACCGTACAGGGCGAGTGACATCATTGCAGGAGGGTGTCATGGGGAGCGGGCATGTCGTCATTGGGTTCCCCGCCGGACATGAAAAGGGCTGGCGGGCGAACACATGCCCTCACAATTCCCATCTCATCGCACCACGCCCTCGAGCCCAAATCCTATCTCTCTCTCTCGCCGACGTCCATCACCATGTCCTCCGCCATCCTCCGCACCCAGACCCTCCGCGCCTCCGTCCGCGCCGCGCCCGCCGCCGCCCGTGTCGCTCGTGTGGTACGTCGGACGATCCTAGGAGAGCGACGAGGTTGATGTTGATGTTGTCCATGCAGCACCCGCGCACGTACGCGACCATCCCCGACCCTACCAACCCCACAGATGGGCCCAAGCCCAATGACATCCCCACCCCTTCGGGCGGAGGCGGCAACACGCTGCTCATCGCTGCTGCTGTGGCCGCGGCCGCGGGCGGAGGTTACTACTACTACAGCCAGAGCGAAGACCCCCATGCGCAGCGCATCGCCGACCAGGAGCGCGTGAAGCAGAAGGCGGACGAGCTCCGCAACGCCGGCAAGGCAACTGCACACGACGCCGTCCGCGAGGGCGAGGCGAAATACGACCAGACCAAGGTACGTTCGCGTGATCAACACGAGGAAGTACGCAGCGGAGACTGACGGGTATGAGCAGGCGGCCGGCAAGGATAAGCTTGCGTCCGCACGTGCACAGGCCGCAGCGACGGCCGACGATGCGCGGAACACTGCGGTGCGCCAGTATGAGCAGGCGAAGGGCGCCGTGTCGGATGCTGCGCACAAGGTCGAGCACAAGTACGAAGACGCGGTGCAGAAGACGAAGGTCGAGGCGCAGTCCTGGAACCAGTGGGTCTGGAGCTGGTTCGGGTACGGCAAGAACAAGGCGGACGACGCGAAGCGCGAGGGTGCACAGAAGGTTGTCGAAGGCGCACAGAAGGTCGAGAAGGAGGCTGGAAAGCACACATGAGCGTTCTGGACCTCTTCTTGGGTTGACGGACTTGTTGAGCTGGAAGGGAAGGAGCTGTTGCTTCCTGCCGCTTGTAAAACATGCGTATGTGTATAGCGTTAATGTAATCCCACCACCATCTGGTCGAATTCATGCGTGCCATGTAAGAAGTCCACATACTCCGCGAGAACACACAAGTATGAATCGGGTATGTCTGAACCGATCGACCGCACTACAAATCAGGTTGCTACAAACAAACCAAACCACACCGTCACGATCAAAGCTCCACAAGCAGATACAAAGTTAGGCTAGAACATCGTGTGAGGGGGGGTGGTGAGGTCCCCCGTGGGAACGTCTGAGCTCGAATTTCTGACAGCTCCAACCAGGTCGTGGTGGCGCGAGTCGACCTGAGTCGACGCCGCGGTTCGAGCAATTTTGGCATGTAGCCGTCGAGCTCATTCCTTCTGTACATGACGACCTCCTTGTGTGCCTCTATGTCGCGTAAATCAGTCATGGAGGCCGTCGCTTATACGCACACATCAGGAAAAGCCAAATCCTCCAGACGGAGACGCCCGACTCCAGCGCTCCAGGGGCCTCCATATGGAGACACGTTCTCCATCCCTGCGACAAACCTCATCTCGCGCTTGCTTCGACGTACGAGCTCATAGATCTGGCCTTCCGTAGGCCGGCCGCAATGATTTTAATTGTGAGCGGGGAGGGCGTCGTTGGTGAGTCGCGCGGGGAAGCCGTGGGAACGCCTCCATAGGCTCCATATGGCCGCGGATGGAGACAGGGCGTCTCCGCATATTGGGGGGGAGTCTCCAGCGCTCAATCCAACCACCTGTTACCATATAGGGCCCCTGGTTCCTGAGGTCATTCCTGATGCAGAGTGTGTACGGGAGCATTACGGGGCCCATGTTTGTTTCGTAGAGGTTTCAAGCGATTTCCCCGGTTCCCGAGAGGCAGCCCAGTCCATCGTACAACTGGTCGTATTTATGTATGGGAAGCGACACATACAGAGAGGTTTTAAGGGTTTCAGACGCGTCCTAGAACGCGAATGTGCGCGACGCGACTGGTAAGTTGTCCTCTGAAGGCTCGCGTGCCGTCGGCACATTCAAACTCAGACGTTCCCACGGGGGACCTCACCACCCCCCCTCACACGTAGTTCCAGCCTCCCTTCGGGAGGAACGATTGTCTTCCGCCCCGAACGTGAGGCTGGTTTACGAGCCTAATACAAAGTGGCCGCTGGTTTGAAGTTCGAACACCGCGGCTACGCAGACCTACCTCCTCGGTCAAGCCGCCGAAAAGTTGAAAAACTCCCAATCAGAATCACCCTCGGCGGGAACCAACGGCCCAGGCGAGTCGTTTGACGTTGTCTCAGACTGCCCGCAGGAGCCGTCTGCAGCAGCAGCGGCCGTCGCGGCCGCGAGCCTCAGCGGGACACCCGCAGAGTCCTCGCGTGCCACCGACTGTGCTTCTACCAGTAGCACAGAAGGATGCAGGGCCTGCAGCCCTGCATCCGTCTCCGAGTCGCTGCCGTCAGCGTCGGCATCGTCGCCTTCGCCTTCGTCGGAGAATAGGCTGTCAAGTGCATTCGTGGACGTGTCTTCAAGTTGGACAGGCCCCAGGTCGGCCAAATTCTGCCAGTCGTTCGCTACGTCGTGGGCAGGTGCAGACGGGGAGAGAACACCTTTGGATGCAACGACTGCGCAGCCTCCGATGTCCGAGATGTGCTCGCTGACGCTGGTGTCGCTGTCTGCCCCGGCTTCGTTGTCCTCGACCCAGAACCCGACCCACGGATCGTTGAAGAGGTGTATGTTGCCGTCATCCCCGTCGGAGGTCTGCGCTTGTGTGATCTGGGGCTCGCCGCCGGTGGTGGCCATCGCGCACGGTGAGTCCTCTTCGCTCTCATAGGCTGCTTCGCTATTGGTTTGGCTTCCGGCGAGGCATAGAAGCCCATTCGTACCCGCTTCCTCCTCCTTGATCTTCACTGGGGCGCCCTCTATTATCTCGCGCGCACCACGGGCCCCGGCGCCCCCCAGCTCCTCGCCGCCCAAGACCCGGCAACACTCGCACTTGTACACGAGCACCCCGCTCCCCCCAAGATCCCGCTCCAACTTCCGCCTATACTCGACCCCACACGCCCTATGCAGCGCGCTCGCCCTCCAGCACGGCATGAATACCCCCAGCCACCCCTGCACCCGCAGCGCCCCAGGAAACTTGCGACAGTCCCGGACGTGCCGCAGAATCGCGTCCCGGCGCGAGAACTCGCCGCAGCCGCGGTGCGGGCCGCGGAGCATGCGGTAGCGCACGCCGAGGTGCTCGGACTCGAAGTGTCGCCTGCTGTCGCACGGGCGGGTGAAGGGCTTGGTGCCGCGCGAGCAGAGCTCCGCAGGCTTGGTGCCGTCGTCGGGGCATAGACCGGGGTCTTCGTCGATGAGAGAGAGCATGGGGCACGGCCACTCGCGCGGCTGCCGCTGTGGCTGGACGACGCTGGATTCGGGGGACGAGGGAGCGGTTCTGTCTGCGAGTGGTGGTATGTACGGGGCTATTGCCTGGGCCCGGGCGCGACGTGCCGCTCGCTGTGCTATGCGCTGGCGGGCCTGCACGCTGCTGCTGCCGGGGTACACCTCCGGTGCGGTGTCCCACTGTGCTCCTTGCGGTGCGTCAGATGTGGACACAGGAGTGGCGCTCTGCCCGGCCGGTGCCCTCGGAGCGGGAGTGCGTTGCGAGCGTCGCAGAGGGGCACGGGATAGGCTTGGAGGTATAATATCGGGACGATTTGGTCTCGCGTCCGGGATGTGGGGTGCAGCATGCAGGGGAGGCCAGGGCATGACTGGGGGCGGATAAGTGTACGGGGCACCCATTGTCTGCGCTACATAGCGGTCGCCACCGCCTCGTACGGCACCCATGAAAGGTGAGTGCGGGATAGAAGCTGCGTTCTCCGAGTTCCAACTTCCGGGGCGAGAAGATCCTTGGGTGAAGTGTCCGAGACGGCCCAGATGAGGTAGTAGGGATGTTGACGCAGTATGTGAAGGCGTACCGGAATGGGTTGTTTCAAAAGTGCTACTCCTGATGCTTACAGTGGTGTCCGGAGAGCTGGCCGTAGGTTGACGCACATGGCCATTGGCGGGGTGTGTGGCGTAGCTCGGATAGTCATTGCGGGAATGCCCATGTTCAACGCGAACCCTCTCGGTTGTGACCAATCGTGTCCGTGCGGCAACGTTGCTAGTGTTGTCTGCAGAAAGGACCCGGCCGCTCAGTCTCATTCGCTGCTGGAAAACAGGATACGCTGACTGACAGGACATGGAAGAGGCCATCATTGGCTGTGGGGTAGTCGCCGCAGGCACATCATGGTCTTGTTGCTCTTCGCCATACCAGACTCGTTTCGCGAGCCTCGATGTATAGTTCGTCTCGTTCTCCTTGTCGTCACGAGCTCTCTTGCGATATCCTCTTGGGTCATCCTGTGGCTCGCCAGGGGTCGAGGAGGATAGATGACGAGGGAAGCTAGGGGCGTGCGGCGCAGGAGTGAAGGATGCTGGCTGGAGAAAGAAATCGAGCCGAGAGTGAACCGGTGCGGGTGCCAGTATTTGCGGCCGGGGTGACTGCACGAGGGCGGAAGGTGCCACGGACGGATTAACGAGGGGAGGCCCGGCAGACGATGACGACGGCGCCGATGGGCGGCCCGCCCAAAGGACTTGTGATGGGTCGACACCTGTTGTGGCACCGTCTGTCCATTCTTGCTGGTAGCCGAAGGGGGCGCGAAAGTCTCGTGCAACCTCGTCTTCCTGTACCTGATACGCCTGACTGGACGACGGCAGGGAATAGCTCGGACCGGACGAATGGGTGTCTGGGTGGCCCTGATCCTGCAGATGCCAGTCTTCGGCAGGATAGTCTTTCTCCGGGCTGGCAGCGGCAGGAGTAGTTTGTGCAGGCAGCTCTAAGAAAGCCTGAGCCCAGTCGTATGTAGATGGAGAGGACATTTCGGCTGGTGTCGATGGAATGGGGCTCTGTAGACATGGGTAGAGGAGTTGGGGGGCGGTGGCCCTTTATACCTCGTATTGTTACTTCATTCCAATTGCTCAGGATACGGTTAGGAAAGGTCGAGCCGCGGGGCGCAGAAAAGAACCTCATGAGAAGAATGCTGTACTCGACGCCGTCAGTAGCAGTGAGGCATACATTCGCTTCTTGACGGATGTAGAAGGTCCACTCGCCAGGTGGCCGGGAAGGAGCTGCTGCACATATCAGTCGTCTGTAGATCTCGTGAGAAGATGATCTTCCTGGTTCCTGGGCCACTAGTGCACATCAGCCGCCGCCGCGTAAAAATGAAGAGCATAGCGATGGCGGTGAGGGGCGTATGTTGCTGGAATATGCGATTGGCCAGATATGAGGGACACTGCGGCCTTGAAGACTCGTGTGCTGGATGGAGGAAGACGATCAGATCTCGTAAAAAAAACGGCACTGATCGATAGGACAGTGTACTTTACTAAAAACAGCAGCTGTGTGGCACGTCCATACATGACTCGAGACGAAAAGAAGAGCTGCAACAATTTAAACGGTGGTCTTCATACGGATTGTTTACGAGGGGTAACCGTCCCCCCTCGCGGCAAAGGGAGATGTGAGTTCGCGTTACCCTATTATTTACCTTGAGAATTGAGAGGGGAGGAATTGATCAGTCCAACAACGCACAGTCGTGCATTGGGGGGTTTAGCGTGACGATCAAGGACAACGAGCGGGCGCTAATGGCGGGCGTTGCGGAACAGCCTTGCTTGATTGGGCCAGTCGGCAAACGCCGCCGCAGGTATAAGGAAGCACCTGCTGGAGGCGCCGACGCTCCTCCCTCCTCTCCCTGCGTATCACGGAAGACACAGTAAGTTCCGTCCCCACTAAACCGGCGCAAGGACGCACAATAGATTAAACGGCTTTCTTGAAACTTAGGTGAGTAGTTCGACGATAATCCGGCGAAACCTATGAAGCGATATCTTTGAATATCGGGTGCTATCACCGTCGTGCTGTCGTAGGGCAGCAGGCTTGTACAGTGCAACAATAACGCGATACAGTCGTACAATCTCAACGCAAGCACTGAGAAGTATAATTTGGCAGCATCACCTCTAATTCCAGGGAGAACACGCTCCTCGTGACATAGTTCCCGTACTCGGAACAGTTTCCGAGAACGGTGTTTCCCCCGCTGCCCTTCTTTCACACCTATGCGGTCATTACTCCCGCGCGAAGGACACGCGAGAGAAGCTGTAGATCACGCTCCACTCGTTCCAAGTGAATGTCAATAACACGTTATCGGTCACCCTCCTCACTCAAGCCGGCCTTTGGTTCAACGGATTTGCTATCGCACTCTCGAGCGTCCCCACACTGCATCGCAATCAACACACTTCCCCTGTCCCTCTGACTTCCTTCGATAGGTGCTCAAATAGGACTCTTATCCGCCGGTCATCGTTCGCACCAGCGACTCCCATGCTCGTCGCAGCCTGAGAGCGTTCTGTCGATATACTCGTGGAGCGACCTGCGTATGGGACTTGGTCAACCGCCGGATATACTCGATCCTCACAATATACCGACAATGTCCCATAACAGCGGTTTTTCTCAACCTGCTCCACATGTCGAAGCCCTCCGTGCTTCCCACTCTCAGGGTTTACCGCGCGCAGCTCCGTCGCGCCCGACCATCGCTTCCCCAGCCCACTAGAAGGCCCCGCTTGTTGACTTCCATATAAATACGCCACCATGAACACTCGTTCCGCTCATCACCGGAGTCGCCTCTGGATCACCAACCAAGATGCTCACTCGGGTCGCCCTCCTCGCATGCCTCGCCGCCGTGTGCGCCGCCAAGCCCCTGGTGGCGCGCAGCATGCAGCTGCACGAAGTCAGGGACGAGGTCCCCGACGGCTTCGTGCACTCCGGCGCCGCACCTCAGGACACGGTCCTGAATCTCCGTCTCGCGCTCGTCCAGAGCGACACGGCAGGTCTCCAGAAGGCCCTCATGGACGTCAGTACGCCCTCCAGCGCGCTATACGGCCAGCACCTCACCAAGGAGGAGGTACGTCGTGTCACCTACTTCGGCGACCACTGTACGGTGCTGACCCCGCGCTTTTCAGGTCGAGGAGTTCGTGGCGCCGTCCGCGGACAGCGTTGCTGCAGTCAACGCGTGGTTTGCTGAGAACGGCATCACCGCCAAGACCGTCTCCCCCGCCGGAGACTGGCTCAGCTTCTCCATCCCGGTCAGCCAGGCCAATGACCTCCTCGACGCCGACTTCTCCGTCTTCACCCACCAGGAGACCGGGCAGACGTCTATCCGGACCCTCGCCTACTCCATCCCGGCTGACCTCAAGGCGCACGTCGATCTCGTCCACCCTACCATCACGTTAGTCGGGCTCCTCCATCTGCGTCATTTGCTGCCACTCAAATTAATCTTTGACAGGTTCCCGAACCCGTTCGCGCGTCTTCCGGCGATGGTCGCTCCGCCGAAGGCGAAGCCCGCCGTGAACGTCACCTCTGACGCTGTTCCGGCGTCCTGCTCGTCGACCATCACGCCCGCGTGCCTGCAGGCGCTCTACGGTATCCCGACTACGCCCGCCACAGTTTCCTCGAACAAGCTGGCCGTCAGTGGTTTCATTGAGCAGTTCGCTAACCAGGCCGACCTAAGGGTATGTCGCTATCACTGCGGTGCAGGTGCTCCCGTCACTCACCATGTATTGTAGACCTTCTTGACGACTCTTCGCCCCGACATTCCTGCCACGACCACCTTCGCTCTTCAGACACTTGATGGTGGATCGAACCCCCAGGCCGCGAACGAGGCTGGTGTTGAGGCGGTAGGTGTTCTCGTTTCTGTGGTAAGATCACGGCTCTGACAATGCTTCCAGAACCTCGACATCCAGTACACCGTTGGTGTTGCCACTGGTGTCCCCAACACGTTCATCTCCGTCGGCGAGCGGTTCCAGGACGGCGCCCTCGAGGGCTTCTTGGACATCATCAACTTCCTTCTGGGCGAGAGCGCACCCCCGCAGGTCTTGACCACCAGCTACGGACAGAACGAGAACACCATCTCCAGGGCGCTCGCAAAGTAAGTACCCTCATTGCTCTAATAGCGTCTGATACTAAAGTTCTTTTGAATAGCAACCTGTGCAATGCTTACGCACAGCTCGGTGCTCGTGGTACCTCCATCCTCTTCGCGTCTGGCGATGGTGGCGTTGCTGGTTCTCAGACCACTCGCTGCACCACTTTCCTGCCCACGTTCCCCTCCGGCTGCCCCTTGTGAGTATCGACCTTCCATCACCCTATGCACCAAACTGAAAAGTCCTCTCAGCATGACCTCGGTCGGTGCCACCACCGGCGTCCCCGAGACCTCCGCCAGCTTCTCCTCCGGCGGGTTCTCGAACTTCTTCGCGCAGCCGAGCTACCAGGCGGGCGCCGTCTCCACCTTCCTCACCGCGCTCGGCAACACGAACGCGGGCAAGTTCAACCGCAGCGGGCGCGCGTTCCCGGACATCGCCGCGCAGGGCGACGACGTCGAGATCTTCGTCGGCGGCGAGTCCGGGCTCGTCGCGGGCACGAGCTGCTCGAGCCCGATCTTCGCGAGCGTGATCTCGCTGCTCAACGACGAGCTCGCGGCCGCGGGCAAGCCGCCGCTCGGGTTCTTGAACCCGTTCCTGTACTCGACGGGCGCGGCGGCGCTGAACGACATCACGACTGGGAGCAACCCCGGTTGCAACACGCAGGGCTTCCCGGCGCGCGCTGGATGGGACCCGGTGAGTATCCTTGGGCTTGTGGACGGTGCTGGTGCTAAATGACGATTTCAAGGTCACTGGTCTCGGAACGCCCAACTTCGCGAAGCTCAGGACCGCTGTCGGCTTGTGAAGGGGGAAGGCAATCTTTATATCAAGTAATAACATGGTACGAATCTGAGCAGACGTTACTGGTAGCTAGTGGGCCTCCTAGTCATGTCGTATCACGAGAAGCGAGCGAATGAGTAAAGTACGAAATGCTCCAAACATATGCGACTCTGCAATGTGGTTAAAACCAGAAGGGGGCAGAGATGAAGTCATACTACGAGAGCCTGATAAATATATAGTATATCCCAACGTACAAGGTTTGCATCTTGTCCGAATCCCCACGATATACATGCGACTCAGATGGCGTCGCACGCATACATGTCCAGCACCCAACCTGGAGATTCCAGGTGATCACAAGGCCTCACTAGAGGTTACAGTTGAGCACGGCAGTCCTGAGGGGAAGTCACGAGCGAGCGGCAGCACTTACATCGAAGAATTGAACCACTGCGGCGCCAGGTCGTCCGGCGTGATCCAGTACTTCTCCGCCTCCACCGACAGCTCGACATCCCAATAGGTGCCACGCGTCGCGAGCTCGCCCGGGCCGTCCACATCGAGCTCGATGTTCAACTCCTCCACATAGCATGCCGCGGCGTCGAATACCTCCCGCAGAAGACGCTCGCGATCGAGCACAAGGCCTTCAGGTGGCGAGTTAAACGCGTATACGCGCGGTGGGACGCGCAAAGTTAGAGACCGGAGTGGGACCCCTGCTCGCGCGCGTGCAGCGAGCACGTCGGCGATATGCGGCGCGAGCTCCTCGAGCTCCTCTGGAGGTGCTTCGATGCAGAGCGCCGCGAGCAGAGGGCAGCGAATGGGGGCATCACCCTCGCCCGGCATGAGTGGGAGGAGCAGCTTGTCGTCCAGCATGCAGAACGACGTGCCGCCCATTCGAGAAGATGTGGATTTGGTGGAAAACGCCGGGAAGCGTAGAGACACCAGAGAGGGCGTGAAGTCGAGGACGTCCTGCAGCTGTCGCCGGTTGTGCTCGGCGGGTTGGGAATCGTGCCCGGCGAAGAAGTCGAGCGCTTGAACGGATCCGAAGGGAAACATGGGCTGGAGGCGGCAGCACTGGAAGCTCTCATCGCTGTTGAGCCAGAGCCCCGAGTGAAAGCCTTCTGCGACCACCCACTGAGTACCAGTGGAGATGGTAATCTCGAGGCGAGTCAGACTCGGCATCCACTCTCCCTCGAGCAGCTGGTAGCGCCCGAGCGCATCGGATATCTCTACCCCCTCATAGTAACCAGAATAGCAAAGAAGGCTATCCAAAGCCACGAACACTTCTGCGGGTAGTTTCAACAAAGAAATTAAGTGAAGGGATGTGTCTGGATCACAAGACTTGCACAAGAAGAGCTTGAGGTGAGGGAGCGACACTGGTTGCGGGGTAGAAGGGGGAGGCGCCGCGGGAAGACTGAGAAGATGAAGATATTGAAGCCGAGGAGTACCAATCAGCATGGTGGTGAGAGCGTCCAGGATTGGCACATCTCGATGGATCGATGGACCGAAGCAATTGCATAAGAAGAGGTGTGTGAGGTTTGGAAAGTGGGCACTAGGCACCCAGTAGACTCCCCAGAGGCAGAGAGCCAGGCCTTTCACGGCTGGTATAGACTGCTCGAACGCCGCCGGGTGAAGGTACGCGCTCCATGCCGGATAGCCAAACGACGCTGCAATGGTGACGCATTCGAGGCGAGATCCGTCGACCTTCACGCGTGGCAGGATGAGTTCCTCTCTGCGGCCGATATCGAGCCGGTGCAGGCGAGAACCATTGCGCTCGAATAACTGCTCCAGGTGTCGGTCAGCCGCCCCAAAGAACACAACGGAGATAGGCGACGCCTGAGAACGCTGCATGAAGGTGTTAGCCCTTGCTATACGGCCGTTGTCGACGCGTGTCCACAAGTGGGGCGCAGCGCACGCAATGTTTCGCCACACGCGGCAGACGTGTGTGATAGGGACGAGGGCGCTGTATGCTGGCTCCGAGGTTTGCGCACGTTTAATCCTTCGAACGGCGTTGCGAAAAGCATATCGCTGGTCGCGAAAAATTGCGTATTCGAATATGAGGGTGAGCAGCTCGGGAGGAAGCCGCTGGACCGGCGTGCGCGCGTTCATGTCGTACTTGATCTGCGAGATCGCGTCCGCCATGGTGTCGATCGCCGACAGTCGCTACCAGAGACAAGTCAGTCCAAATGAATGCTAACAAGAGACCAGTAATAAGATGTGCATACCTCATCGTGACTGTAACACAATTGGACGTCAGCGAGCGTCAGCGGCGCATTCGATACACTGTGATGATGATGCACAAGTACTCACGACAAGAGATGTATGTCGTGCATGAGGGAGGGCTTCAGTTGCTCCATTATAGCCAGAAACGGGAGGGACCTGTCGGTCCTGACGGTAGGCATTGCTAAAAGACTGAAAGACGAGAGATGACTTGTTGATGGTTGGTGGGAACAGTGGTAAGAAAATCGCATACCACGCATGCGCATGCCTCGGTCCCTTCGAATTCGAGGCTATCGCTTTGAAGAGGCATCGATATCGCATATATTCCGATCGTCCTCATGGTCATAAAGACGCTCGTCTTTCTATAATTGTGGGAGAGTTGGAATGGTACTCTGTGGTACTTCTCGATCCGTCTCACGCGAGGACCCCTAGGCCTGACAATCCTCATAGATGCCTTACACGTACAGTGCCCCACAAAATACGCGTTTTGGTCCGGGCCATGTTTAGAGCCTCAGAGGTGGTTCTACGTAGTCCGCATTGCGTGCATGGCGAGAGACTCGCTTGGTCCGGGAACTGTGTAAGATCATTCAAAAATGGGGCATTTCGCGCGACTCGACCCGAAATCTCTTCCTGAACCAGCAGGTGGTCTGGGTGTGTGTAAGGCCTCCCGCATAAATTTGGTCTGTTCGGTGTAAAGCATAGAGCCCCTAAAAGCCCCATGTAAGTCCGGGCACTGGTAAGGCATCTGGGAGGATTGTCAGGGGTCCTGTCTCACGATGGGAGATAACAGATATATATACTGCACTCGGAGCTATTATAGAGACTCAGCAGCCCTAGCATGACGAGAGCTCAATCGCGCCTCTCAGGCTTGACCAAAACCACTGCTCGCGATGGACGTTTTTGCGCAGGTTTGCTCTAAAAATACCGTCATCAATACGGTCGAAATGCATACGGGCGGCGAGGTGAGCATCCACGCAAATCTGTCCGACGCTGGCCTGAGCGATGCAACGATAAGCCAACCAGGATTGTCGTGGGAGGCTATCCAGTCCTTGAGGGAGAGACCTTGCTGGATAAGAGAAGCTACGCTGGACAAAAGCTCGATGAAATCCGACAAACGTACGTAGATCAGAACATTCGACACCAATTATCGCTCACCTAACCTGGGAAGGCTAATGCGAGAGCCGCGAGGCCACAAGGAGATGTACGGGGCCATAATCGTCCCAGAAACTGAGCTCACCCTGAGCGGGGAGGCAGATATCGGGGTACTGTTCTGCCACAACGGTGAGTACTAACCCACGCGCGGGAAATCGAAACACACCTTCTGACAAAACGAGTCCAGAGGGATACTCAACGATGTGTGGACACGGTACGATCGCGCTTGGGCGCTTCCTGGTCGACACGCAGGACAAGAACGTGTTCCCGAGGCGGGGACAAGTCCACTTTGACGAAGAGAAAGCCGAGTGTAGGCTTCGCTTACATGCCCCGTGCGGCGTAGTGGACGTGACGATCCCGAGCATCCGCGAAGTAGACAGGGTACAATCGGACCCCGAGCGCGAAGTGCAGTTTGTGAGCGTCGAAAGCTTCGCCGCCGCGGTCGACCTGGAAGTAGAGGTGCCCGAAGAATTGCGATTGGGCCCGTCCTCCCGGCACACTGTCTACGAGGCGGAGATCGTGGCGACGATCCTCGGCATGGAACTGCTGAGGCGCGCGATCCTCTGCTCACGGCACGCCTCCATCGGCCTTGACAACACGGCGGCTATCCAAGCCTCGAAGCTACGTTCTGCGGGCGCCGGGCGTTACTTGACTGACATCTTCCATGCAGCCGTACGGGACCTCAAGCAGGCACGCCCCAACCTGCGCCTCACACTGCGATGGGTCCCGGGGCACACGGATGTCCCTGGCAACGAGGCGGCTGACACTGCCGCCAAGGAAGCAGCCCAAGGCGCCTCGTCAGACACTCAGCACCTCCCGAAGTCCCTCCGGACGAAGCTGCCGCTCAGTGCGACACGGGCACGCCAGAACTTCAAGGCAGTACTCGACCGTCGGGCGGCGAAACGCTGGCGCACCTCCGTGCGTGGCGTGCGCATGGCTGAAGTGGACGGGACAATGCCCTCGAAGAAATACGGCGTGCTGATCGCTGCGCTGCCCAGACGGCATGCAAACCTCCTCGTTCAATTCCGTACTAATCACGTTCCGTTGCAGGCCTACTTGGCGCGCATAGGAAAGGCGCCGACTGCGACATGCCCGACATGCGGCGGTGCACCCGAGACCGTACATCACTATCTCCTCGCCTGCCCCACCTACTCCCTCCACCGTGCAGTACATTTCGCCCCCCTCGGCTTCTCCGGCCGCACTCTCGCAACGCTGCTCAACAACAAGGACGCCCTTCGCCCGCTCTTCACTTTCATCAACGCGACCGGACGGCTCCGCACGGTCGTCGGCGCACTAGTCGGCCCACGCTCGGGTTACCCCGACAGCGACGAGGACGACGACGCCTAACGCCCCTCCTCCCCTGCCGTTCTCACCCACACCCCACCTTTTCTTTCTTTCTTTTGCATATTGCTTGTTTCCGCTGTACTTATACGGGCACGCTGCAAACATAACCTCCGCGCTGGGGCCGGGGGAGTTCCGACGACGCCGGGTGTCTGCCCGGCGGCCGTACCCCTCCCGCAGCAAGAGGCTTGGTGCCCGGCAGCGTAATCGCTGTTGCAAAGTGCGGGCAGGTTTAGATCCCGGTGCCCTGCCATGGTATGGCCGGCGCGGTGTGCGCAGCGTGTGGCCCTCACCCCCCCCTTTTTTCCCTTTTTGCTCGCTTACTATTGTATTCTCTAGCTCGCTGCCTCTACACTCATACTACTGTGCTCGCGGCGGCTCCGGCCGCTGCACCCCCCCCCACCCCCCTACACATGTCTCGACGATCTCCACCGCACCCCATCCCGTAGACACCCGCGATGTATTGCCTACCATAGGGCTCGGCCCTCGAGGGCAATAAACAAGGATACAAA